GTAGTGAGTGGCCATTGGCAGGGTTTTTTTCCAGTCAAAACTCAGTTCTGGTACTTCTCAGGTGGGCGCATTGCTATTATAAGAGTACAAGTGAGGCACTCATGATGAGTTCCGACACCTTTTTCTAGAAAAATAGCAGTGGCCATAGGATATATTAAACGACCTCTCGCATTGGAGACAGAGCTCCGATGTCAAAGAGAATTACCTAATGCTGGAGCCAACCTCCACCACTGAAATATACTCATTGGAGAGTGGATTTCATGCTCTTTATTCAGCTCATAGTGGTGAGGAGGAATGGAAGTTCCCCCACAATGTCTGCCTTATATACATTATTTACACGATGGGCCCCACGTGATTGGCTAATTCCGGGATTCTCCTGCAGGCCAATCAGGTTGCGGATTCCCTTCTACCTGGAGCTGGATTGGATGGCTCCTGCGGACCAATCAGACTGCTGCATTCTGAATCCTATTGTTCTAGGACCAATCAGACTGCTGCCTTTTGGATCCTATTCAACTCAGTACATAACAACCGCAATAACAAGACCAGTTCCTCTGAATCACCAGCCAACCTACTTATGACATCCAAATGGCGGCATGCTCGGGAGTGTTCCAGGAAGCAGTCGGGATTCCAAGCCTACCTTACCCCCAGCACTCGCTCTGCCCCAGACTAGAATAAAACATACACATGCTTTTGAGTGCTACTGATCCTCTTCAATGAGTGAGGAAGTGGGTAGGTGGGTGGGAAATAGTGTTGTTATTTTAGGCCAGAAACAGATGGAGGAAAGCAGAGCCCTCCATTTTTTCACCCTGCCTGTGAGAGGCCAGCAGGATGTTGGGATGAGGCAGTTTAAATTGCCTTTGTTAAGTCCTCCCCTCCCTAAAGGCTTGTAGTTTTAAGGCAGTGTACACATCACTAGCTTAAACAATGCGGTCATTCTTTTTCCTCAGTTTTGAATGAAGCTGGCTGGGGGGGGGGCGGGGAAGTGCATCAAAAAGCAGTATTTCTTAAGAAACAACTGAATAGGTATGGATTGTGACTAATGTGTGTACAGTGCTTCTCAAACTAGCAGTGGGAGTTCACTGGATGCAGAGCAAACAGAAGCGTGTACACAGCCTGTGTCTGTCAAATTAACAAATTAGTATAGTGGAATCTCGGGTTGCGAACGTGATCCATGTGGGAGGCACGTTCGCAACCCACAGCGCCGCGCCTGTGCATGCGCAGGTTGCGATTCGGCACTTCTGTGCATGCGCAAAGCACAATTTAGTGCGTCTGCGCATGTGTGCACGCCGAAACCTGGAAATAACCTGTTCTGGTACTTCCGGGTTTGGTGTGGTGCGCAACCCGAAATCTGTAACCCGAGGTACCACTGTATGTAAAGCATTCCTATGGCTCTCACTGCGGCACAAATTACTTTAGGATAAGGCTGAGTCAGACATCAAGATGTATGTAGGTGCTGACCAAAGAAGAATGTGAAAACCTTAGCCGAGTGATTAAAAAAAATAAATCTGTAGGGCGAGCAGGGGGTCTATGAACAGATTATGGGTTGCTCTGAGGCAATTCTGGATGGCTTGGCTGAAGGAGAAATGGTCTTGAGTAGGTCTTGAGTAGACAGAGGTTCTATTGAGCTGAGGAAAATCTGCAAACAAAAGCCCCTTCTGTAGGGCTACCATCTGGACAGTTTTAAATTGACTCCCCCATCTAAAAGTTCAGTTGCAATTCTTCAGTTCAAATTGATGTTTAACTTTATTTGCTTGTGCCAAAGAGAAGTGGTTCCCCTCACTTCATCTTTACCTTCAGGACTCATCGAAACACCTTTTATTTTTCAAATTCATTTTTGTCTTTTTAATCCAGTTATTACTTTAAAATAAGAAATTTTCATTCTGATACATTGATAACACCATAGTTTCAGCCAGATACTTGAGATTCAGACTCCAGCTACCATATTTTATAAATTAAAGTGTAAACGGTCCAAGCACCAAAGAAACAAATATCATGTTCTTCCTAATGGCAGTTTAGGTGGTAAAACTGGATTGTTAATGTGGTCTCATGTGACAGCCTTCTAGGTGTTTGTACTGAGGAGCAAATCGTGTGAAGGAGTTCTAGGCTACCCTAGTCATCTTTTCTGTGGCAGGCTAGATTTCTATGCCTGAGAGACTTCCTTTCCTTTACTTGAGGAACATTCAAGCCTGTAAACTGCCACCTGCCTCTGAAGAGGTACAGTCCAACACAGGACCATAGGAAGCTGCCTTTTACCAAAATACGACCATTTGTCTATCAAGCTTAGTACTGCCTGCACTGACTGGAAGTGTCTCTGAGGGGCTTCAGTCAGCAATCTCTTCCTGTCCTGTTTGGGACAGGAATGCCAGGGATGTTACAGGGAACTTTTTTCATGCAAACCTATACTATTGAGCTATGGTTAATTAACCACCTCATCTGCTGTTAATGAAAATTAGGCCTAAGATTTATTGTAATATCTCTGACTCTCCAATGATTTGAAGGGGCATATGGTTGTCCACTAGGTGGCAATCTCTGCTTTGAGATTCAGCATGTATAGCTGAATACATAATTTCCCCCCATAAATTTAGTATACTTCTGAAGATTTTTAAAAATGCTTTATCAATTTTTTAAAAAAAGAAATCCTGCTTTCCTTTTTACTACAGGACTTTAAATAAATAATTATGTGAGGAAAGCACTTTTGCTCCCCACCCTTTTCAGCCAAAAGACTCCTGTACTTAAAGTAGAGTTGCGCTTGTTGAGGAAACCACTGAAATTGTTGAGTTTTTTTTAAGGAGAACCCAAAAGTTGTTGTGCCAAAATGATGCGATTTCTTGGTTTACTTGCTGAAGATCCAGGCCGAACCACCGCGTTCCGGACGTCACTTCCCCCTTTGAAATCCTGGCTGTGTGGAAGCCCCACCTTAAAGTTACATCTCTGATAGCAACCAGGTGGGGTGGCAGCTGCATGGGTAGCCTGGAGGAATAGCTGTGGCTGGGCTCTAGGAGGGCCAAAGGCAACAGACCTCTTGAGCAGAGCCCTCCATTTTCTCTCCCTCTGCTCTGCAGCCTGGTGGAATAGTTGTAGACCTACTGAAATCCATGGAGCTAACTTAGCTATGTCCATTATTTTCAATGGGTCTACTCTTAAAAGAATATTGCCTTTTGGCAGGTGGGTGTGTATTATTACATTTCCCTAAGGAGTGCAGGGTGGCAGTGTTTTCCCATCCATAGAATCCCCAACAACAGCTGAAACAGGGATGGGAAACCTGTAATTAACTATCTCTGAAGGACGACAACTTCATCTACCAGCCATGCTACATCTGGAAGGCCATAAGACCCCCCCCATCCTTGTGAGCAGAGGTGCAGGTATGTAGGTACAACATTTAATCCATCCTAAATTGTACCTCCCTGACATTAACTCATTCATATAATTTTTAAAAAATATGCATAAATTATAGGTCATCCATCGTTTACTACTATAAAGAGAGTCAGAAAGCTAAGTATCTAATTTAAGAGCATATAGCTGTGCATCTTAAAAAGCAGAGACATCACCTTGCCAACAAAGGTCCGTATAGTTAAAGTTATGGTTTTCCCAGTAGTGATGTATGGAAGTGAGAGCTGGACCATAAAGAAGGCTGATCGCCGAAGAATTTATGCTTTTGAATTATGGTGCTGGAGGGGAGACTCTTGAGAGTCCCATGGACTGCAAGAAGATCAAACCGATCCATTCTTAAGGAAATCAGCCCTGAGTGTTCACTGGAAGGACAGATTGTGAAGCTGAGGCTCCAATACTTTGGCCACCTCATGAGAAGAGAAAACTCCCTGGAAAAGACCCTGATGCTGGGAAAGATTGAGGGCACAAGGAAAAGAGGACGACAGAGGACGAGATGGTTGGACAGTGTTCTTGAAGCTACCAGCATGAGTTTGAGCAAACTGCGGGAGGCAGTGGAAGACAGGAGTGCCTGGCGTGCTCAAGTCCATGGGGTCATGAAGAGTCAGGCATGACTAAACGACTAAACAACATCAACAATGCTATCCAAGGAGCACACGGAACACAGGAAAAATAAATGTATTATATATGCTTTTGAAAAACCAGGCATCTAATCATGGGAATTTCCCCCCCCCCCCCCAAAAAAAAATTGGCACAGTATAGAATCAACATATTGTCACAACCTGGGTTTCAGCATTATTCCTTTTTGCCAATGTGAGGCTGACTGGTTGCTCTGGGAATGCAGTGTTATGTATTTGGAATGGAATTCAACAGCACACGAATATAATCATTTAGGCAGCAAGCGTTTCTCTTCCCACCCACTCAATGCAGTTCTGGGGATCTTCCTGACCTTCCAGAGCCAATTGAGGAGGCAGCTGGGGGAGAGGGGTAGCAGGGAACAGCCTTGTTGCACTAGCTTCTCCTGCTAGCACAACCATTGCTATTTAATTTTGAACGTACCCAGGCTTTGGAATCTTGTTCCCCATCTACTCACCCTGTAAGTCCCCTAAGACACAGCAGCAATGTAGTGATACTCACCGGGAAGAAATATCTGATGAAACACAGCACCTAGATTTTGGACTGAACAAGGAACAATGGTTACTGAGCGAGGGACATTCTCAGTGAGCCAGGGTCTTTTGGGCACCATCAGTACCATTTGGGGCAACTTATTGGTTTGGTTATTATGTTTTCCTGCGCTTATGTTATAAACTGCTTTGTGAACTTCAGATGAAGGGCAGTATAGAAATGTAATAAATAAATTCATTGACCACTTAATGAAAGCTGAAATGGTATAGCAGCTTTAAACTGATAAAAATGGTCCAAAATGGATTTCTAGGTATCAAGACATTCCAACCTGCAAAAAGTCAGGGTTTTTTTTTTATTAAAAAAGTGGATTTGTTATGCCTGGGTAAGAGCATTCTCACCTACTTCATTTACTCAAACCTAAATTTCCAGTATGAGTCCCATAAAATACATACAGTCTGGAGGAGACGTTAAAGGGGGAAAAACCATTGCAATTTTAAACAAAGGATACTTTATTGGCCAGTTAAACAATTACATCTATAATACTTTTTCAATATTCCTAGAAAACCCAACAAAATGCTTTAAAAACCATATGCAATGCTTGTTTTACACTTAAGATTTCTCTCAAACAACTAAAAAACCCACAAATCCATATAGTCTTAAAACTGCTACAAGTTACATGACTCAAACGGTAACCTCTTTGAGCTACAATTCTGAACTCCCTCCTCCCCGAAATTGAAAAAAGAACAAGATTGTATAAAAAAAAACTTTAAAAATTGAAAATATTTAAAAAACCCATTATGAATTATGTTCTATTCTTAATTCATTCCTTAAAACTGACATGAAAAAACATTGCAGATAAAAATATATAAAAGGAACACTTAGAGAGTTAGGATATTAAAAGTTGGTGGTACATTTGGAGAGAGCATGGGCTGGTTGGTTACAACTCCACCAGGAAGTTTTGTGTGGAAGCCTTATTGAAATGAATGGGTACAGACTGGAAGCTGAGCTCCTGCACAGCTGCCATTCATGTCAACAGCTTGTACAAGAGATCTTCCCAACAGATTGTGCCCCACACTTTCTTTGCTTTCAAACACTGCCAAGAAACATTTAATAGTTTATTTCACACACAGTAAAATAAAACATAAGGTTTATTGTGGACGTTTAATGGATTTTCCTCTACCTTTTCACAATATTCTTAATTTCTGTAGGAGAATTCTTTGGCAAAAGCAGGTGGTCTGAGTGCTGCAGTAACCCAAACTAAACAGTTCTTTAAAGTGGGCATTTCAATGCTAGAAAGATTTCAAATTTGACAATGTAGTTTTTGCAAATCTTGTTTAAATGACTTGTGAATTATGATTTTACAGGAAACGTCAACTGAATAGGATTTAAGAGAATCCAGGAGATAAATATATATACAACATTTTTTCTCAGTTATAATTTCGTGATAAAGCACTTAGTAGCACAAATAGATGCTGGATAGTGTGAGCTGCATTGTTAGTCATGGTTATTAGTAAGGTCAGTGGATTTAAGGCCTTTAAAAGCCACGTGGAAAAACAAATAACCCAACATGCCAACTCTGTTATCGCACAATAAAAGGGTTGTAAACAATTGGACATAATTGTGTCTCCTTTAGACTCATCTTTATGCATGAAGCATTCTTATTTTGAGTGCTGTTCTTCAGATTATAAAGTATAAAGACACATTAAGTAAGGAAAGGAGTCAGTAGTGTAAGAAATTCAGTACATTTTTAAATGGTCCCTGGGGTTCCCTTTCGCAGGGTCATATTTGAGCACCAGCATTTTACATCAAGATGCCATTTGCAGTTTACATCTGTCTTTGCTATTGTTTCATTAAAGGGTTCATTTCTCTCTCTCTCCAAACATCAGAATACAGAGGCTAGTGAAGTCTCCAAGGAATTATTCTAGCAAGTCCTGGAGATGATAAAGGTCACTTTTAAACAGTAGCACCATTTCCTCTTCCTGAGCTTATCCCAGCTGCCTTTTTAAGCACACTCAAAAGGCAAGACACTATGCTGTCTAATAAGCCTTAAAACTCTTCCATTGTGTGTACCACTCTCAAAGATTTGAGAGAATAAAAGCCCCATAAAAATTTCAAGAACATTTAATATAAAGAGACTGATGACATCTAGGGGTTCACAGTGGTCCAATATCCAGAACTTAATGAAAGTAGCATCAATTAGAAAAGGCTTGCTTGATACAGCAAATGCTGTTCTGTTTGATTAGAGAATAACAAGTTCTCAAGTAATCTGAGGAAACATGGAGACTGGTGTTCCAAAGCAGGTTATCACTCTCTTTAAACCAAGGGTTGCTACCCTTTGGCCCTCCAGATCCTGCAAGACCAATCATCCCTGCCTGTGGGCCAGGCCAGCTGGTCCCCATGGGAGGTAGAGTCCAACAGGTTAGCTACCCTAGCTTTAAACACAGAAGCTGAATTCATTACAGAAAAACCAGGTGCCTCAAAGATCTGGCTAGTGAAAACTGAGCTTCCCCTGATTGGATCAATTTATCCTATTAAGATGCTTTAGGATTTTGCTGATGCTTTCTGCTTCAGAATGCTCAATCAACAAAGCCCTGGTAACATGCAGCTCCTCTATATATGCATGCCAACCAGCCCTATAGAATTCACTAAGCCCTGCATAAACTAGTAGGGGGGGGGGAATAAGTAACTAACTAATTAAGCAAGATAAAACAGGAAAAGTGAGCATATCTGTTGGTTCAAACCTTGGAATTGAAGTTTAAGGAGTCTTCATTACTCTGAAAAGCAGCACTCCTCTGTCAATGACAGATGGCTGCCATCTCCAATTATCAGGAAATATTAAGCAAAAGCAGCTGTTGCAAGTTAATACAATAGCCAAAGCTTTAGAGCATTTCCTAGGTGGGCCACACAACCCCTACTCAAGCACCTTTTGTTTTAACAATTGAACTACATTAATTTGCTTTTTTAAACAAAACAACTTACTGGAACATGGCAGCTGAGATACCACAGCTAACCTCACAGTTAGCATGTTACTACTTAAATTTCTGCCATTAATTTTCATCGGAGACATTGGCATGCATTAACATTAAAACGAATCTAAAAAGCAATATGCTAATATTTGAAGCATGCATGCCCTTTCGTTTATGATTAAAATAGTACACAGCACAATTTGAGGCATGGTTACTCAGAATCTAGTCCTATTTTATTATATGGCTCTTACTTCCAGGTAAGTGTGTATAGGATTGCAGGCTTTGTGCACTAAATAGTTATGACCCAATAGTTTTCTCTTGCAACATTCCTCCACTCACATATAAGGGCTTGCAAAAAGTTAGTTCTGATCCTAGTAAAGAAAGACTCACTAAGTGGACTTTGGTATGCATGGGAAATAGAAGTTAGACCGTTGATATTACAATGAGTTAAATTTGCTTTGTCTCCTTGTAATCCTCTACCCATAATTGATATAAAATAATCACATCAAAACGTATTTAGGGATGAAATCTGGGATCAAAAAAGTGATGGATTATTTTTTTAAAAAAGAAACTTCTGTAAACAAATTCTGAACATTCCCGATTATTTTTCAGGGTACGGCTACTTTACAATATAAGTATTTACCTGATTTCTTAAACTCTATTAGATCACAGTTTTAAATAAGTTTACACATTGTAGACTCTTAACAAGCCCTGCAAAAAATGGGAAACTCTCCAGACTTACTAGGCTAGCTATAGGCAGATTTGTATTTTGTTGCTCACTGCTTCTGTTCTGAATATTTTATTAGATGCATTCACTCCCAGAGTGACTTATAACAACTTTCAATTGCACCAACCTTTACAGTGTCTTGCATCCCAGTCAGGTTTTCAGATTCTACATCATGTCACCCAGTGATTCATAAAGGTGCCTTTCATTAATAGCATAAATAAATATTTCTATACCCACAAATCCTTTTCACCCACAATCTACATTTCCAATAATTTACTATGAGCATCTAATAGAGAGGAAAAAAACCCCTCAAGCTGATGTTGTTCCCACCCATGACAACATCTTCATCTCAGTGAAGTTTTAAGTTCCATTTTGTAATCTACGGGTTTGGTTTCTTTGTCAACAAAAAAAGTGGGGATCAATGTCTGCGAGGACTGTAACATGTCAGCATCAGTCTTATCACCAATTATGTTTAAGAGAATCTAGAACTTTTGACTTCCAGACTGAAGTGCCACTTTTAACTAAACTTGTTCTCCAGGCTCTCTTAATTCACGTAATGTAAATAAGTTTTCAAAACCAGACTCTACATGTGTGATTTCATAAGAGTTAATGTAGTATCCTAAACATCAAGGTTAGGATAGCTAGTACTCAGATTTATTTTGCCATTCCCTAAGCTGATGGACTTGTACCAGAAACAGCTTCACACCGAGAATTCTCTAGTTGGGCAGCAGAAAGGAGCCAGAAGAGTCCAAACGTAGAGGAGGACACACACCCAACAGGAAGCCATCTTAATCCAGAATATTGACCAGGTTCCAGCAAAGAATTTTTCAATTGCAGCACTTTCATAACTAGAAAGATAAAAATAAGAGATGGGTGTAAATGAGTTGGCTAACCCATTTGTTGTTATTATAAAAGGCTGATAAGGCAGGACATCGTTTTGCAGAAGCCACGCTGAGAAAAGTGAGGTGCAATTTCAATAAAGAATTTCATCTTCTGCAAGGTTCATTTCATTATTCTTTGTTTAATCATTCTAGCTACAGTGCAACCCTATGCATATTTACTCAGAAATGTTCTAAATTCAATGGGGCTTACTTCAGGAAAAGGTTCCTGGATTGCACTCTTACTCATGCTTAATAATTTAACCAATTTAACAGGGCCAGAAATTAGACTGGTGGGTCATGCAATTTATTTATTTCCCCCCCCCCTAATATATTTTTTAATCTGTATCACATTGGCTAATCTTCAGTCTTCTGGAAATGAAACTGATGTTAATAAGTTGCATATTTTTGTTAGAAGTTCAACAGTTTCATTCACGTGTTGCAGTGCTTTGACATGTTCAAATGTAAGCTAAGTTTATCACCATTCAAATCAAGACAAGCTAACTTCACCAAGGACAGGATATTAAATACACATAACACAAAACAATGGTTATAATTTATATCACACATTTCAAGTGCTGCATATATATTACCCAATTACATATTAATCTTCACAACAGCCTTGTAAGGCCAGTATTATTAGCCCCATACTGCAGGGAAGCAGAGGAGTGAGACTAAGACAAAGTAGGTTTGTGGGTAAGCTGAGATTTAACCAGGAATATCCTGTTTAGCACCAAGCCACTATGGTAGCATACCCACTCAGTGCTATAACCTTTTATTCCAAGAATGTGACTTACTGAAACCAGTGGGTGACCGTCATCATCACATAGAGAGAAGCCAGGAAGAACACAAAGTGGAAATAAGCATAGCTGTATACAGTCCCTTTCTTTTCATCATAAATTACTCTCTGGCCACTCTTTCTGCCAATAGGCTCTTCAACATCTGCTGTGAAACCAAACACACATTAAAAAAAAAAGTTAAGATTTGGTTCAGGGCTAAATCTTTAACACTACTCATTTACTTTGAAAAACAAGCAGAATGCCATTTTATAATAATAATTTAATAATAATTTATTATTTGTACCCCGCCCATCTGGCTGCGTTTCCCCAGCCACTCTGGGCGGCTTCCATAGAAACCAAAAATACACTAAAATATCACACATTAAAAACTTCCCTGAACAGGGCTGCCTTGAGATGTCTTCTGAATGTCAGGTAGTTGTTTATCGCTTTGACATCTGATGGGAGGGCGTTCCACAGGGCGGGCGCCACTACCGAGAAGGCCCTCTGCCTGGTTCCCTGTAGCTTTGCTTCTCGCAATGAGGGAACTGCCAGAAGGCCCTCAGCGCTGGACCTCAGTGTCCGGGCAGAACGATGGGGGTGGAGACGCTCCTTCAGGTATACTGGACCGAGGCCGTTTAGGGCTTTAAAGGTCAACACCAGCACTTTGAATTGTGCTCGGAAATGTACTGGGAGCCAATGTAGGTCTTTCAAGACCGGTGTTATGTGGTCTCGGCGGCCGCCCCCCGTCACCAGTCTAGCTGCCGCATTCTGGATTAGTTGTCGTTTCCGAGTCATCTTCAAAGGTAGCCCCACGTAGAGCGCATTGCAGTAGTCCCAGCGGGAGATAACTAGAGCATGCACCACTCTGGTGAGACAGTCTGCGGGCAGGTAGGGTCTCAGCCTGAGTACCAGGTGGAGCTGGTAGACAGCTGCCCTGGATACAGAATTGATCTGTGCCTCCATGGACAGCTGTGAGTCCAAAATGACTCCCAGGCTGCGCACCTGGTCCTTCAGGGGCACAGTTACCCTATTCAGGACCAGGGAGTCCTCCATACCAGCCCGCCCCCTGTCCCCCAAAAACAGTACTTCTGTCTTGTCAGGATTCAACTTCAATCCATTAGCCGTCATCCATCCTCCAACCGCCTCCAGGCACTCACACAGGACCTTCACCATCTTCACTGGTTCTGATTTGAAAGAGAGGTAGAGCTGGGTATCATCTGCATATTGATGGACACCCAGTCCAAACCCCCTGATGATCTCTCCCAGCGGCTTCATATAGATGTTAAAAAGCATGGGGGAGAGGACGGAACCTTGAGGCACCCCACAAGTGAGAGCCCAGGGGTCTGAACACTCATCCCCCCCCCCCACTTTCTGAACACGGCCCAGGAGGAAAGAGCGAAACCACTGTATAACAGTGCCCCCAGCTCCCAGCCCCTCTAGACGGTCCAGAAGGATGTTATGGTCGATTGTATCAAAGGCCGCTGAGAGATCCAGCAGAACTAGGAAACAACTCTCACCTTTGTCCCTAGCTCGTCGGAGATCATCAACCAGTGCGACCAAGGCAGTTTCAGTCCCATGATGAGGCCTGAATCCCGATTGGAAGGGATCCAAATGGTCCGCATCCTCCAGGCGTGCCTGGAGTTGTTCAGCAACCATGCGCTCAATCACCTTGTCCACGAATGGAAGATTTGAGACTGGGCGATAGTTGGCCATACTGGCCGGGTCTAAAGATGGTTTTTTAAGAAGAGGTTTAATGACTGCCTCTTTCAGCGGATCTGGGAATGTTCCCTCACAGAGGGAAGCATTCACCACCCTGCAGAGCCCATCGCCCAGCCCTTCCTGGCTTGCTTTTATTAGCCAGGATGGGCAAGGATCAAGGAGACAGGTGGCTGGTTTCATGCATCCAAGCAGCCTGTCCACATCCTCGGGGGTAACGGATTGAAATTGATTCCATGCAACTTGACCAGACAGGGCTCTAGCACTCTCCCGCCCCAGCCCTGCTCCCACGGTGGTGTCTAGCTCCTTCCGAATATGAGTGATTTTATCTGCAAAAAACTTTGCAAAATTGTTGCAGGAGATCTTGGGGTCTTTACAAGGCCCCGGTGGTAAAGGTGGTTCCATTAAATTGCGGACCACCTGAAAGAGTCTCCTGCTACTATTTTCTGCAGATGCAATAGAGGCGGTGAAGATAGTCTTCTTCGCCGTCGCTATCGCCACTTGGTAGGCTCGACGTTGAGCTCTAACCTGTGTCCGGTCAGATTCGGAGTGAGTTTTCTGCCACCGACGCTCTAGCCGTCTCAGCGATTGTTTCATCACCCTCAGCTCCGAAGAAAACCACGGGGCTGTCCGGGCTCCATGCAATTGGAGAGGGCGCTCGGAGCCAGACAGTCGATAGCCCTGGTTAACTCCGCATTCCAGCGGGCCACCAGGGAATCAGCTGAAAGGCCATCAACATGGGATAAAGCATCCCCTACCACTCTCTGGAAACCATTTGGATACATTAAGTGGCGGGGGCGGACCATCAGAATTGGTCCCACCTCCCTTCAGAGGGGAAGGATCGCGGAGAAGTCCAGTTGCACCAGGAAGTGATCTGACCATGGCACTTCTTTTGTTTCGCTTTTACTTAGTGTCAGATCACCCACCCACATTTTAGGAAGAGCACTCATCTTTCAGGTCATACAAAAGCACAAGCGTTCCATAAGCACTTATTATAGTCTTTGGGAAATTAATTATATTTAAAATGGACTTTGCTAAGGAAGACACTGGCCTTGTTATTCTGGGCCAGGAAGAATCAAGGTACTGAATGTAACCAAGGGGGAAAGTTGCATTTTAATTTAAGAAATGTTCTAACTGAGGATGTTTGTTTGGTTCCTTCCTGATATGAAAAGATATAAAACTAAAGATCTTTCTATTATGGCAGGGCTTTGGGTTCAAATGAACTCAAAGGTGTGAGTTTATTACTGTTGACTCAGTTTTCCTGTCTGAGAGTAATTGGTATATTTTGTCTGCTTTGTCTTCTGCAATATTCATTGTTGTACAATGTAACTGAAGATTACATTGGCTTGTATCCAACAGTGTCATTCAGCTAATGGTAAAACTCCCATTAGTGGATTTTCCAAAGTAACTTGCAGTTGTGTGACATGTGCTTCTCATGGAGGTAAAAGCTCCCTACTGAAGGTGGAATGTAGGAACTTCAAACTTCTGGACAGGTGAAATAAGCACAACCCAGGCTGAGGAGGAGACATAAAGTGCAGGGGAGCAAAAATAAAAGAGAACCAAGTCTATAGCTTGCTGTGAAGGCTAAGCAGGCACACTGCTGTCAGGCTGGAGATCAAATGATTTTGAGGTAATGTCATATTCTGAGAACAATGGAGACCTGCAGTTGTAAGCAGAGGGAACTAGGATCCAAGGGAGGCTTCCACTAGAATGGCGAAGCCTTTGCCAGTCTGATTGGGGGGCTAAAATAACTGAACCTGGGAACCTTTGCATGCAAATGCTATGCTCTATCACTGAGCTATTGCCTTTCTCTGCTTGAAGCATTTATTTGTCAATTTATGGTGACAAGAGCTTCCAGCGCCTGGTACTCAGTTCATCTTCCCAGATTCAACACAGCATCGTAAGTTACTGTTGGTACTCGGGAACAGATTTCAGAGAAGAGAATGCATGCAAACAGCACAGTTAATGAATAGAATATGTATGAAATACAGTTTTTGCCAGAAAAAATTATTTCTGATCTGTGACCCAATATGAGTAAGGCCCTGCCCTGCCAGCAAAACCTGCAACTTATTCAAGTGCAATCCCTTTGGAAAATGATGCTCTTCACACATTTTGTACTGTAGTATCTGGACCTCTGGAAACCATTGCCTGGAGCTGTAGGAAGAGGGGCTTGTTGCTACTTGAGTGCCTATCGGGGACTCTCAAAAGCTATGAGTCACAGCCCACAAAAGCAACCTTTTCTTACAAACTTACCGTATTTTTTGCTCTATAAGACTCACTTTTTCCCTCCTAAAAAGTAAGGGGAAATGTGTGTGTGTCTTATGGAGCGAATGCAGGCTGCGCAGCGATCCCTCTTGCTGTTCTGGCTTCTGGGATTCAGAATATTTTTTTTCTTGTTTTCCTCTTCCAAAACCTAGGAGCGTTTTATGGTCTGGTGCGTCTTATAGAGCGAAAAATACGGTACATGCTCCTCAGAAAGGCAAGGTTGGGAATTTCCCAAACAATTAAATTACTGCAGCTGTCATGAAACTTTACGCAATCACATGCTATATATAGTTCCCCATTCAGGAGAGCTTGCGCACTATGAGTATTGCAGAACAAAAAAAGCGAAGCTCGCAACAAAACTGGATGGGGCAGCTGTAATGTGCTCGTCCTCTTCCCACTCTCCAGCATGAATCACTGAGAGATAGAACTATTTGGGAGCAGAGCAAGCGACGTTAGAATGAGTATGGTTTGAACAGAACAAGTCAAAACAGGAGTTGAATCTCTTACTATATGCACCACACCAACACATAAGCAAGAAAAGAACTATGCCATTTTCCATCCACAGATGTTCTCTCTGTTTGAAAAGCAGTGCCTGTAATTAACATCCCTGTGGTTGCAACTGTTATTTTAAGTTGCACGACTCTCTTCCCTGTAGTTATACATATCTACTTTCTCCACACACCATAGCGAAATCTAAAAAGTAAAATAAAAATAACCCACCCTTTGAGAAGACGGAATGTACTTCGATAGAAAGTGTTCCATAATATCTATGCGTCTTTGGCTTTACAAGTGTTTTACATGCATTTAAGGTTTCTTACAGTGTTGCCCTATGCCAACATTTGGAGTAAACAGCCTTTAGCTCTGAGCAGAACATGTCACACAGCTATTTGTATCGCTGGCATTCTTGGGTTTACTGGGCAAATCGCACACAACCTCTCTCTTCCTATTCCAAGGATCGTTTGGCTGTTGCCATTTACTAAGTGCAGAAAGTTCTCAGAATGCGTCAGGGAAAACACTTTGACTACCTCTTACTGAACTGTCTCTATGCATCAAAAAGGGGCGGAGAAATGGATGCCCTGCCCCCACAGCTTTCCTATGTATTCTTGCATCCCTCACTTCGCAAGAGAAAGCATGCGCTAGTTAGGGAGAAATGTCCATTCCAATGTAAAAAAAAAAAAGTACACAAAAAGGTAAGAAGTGGTCTACAAACACAAGCAGCTCACTCCCTTTTTCAAGGTAGTACAGTGGAACCTCGGGTTACATACGCTTCAGGTTACATACGCTTCAGGTTACAGACTCCGCTAACCCAGAAATAGTACCTCGGGTTAAGAACTTTGCTTCAGGATGAGAACAGAAATCATGCTCCGGCAGCGCGGCAGCAGCAGGAGGCCCCATTAGCTAAAGTGGTGCTTCAGGTTAAGAACAGTTTCAGGTTATGTACGGTCCTCCAGAACAAATTAAGTACTTAACCCGAGGTACCACTGTATGTATCACTATGGAAGTAGAGTTGCATGAAAGAATGAATTCCTACCATCTTCAGCAGGAGTACAGCAGAAACAGCAGCGAGCCACCTATACCATAAATACAGAAAACAAGAGAAGGCTACATTTACCAGGACAAAAACAATTAAACATGCAGAAACATGAGGGGCTTTCAATCAAAACAACAAAAAATAAATTTAGACTACTTGATATTTAGCAAGACTTCAGTAATGGTGATGGCAGGAAACCAAGAATTCATATAGGGGAAAAATTACACATACAAATGTTATGATAAATGCACAGATTTTTGAAAGTAACACAGTATAATGAAATAGTTAAAAAGTGAGAGAGTATTTTGGATTTCTCCTGAGATTGGGTAAAAGAGGTACACTGAGAAACACAATTCTTTAAAAATGCAAAAAGCACCACATTGCGATATTATAAACAAATTATTATTTTTCCAGGCAGCACAGGAATGTTGCTTTATTTGCCATTAACCTACATAAAAAAAAAATATTTTCCTTTGACCACATGGTTGAATGCTTAAGTCTGACACAGACACAGGCAAAATACTTTCAATGAATGCTATTGAGGTAGGAATTCAATTCTGTGCATTGCTTCCATAACCGTTTGAGTTTAAAATTTAAAACACTTTTGATAATTGCTCTAGTTTTTGCCTTCCAGTTGTCTAAGACGGCAACATATATGGTTAGATTTATCAGACATTCAAGCCTTGCAAATTCTTGAGAGATCCAATTAGCAATGTTGCCATGCATGCCAAGAGCTCTCCATAATGTGGGTAACAGTCTATAGTTTAGATGCAAGAAAGGCTTCCTATTTAACAGATGCAGCTGAAGAATTATGTTTACATTTCTAATCAGGAGACAAAAGCCCTTCTGTCATGGGGAAGAATGAAGCGCACAATAAGCTGCCTGCTGCTACCCTTTTCTTTATGTTACTATGCAATGGTTCTTGTAGCATTCTTTAAGAGCAAATGATCTAAAAGTAATTCTATTATGCTCCACTTTAGTACAGCGGTTCAGAGCTCTCTCATGCAGCTTGGACTCTCGTCCCAGACAGAATCCATCTGTGTTGTCTCTCACTCAGCAAAAGGAGAATCAACACACTTAAGAGCGCTCCCTGACAGTGCTGCTTGCAAGTGACAGGCGTGCTAAATCACATGGCCAACATTTCAGGCCAACCAACTAGCTAGAACAAAACTGGCAGCATAGCGATGGCAAGAACTAAGCCAGCTACATTTCTGCCAAAGCCCCACACAAGGAGCTGTCATTTCTTTGAAGTACTGTACTTTGGCTGCCATCTGAAACTATTCTAACTTTAAATGCTTTCAGAACTTCTATTAGCACAACAAACCTGAGATTTTTGCATTAAATGTTTAATAAGGATCAGAGGAAGTTGGTCACTCCAAACATATTTGATCTACACTGGGAACATCTGGCATGCTGAACTGGTTCACAAGTCACATTAAACCACAGTTTATTTTAAAGCAAACCTCGGCTTTCCAATCATGGCTTGTTTGAGGGAAACAAACCCTAAGTGCTAGTTCACATGTAACCAGCCTGCCCAGTGCAGGAAAGGGTTAGTAGGGGAGGAGTAACTCGGGAACATTTGAGCAATGTGCACCAGCACACTACTTGTGTTAAAAACTATGCTATAATGTGACATTGTGGACCAGTTACTGTATAGACTTGACATCGCCACAATGAACACTGGACCAGTTTTGTCACTTCAGATTATTCCATTTTAAAAAATACATTAATTGCTGCTCCACAGGTCGTTCCAGTGTAACATGCCACACATTAAAAATGAACTAGTGCATAAATCCTATGAACTATTTAATGAATCAAGTTTCTGTAGACAGATCGTGCTATAAAACAATTTTCACTCACTCCCCCTACCACACTACTGTGTGTGTGTATGGGGGAGCAAGGACTAGGCAGCTCCCATACTTTGAAGCACACAGGATTCCCCCCTCTCATTGTTTATACTTTCTGAAGGTATGTTTATTTGCCAGATGAGCCTCAGTTGTTTGAATTGCACAACAAACTTTTTAAAAAGAAGGTGCAATTACAACAAAGCAAATATGCAATTTTGTGTGTAGATGACTCTCCTTAAGCCTGTGCATAACCACTTGAATTCAGGTTCCTGCCTCCAACTGGAGATCAGCACTGCCTGAACATATTTTCAGCTAAGTACCAGAAACTCCTAGAAACTTACACAACTGCTTATACACTGGCATAAGAACTAAACACAAAATCTGGTCAAACCACATGACTGACATTTGCATACATGTGTTACCACTGTAATGTGGAAGTTTGGCTATGCAGAAGATTTTTCTTTAGTGGGAGGGATATCACACCACCAAGGTAGCAGCTCTAAAGGTAAGAACAGTAAGTTTGAGCAAGTGAGACTTTTCCAGCGAGATCCAGGCAAATAAACCTGGGAGCTTTTAGCCACATGAGAGAACTTGGGGAGCAGGTTGTAACTGCTTTGTGGGGGTTACAGTTCTTAAAAGATAACAAGAGCTTGATATCAGTGACTTATGAGGAGAAAGCTCAAGTACCAAAGCTTAAAAACATCTTGCAGAGCAAAGACAGGTATAGTTTGCAGTTTCTTCAATGTGACCACCACAATGCCAACATTCGATCGTGTTCTACAATAATATTGAAACAGCCCTGAGTTTTTGCACAGAACAAGAATGTGTTATGCTTGTACCTAGTATCTTGTAAATGCTAATGAGGAAACTGCAAATGTGCGTGTGTGGAGCATATGGAACTTTCCATGAGAGAGTGCATGGACTTGGCAGAAAGAGACATACTGCAGAACAAAGAAAAATGTTAACTCACTTCAGTTTCCGGTGTGGCATATATTCCTCTCAGGGCTTCAGAGCTTGCACGCGTTGTTGAGGTCAAGCTAGACACAAACAGGAAAGCAGAAATTAATCAGTGGGAATGCGTCATTCTTAGAAGCAGCCTTGCTGAAGAGACATCTTTTCTAACAATAGGTTGAATAATTTCTGGAAGGCACTAGTCCCAAATGAATTCAGTGGAACAGAGGAGGCCCGATAGCTCCAAAAGGATTGTTTAATAGAAGTTGACCCTTTGGGGAAGACAGACTCCTGCTGCAACCAGAAACCTCTGTAGAAATGGTGTTTCCTAATAGTTTGCCAGACATTAGAGAAAACAAGGAACACACTAGCAAAACAGACCCCTTCAGTCTTTGCACCCAATGCTTCACCTCCCGATAGCTCTGCATTGCTCCAGGTGGTCCAACCCAAAACCAGATACCCCAAAATTGGTCTAATTTGGTTTGGACCAGCTGAATCTGGTGCACAGCCCCAGTAAAAACTTGTATCTGTATATGAATGAGCACGGCAGACATACTCTTTCCACAGGAACTTAGGTTTAATCAATCTTCCACTAGAGGTTTCGAGATGAAGGGGACAGATATTTTACCAGTTTCGTGTTTCTTCAAAATCAACATACTACACACCAAAAGGACATACCATTCAGATTTTGTAAAGACCACTCTAGTGGGAGGAAACTTCAGTTTTACAGGTTTTGTACTACTTTAGAGCCTATTTCACTCATTCATGTTCTTTGAGAGAAACAGTATGTAAATGCCCTCTTACATCAAGGCAAGGAAAAAATGTACATGTTGTACTAGAGAAACACTATTAGGAAGATTACATAATACTGGTATGATGGATCTCTATGCACTGTGTAAACATTTTGACTCTAGTACCATAATTTCTATTAGAATACCAGCAATAATATGGCCTCTTAATGGACTCTAATTAAACTACAAAGATTGTATCATCATCTCTTTAGGATGGTACCTCTGTACTGACCCAAGCATATAGATGGGGACTCCCTGCCTTACTGTTCGCTTATATAGTAGCTTCATAATTTACACACGCCAATATACATTTAGCAGACATCAAATTGTATGTTGAATTGGTGCCAAATAATAACTGCTACCTCCCTCAGAAGTATTTATTAGTTAAATTTCTGCCCCCTCAATCCTCCCAGAGAAGCTCATGATAGGAAACAACAAAGCAAAACAAGGCAATTAGATAAAAACAACTAAAACCATTAAGAACATTTAAAAGCATTTAAAACCAGCTAAGATTGCCAGGAACAATCAACTATCAGATGCCTGGGTGAACAGGAATGTTTTAATGTTAACCACAATGGAAAGATGCATTTCACAGTGGGGAAGGGGGATATTCAACAAATGGGGAACCATCACCAGGAAGGCCCTGCTATAGGTCAGCACAAACTGGGCAGCACCCAGTGACAGCACCACCAGTAATACTTCTCCTGCCGGTTATAGGGCCAAATAAAGTAGACTGATGCAAGTTTTCTAATTCTATTCAGTTACTTGAATACTTCATTACAACTGCAACGCAAGACATACCAAGAATATAAAATGCAGCAGAACAGGATGGCAGTACCCAGTCCAGTCACCAAGTTTTCATCCGTTTGTAGCCCCTGGCTAAATTCAGGTACACAGATTGTGATGTTCTTCTGATTCTCATCTAGGACTTGGAAAAAAAAATCACAATTGGCATGGCTCATTTTATCTTTCAGTTATATGATTTGATACATCCTAAAACTGTATTTTTAAATTAATAAAATCTATATGATCCATAATGAAACACAGTGTACTACTGAAAAGGCTAAACTTGCTGTTGTTCTTTTCTATTTTACGGTTTGCTGCATTCATTCATTCATTCTTCACTTTTATTCATGCCATTATGACTAAATGGCAAGGTCTGAAAAGCATCACTTTCCCCCACTCACCCCAACAACCAGCTATTACACTCTGCACCAAGAGAGGGAAACTGTAGCGTTCTAGATGTTGTTGGACTACAATTCTCATCATCCCTGACCATTGGCCATGCTGATTGGGGACCTTGATGGCAGTTGGAGTCCAACAACACCTGGAAGGCCATAGGTTTCCCATGCCTGTTCTACACCCCCCAAAACATACTTTCTCATTTTTTTGAGTTAGTGACACATCATATTCTAAAAATAACCCCCCCCAGTAGTAATCATATAACATCTTCCAAACAAGACATTAAAGTATTTCTTTTTTTTTTAATTGCTAGAAATAAAACCGAAGAACACTCTACATTCTATGTATCAGCTGAAGCTAAAATATATATATTAACCTTCCCCAGCCTGGTGCCTTCCAGATAGTTAAGCCTACAGTTTCCTTCAGCCTCAACCAACAGGGCCAATTATCAGAGATGATGAGAGTTATAGGAGACCAGGCTAGGCAAGGCTGGCATAGCCTGAACAATATAGGATAGATTCATGTCCTGATATGAATACTACAACAGTATACTAACAAGTGAAGCCGAGACCTTTATATTGCCATTGGTGTAAATGCACATATAATTCCTGATCCAAACTAAACTTACTAGTTTCTGGTGGTTTGCTTGAAAGAGATGAAAAGGTGAGATACATGACATAGCAGCTGATAATGCCTGATTGCAGCAAGCCAGAATGTGGCTGACCTAAAGTTAAAAAATGGAATATTATTAATAATAATTGTTTTAATACATTTTTGAAAAGCTTTTAGAGAATGGAAATGTATATTTTCTTTTTTAACAAAAGCTTTGGATCTAACCCACTAATTCCTACTGCGATTTTTATTTTATTTTTAGAATTAGATTTTTCCAAAAGTGGCAAGTAAAAGACACAATACAATTTGCTCTCATAGCTGGTCTGTCAAAAGGGAAGGGGGATTCAGAGTTACCCTAACTCATTTACATCCCTGAATGTTTTCTGTCACCAAAGGCTTGATATTAAAGACTCAAATGGATAAGCAAGTCTTAGAAGACATAAATGGCTAAGAGGAGCATTGAACTTAAAACCTCTGTGAAACTATCACTAACTTAAGTCTCACTGATTTCGATGAGTCTATTATAAGCATGACTAATTAAGTAATTCTAAGCACAGGAAGCTGGCAAAATTTATACTGGCTTAAATTAAGATGGCGTAAGTTATCCCTATTCCAAATTTTGTTCAGAAGCAGAGCTGAGGCAGCCTAAGTCTGGTAAAAGGAAAACAAACCTTTAAAATTGAGTTTGATTTACACCAACCTTTTTGGTGCTCTAAGTTCTGCTGACAGAGGTTGGCTTAAGTCTCTCCTTGCCTCACCCCAAGAATGAACTTTTCTGGGGATTTTACACCAGCATAGATTCTGCCAACTGAGTCAGATTAGCTCCAGTTCAGCTGGGTTGAGAGAGTTACACCATCCCTCCAAGATCTGCCTACTCTAAGCTTGCACATCCTGGTGGATCTTGGGTTTGGATTGTGCTGTTAGTCTGGCTCCAACCCATAAGTAGTAATAATAATGCAAAGATTCCTCTAGAAGGCTGCCTATTCATTCCTCTAGTCCAGCATGGCAGTGGTTCTCAGAAATATGCATTTAACAGCATCTGCTATCCGATCCTTTTTTAACTGGAGATGCCAGGAATTGATCTAGGGACCCTCTGCATGCCAAGGATGTGTTCTGCAACTAAGCTACAGTCCTTCCTCTCAATACATATGGCAAATTGATGCATGCAGGTAAGCCACAGCAGTGCTGTGACCTGATGGGGCTATACAGCAGGCTTATACAGATGGGCTGTCAGAATTGACAGTGGGTGCTGGCGGATTATTTTACACAAGAGAAATTCAGCTGCTGGGTCAGAGACTGTGACAAACAGACAAGTCCCAAAACGCAGGCAAAATTCTACTTCTAAATATATTGAGGTTCAGTTACGGCCAAGGAAATCAACAGTAGTTCCAGCTAAAGTAATACCAGACCAAAAGAGCTTGCTTACGGTTTTGGACACAAGGTGAGATGGCTATCATTGAAATAAGCAAGCACAAGCCGCCATTGACGCCAAGCAGGATCTTGTTAAAATTGCAGCCATCGGCACGTGTGTAAAAGACAGCCATCACAATCAGAGCTCCAACAGCGACGGAGTACAAAATGAGAGTCACAAGAGCTAAGGAGCCATACCAGAGCTTATTGTGCCTTGTGCCAGATGTCCTGTTGGGGAAAGAAAAGGGCAGCATGTATTTAGCTGAAGGGAAAGCAAATGAATTCTATGGATTCATTGTCAAGAGGTATCCTCATGAGGATAGTTCATTATGGGGAAAATTTGCTGTATTTATATTGTTTAATACAATGGACACTTCTAAAGAAGAACAAGCCATGCCTTAATTATTTGAAGTGAGCATGGCCTACTGCATACAGGATTCACAAACTGATATGGTCTATGCATGTCTGGAGGGATTATAATACAGTAAATTGTGACCAGCTATAGGATGAACCTTCAAGGCTAGAAAAGTCAGTGCTTGGTTCCATGAAAATGAATTTGGGTCCAGCGGAATGAAACAGAACAGGATCTATCGGGAAGCACAAAAACTACCATATATTTCCGTGTATAAGATGCCCCCATGTATAAGACGCCTCCTCTTTTTTGGGACTCCAAATTGATAAAATGGGGGGAAATTGCCCAGAGTTGTTTTGGAGGGGAGGCGAAAATCATTCACCTGCAGGACCAACACACCCAATCGCACATCAATGAAGCAACCAATCGTCAGCACGTTCGCCAAAAGTACAAGGGCTGAGGACTCCTCAGAGAGGCAAACACTGCCCCCCCCCCCAGCATTTGAGTATAATGCAGAAATCTCAAGAGGTTTACATTTCTTTCTCTTCCAAAGTTCATGCATTTCTAACATTTGTGGAATGAAAAAGAGTAATGAAGGCACTGTTGCACCATGCATGTGAAAGTTTTCTGCAGCGATAAAAACTGTGATAGTCACTCAAAGAAACAGCTTGTAATAAATAGTAAGTGAAAGACCAAAAAAAAACACCAAACCCCAGAGTCAGGAATAAAGGAAGCAGCATGGATAAGAAAGAAGCACTCTAAAAGATATAATATGAGAATGCCTGATACAAATGCTAAATTTGATCACAGCTGCTATTCAAGGCAATATAGAAACTCACACAAATGCATGCATGTGCAAGATACATACCAGTTCTTATTCCATTTGTGGGCAAATTCTACAAGCAGGATGAGTTGAATGAGGATAAAGAGGAACCCTCCTGCAGCACCTACATAACGCCATGCTGTAGGACAGTAAAGAGTTGCATTGTCAGTTTTGACTCAGATAAATGAATTATTTTATTCACTATACAGGTTTTTTTTTTAAAGCAATGAATTCATGGCAAAAATCGGAAAGAAACTGGTTCACAAAAAGTGCACTCCAAAATTGTATTTGGCAGATTTCTGATGGTCCAATATTCTGTCAGCTAGCCTAAGAATGGGAAAACTGTGGTCTGATGTTGCTGGACTCCAGCTCCTACCAGTTTCAGGCAGCATGGCCAATTGCAAGAGATTATGGGAGCTGGAGTCCAGCAGCACCAGACAGTCCCAGGCTCCCCGATCCATGTTCCAGCCCATTTTACATTTTCAACACTGCAATATGACTGCAATCACTACTTCATGAAGAGCAGAATGTGCATCGTTTGGTTGGATAAAGCAGTATCAGATCTAAAATTCTGAGGATTTTAAAACATTTTGCAACTACCGTAATTCTCAAAACTGAGATTACAATGCGTCCATTTAAAAACAATGTAACAAAGTAGGAAACAAGTACTGTTTTATTTTTATTTTTTTATGTTACAACTGTTTTTATGTTGGATCTTTGTATACCGTTTAAGGATTTTTAAACATTAAGTCATTTGGAAATGCCTTTTAAATAAATAAATATTACATTTTAAAAGTTTTATTTAAAAGACATATAAGCACAAAGGAGGATATAAATATTACTCAAAATAAGGCAACTCAACAGTAAAATATTTCTCTTGCAGGGCTACCCAGAATTAAAACTATATTGGGTAGCGCATACAAAACTGTATACTTAAGAACCTTTATTTAGACTTTCTATACTTAGAACCGAAAGAAAGTGAAGCATAAGAGCCCCAAAGGGCCTTTATAAGACAACCCCAAACAGCAGTTTGTGGTTGAAACCAGATGTTTACCTCCAGATTCAAATTTAGATGGCTTTACTGTATTCCCACCAAAAGGGCAGATTCATAATTGTATTCACACTGTTCCTTAGCACTCCAAAAACACACACAGCATATTTTTAATGAAAGAGAAGTGCAAACCAACATTAACATTTTGTTCAATATATAAATTATATGTGGGGACAATCTAATCAGCAACGGTTTTCTGTGCAAACCACATACAAAATCTCAGCAATGCAGCTTAGGTCCTCACAATTTAAAAAGTACTCAAATCAAAGAGCCAATTAAATTATAGGCACATACAAAAGCGTGGCTGCAAGATGGGGCTGTGTGTTACTCCATTGAGACTGCTCAGTGCAGCTAAGCTTCATTACAAGGCCTAGTAACATGTGCTCCACCAACATGACTGGTTTCTGTCCAGTTAGTGGACTGAAAAAGCAAGGAAGTGAATGCGAATGGAGCTGCAGACTTTGAAGTTGTCCTTCTTCATGTCTTGATTTTTCAAAAAGTATCTCATTTTATGGACAATTAATTAGATATCCTGCAATTGCATGTGTGAGTGCTTACAGCCTAAACTAGTTAATAAAAGCACCTTCTTATCTCTAAAGCCTTGGGATATTCTACATGTAGCCTAAACTATCATGTATTTTTCTCCTCCTAGACCTAGAGGATTTGGAGATTGCCATCTGCCAGCATTTCTGACAAACAACAAATAATCTTAATTGATAAGAACTGCTGTTCAGACACAGGATCTTACAATAATGAAATGAAAGCTCTGCAAGAAATCTAATTTTGCACTACTAGACAATGTCAATTTGGAAACTAATGAAATTGTGGGAGACTTTAACTGAAATTGCTGCTGACTTTTGGCAGCACAAGATCAAATGCAGTTTGGTTTAATTGTTCCACATGAAGAACAGAACAAATCACTGACTACTGCAAGCGATGCAGTCCAGCTGTACTAATATGCTTAGACTGAGATAATCATATCAGGCTTGACATACCAACAAGGTCTTTCACATTCCATAGTGAGTCATTTCTCCTGCATTCATTGGGAGTTTCGCTGCTTGAAAATATGCACCTAACACATGGGGGGGGGGGGAATCTACCATATTTTCAAACAGCAATAAAGTGATGAAAGGTTTTCTGCCTCTTATAATACACAACCACCCACACATTATGAATGAAGTGGATAAATGCTGTATTTGTGTAGCCCTGATGTTTGGCACTTTAAGTTAAGGAGAAAAGGAGCATCCTGCAGCTGCAAGTGTTCAACAGGGTATTTTTCTGAAAGGGGGAGGGATAAGCAAAACTTATTTGCTATGTTAAACATGCAGTTTGCACTTGCAGTTTCTAGGGAGCTATGGGAAGCATGGCTGGGGTTAGAGGGAGGCTAACCTTATCCCTCTTTGCTGCATTCACAATTCAAAGTTCCAACTCAACTGCCCTGAGAGGAAAGATGTTATCGGCATCAATTGCAGCTTCCCTACTGTGACAAACTGCAGCTTTATTTTGGTGCGGGAGAGTCAATAATAATAATAATTTATTATTTATACCCCGCACATCTGGCTGGGTTTCCCCAGCCACTCTGGGCGGCTTTCAACAAAATATTAAAAATACATTAAAATACATTAGTCAAATTCTCCTCCACTGGTTTCTAGCGTGAATCAGGTCTTCTCCCCACTCCTGCTGCCATACATCATTTTAAAAGACGCAAATATGTTTAATGAATTATTGTATAGTTAGGCCTTTTAGAGTTTGGCTTTTTTATTTTTGCACAAGTTGCTGGTAGGCTTGCAGGCCTGTTTCTCAGGCACAACCTTGAAAGGGATTCTGGTCACAGCAACATCATACATTTAATGGACTCTCGTACCACTTTAACAGGCATTGCTTTCCTCCAAACAGGGGGAGCCATGACTGTTAAAGTGGTGTAATAGTGCATGAGCCTAACTTCATCTGCTCTTGTCCAAACTATTACATTTCACACAAACACTCTCCTTGTCTGTCTTGCATCTGCAGCATGGACATCCAGTCCCTACTCCTGTCACTCTGCTCCGGCTTATTTCTTCCAAAAGTCGAGCAGATGAGAAAACACAGCACCATGCTTCAACTGTTTCTCACTCTCCCTCAAAAGAACTGTGCCAGATGTCATCCATAACCAATTTAGCATCTCTGGTTAAAGGTAAAGGGACCCCTGACCATTAGGTCCAGTTGCAGACGACTCTGGGGTTGCGGCGCTCATCTCGCTTTATTGGCTGAGGGAGCCGGCATACAGCTTCCGGGTCATGTGGCCAGCATGACTAAGCCGCTTCTGGCGAACCAGAGCAGCACACGGAAACGCCGTTTACCTTCCCGCCGGAGCAGTACCTATTTATCTACTTGCACTTTGATGTGCTTTCGAACTGCTAGGTTGGCAGGAGCAGGGACCAAGCAATGAGAGCTCATTCCGTCATGGGGATTCGAACCACTGACCTTCTGATCGGCAAGCCCTAGGCTCTGTGGTTTAACCCACAGCGCCACCCGCGTCCCTAGCATCTCTGGTTATCTGCTATCAATTGATACTCAGTAGATCAGAGATAGAGGACCAGTGCCTCCTAGAAGAAGCTCCCTAGACTCCAACCATCACCATCCCGAAACACTGGCCATGCTTGCTGGTGGTCATGGAAGCTGGAGTCCAGAAACATCAAGAAGGCCACAGGTTCACCATCCTTGTAATAGATGAAGAGAAAACACACGCCATTCTTTTAAAGTTAGTACCTTTAAGAAATGTATCCTGGTCGGGAATGAAAAAGGCTCCTGAGCACATGGCGGCCAAGACTAGAAGTTTAATGAACCAAAATCTGAAGTGGAAAAAACAAACACAAAGAATTTAATTTACTTAAGCTGTGAAAATCAGATAACCCATTCTAGGTTCATTGTTTATTAACCTGTATGAAGAGGGGCGGAGGTAACTTAAGCAATATCACCTCTCCTTATAAATACAAGGAAATGAAAAAGAAATCGGCTGGTTTCTCACTTATTCTTGTGTTTCTTCTGCTACGCTCCCCAGTTCAAAGGATTTAAGAAGAGCCCTACTGGATCAGGCCAATGGCTCACTGGTCCAGCATCCTGTTCTCACAGTGGCCAGCCAACTATGGGAAGCCCCATAGCAGGACTTGAGTGCAAGAACACTCTACCAACTTGTGCTTCCCAGCAACTGGTATTCAGGGACATTAATATGTCTGACAGTGGAAGATGGAACATAGCCATTGCGGCTGTGTCTGAAGAGAGAACATATATGAGTTCCATCAAGATGGGGTTTAGAAAGAGACAGTGCAAACAGTGTATTCCCTATTAACTGTGTGGCTGCTATTTTTTGCAATGTACCATAGGATCCGAAATAAGCACAAACAAACCAAAAGACACCACAGCTATTGCACTGTAAAAGGTGGCACACAATTGCACAGGAAAGCAAAATAAAACAAGGAAAGAGTCCTCATCACTATGAACACTGTCATTCAGACTTGACTATCCATCCTGAATGAGACACACCTTGTGCGCACTTTAAATACGTTTAGGTTTTTTTGTTTTTTTTAATGCTTTAAGAATGGTGTGTGTGTGATCTAATGAAAATGACAGGAAGTCAGCAAAGAAATCCATGCAAACATAGGAGGAGGAGAGGTGGGTATATATAGCACTGGAAAAGGAATTTCTGCTAGTATTGTTTATTCAGTGCTATGAATATGCTCAGGGTTTCTTTAAAAAATGGCAAAGCCACAAAGAGCTTTCAGCAGGAGAGGAGCGGTAGCTGGGTAAAGTGCAAAGCTCATAAAACATTTGTAACCATCTTCCTGCTTTGCTCTGCTCCCCCTGAAGGAAGAGGAGACACGGGGCCATCCAGGGAGGATACTGGACCCACCCACCCCTGACCTGTAATAGCTGGCCTTGACACCAGACTTCTGGGTGGGGAGGGGGAGGCTGAGATTAGCCCATTCAGCCCAGACACTGAGGTCCAGCTCCAAGGACCTTCTGGTGGTTCCTTCACTGTGAGAATTGAGGTTACAGGGAATCACCAGGCAGAGGGCCTTCTCAGTAGTGGTGCCCACCTTGTGGAATGCCCTCCCATCAGATGTCAAGGAAAGAAACAACTATCTGACTTTTAGAAGACATCTGAAGGCAGCCCTGTTTAGGGAAGTTTGATGTTTTATCATGTTTTTAATATTCTGTTAGGAGTCGCGCAGAGTGGCTGGGAAAACCCAGCCAGATGGCCGGGGAATTAAATCATCATCATCATCAACATCTAAATTAGTGGGTAAGATTATTTCTTTGCTTATTAATTGCATATCATTAAGCCGTATAAATAGTAGCATATTGCTGGTATATTTATTTCTCCACGGATGTTATATTATATGAAATATTATAGTATTATATTATTCCCACCCCCCTTTCTCCCTGTGGTATTATATATTGCATGTAAGTTGCTTGGAGACCTTTGAGTGACAAGCAATTAATAAGTTTAATAAATAAAATAATAATAAACACGGATGGTAAAAAAGCACTAAGCACTACATATTTAGATTGTGAAGAAATCCAGCAGCTTAGAATAGTGAGTGTTTAAATTAGTGCAAAACCAAGACAGCCATTTGGCTTACCCATTGTGCATGTATGCACGGCAACTTTTGCTATTGTTGATTTTGATGGTGAGTAAGAAGAAGATGAAGAAGAAGCAGGCCATTCCGAAGCTCACTCGATAAACTGCAGAGTACCCCACCAGCTTCTCACATGAGTCACCTGCCTGAATATGTTGGCATAGTGTGCCATAAAAGGGAATCTGAAACAGAACAGTAAAACAAATTTAGAGATACGTGGTATGAAAACAACGACACACAGTTCAAGAGACTTTCAGTTCATTAGGCGATGCGACCCGAGTTGCCAACCCAGAATTCTGCTTAAATTTACCTTCAGACATTTGCCAGAGGATCAGAATTTCAAACAAAACTCCAATCTGTGCATTATAGCGGTGCTATAAGATGTTCTGGGAGAGAAATATTGAGATATGCCAATTCTTTATTTAGAAATTAAGTTACATGTTCTTTTGTGGAATAATTGTATTTTCCAAAAAAGGTATTCATTAACAGCATGCCAGAAAGATTGACCATGATCATTTGTAACACTAAACCATATTTTAGTGCTACATGGATGATCCTGAACAAATCCAGGTAGGAAACTTGTGACCTTTCAGATATTGCTAGATTCAGCTCCTGTCATCTCTGATCATTCTTCATGCTGGTTTAGGCTGATGGAATTCAGTGGCATTTGGAGGGTCACTATCTTGATTTAGTGATTTAGTGTTGTTTAGTTTATTTGTTTGAAACATTTCTGTATCGCCTTTCATTGATAATACACAGTAGTAAGAATAAAATATTTTTTTAAATTATTTTACCACGGAAAAAGTATCCCCACCCAAAAAAACCCAACAACTCCCAACAGCATGAAATGCTTATTAGTTACAAAACTGCAGAAATAAAATACCAGAAAGGTGGGGAAAATTCCAGCTCTCGTTTACTCAATATTTGCTTTTGTGGCCGTGCTTTCGCTCATGGAAAAAGAACAGCCAGCTACGCATTCTGGTCTCAAGCTCACCACACGAATGTGGAGTTGTGCTCAGAAAACACATCTTACAAAGCAAGCTTCTGATCTGAAGCTCTATACTTCAGCTGTGTCCCCTATGAAGACTGGTTCCCACCCCTTCACAACCAAGGCAGCCTGAAAATAGAAGCACTGATATACAAATACAAGCATTTACAATAAAATAAAGGCCTCTCTATATCCTCATGTGTGTGGACTAACTGAACTTTTTATCACAGCTGAACAGAACACCATTAACACTCCCTTTCCCCTCTTATGAACAGAGCCAACTCTCCAAGAACCTCTTCCAAGGCTAAACCCAGCTTGCAGAATTGGAAGAAAACAACGTATAGAAAAATATTTTCACTTAAACGGTCTCTGGATAAGGGAAAATTTGCAAGATGTAGACTATGCCTGGTAGGAACATAATATAATTATTCTGAGATATAGGAAATACTTCCATTTGCTTATGCGAACAGCTCCAAACCTTGGCCATGATCCAAAGAGCCATAAAATAAGCTCTGAATTCAGAACCATGGTGGTGTAATATGTAGGCGCATCCAGACTTGCTTTTGTGCCACATTTCTAGACACAGGTCCACACTTTATCATTCCCTGTCGGAGTGCACTTTCTTTATGCCCCAACACTTTCCCCATGAAATACCACTCTTTACTGCTGAATCAGAGCAAATGGAAATGCACAGAAAACCCAAATTGCCATTTGTTCTGATTCAGAGTTAAAGAGCAGGTTTTTCTGGGGGAAATGGCAGCCGGAGTAGGGAAGGGCAGAGCTATTGGACACAGATCAGTAAAGCATGGACCTTTGCCTATAAAGCAAGGGGCAAAAGGTACCGGTAAGTGCGGATGAGACCTTTGAGTGTTTAACCAGGACTAGAGAGTGCCAGGTTCAAATTTCCACTCAGTTGTAGGGCTAGCAAAACCACAAAATTTGGACTCTGGGCTTAAAGGGCACAAAACCTAGAAATCATGTCTCACCATCAAATGACTGCTTTGACTGATGAAAGTCTAAGGCCACTTCCACTAAGGGGTGAATTAAAGCAAATACAAAACTGAGGATGGAAGTCTATAAAAAGAAGGCAGTTTGGCAACTAAAGAATGAAGTCTCTACAAACTTGGCCAACATTATCAGTCCTTTGCTAAATTGCTGAGGAAGCATGTTACTCCACACTGTTTTGTTAAGGTCTGGAAACATTTAATAAACATTTTCCAGAACATCAGTCTTGAAACAGCAAACACTTTCATTTATAAAAATCAGACCAGAATACTGTAGCTGCCCTAGCCTGGTGTTTTCCGTACCAATATGCAGTGATGAACACTACTACTAAAGATTTTCCAGAAGAAGAACTGCTTGTGCCAGGGGTGGCCAACTTTTTTTGATCCGAGGACTGCACAAATCTTGGGTCAACCCTCCTAGGACTAAATGCCAGCAACGGGTTTGGCTACCTCTCCCTCTCTTCCCACAGAAGAACAGGAGGTGCGGCGGGGAGAGAGACTCTCCTAATCTGTGAAGAACAGCTAAAGCGGGGTAATTATTGCCTTCTCTCTGATCATATGAGGGAGGGAGCAACTTATATCCCCATCGGGATGCTGAGCTCCACTGACTTCAGTGCTGTGCCTGCTTTTATTTTTCTTAATAACTTTTTGCCATGAATGGTGGGATCTTTTGTGGGATGGGGGCAGAAAAAAATTGCTTATGGTGGCTAGATCAAGACCCCAAACTAGAGGTTAGCCAAGTCTGGAGACTGCAGAAAGCTAAGCAAACAAAATCAAGTCAGAAGTAGGCATGAAGAGTCAAAAGGGAGCTGTCACAACTACTCATAACTCCCTGCTGAAGGCCAGCCCCCCAGTTCTGATCAAGTGGCAATGCTACTGAAACTGAAAGGCAGATTCCGTGGTGTACTTCTTGTTCTCTCTGCTTCGCAAACACACCTGCAAATAGGGTTGCTTATGCAATCAGGTCACTTTTGCCCCAGCTCTGTACAGAACAATGGCAGCAGTACAGTACTTGTTTCTTCTACAGTGGTACCTTGGGTTAAGAACTTAATTTGTTCCAGAAGTCTGTTCTTAACCTGAAACGGTTCTTAACCTGAGGTACACTTTTGCTAATGGGGCCTCCTGCTGCCGCTGTGCCGTTGGTGCGCGATTTCCATTCTTATCCTGGAGCAAAGTTCTTAACCTGGAGCAACACTTCCTGGTTAGCGGAGTTTGTAGCCCAAAGCGTCTGTAACCCAAAGGGTCTGTAACACAAGGTACCACTGTACAGGCAGCAAACATCAAAAGAAAATACCTCTGCAGAGTTTTCAGGCTTCTCTCTTCCCATCCCTACCTCTTTGATATCTGCCATGCTTCTTACAATGATGCCTGAATTGTAATCAACTGTTTATCTGTGAGCCTTCCTTCCAGACAAGCATGAGGAAAACTGCAGTGCTGGTATTTGTATGAACTGTATTGTCTGCAGACTAGAGATTCACCCCCATGGTTATGTCAGTCCTTCATATGCAGGGTGCATGTGTCAGAGCTGTCTGTAACTGGCAATCATTATAATAATGCAATCATTTTCCAACTGAATGAATGGGAACAGCAGTTGCATTAAAATCAGGATGGAGATGGAAAAAAGAGTGAGAAACCAGAATTCAGTATTCCTCTCTGCAGAAGAGCAATTATTGCTTCTGGATCTGTTCTATTACACAATAAACTTGAGAGGCCCTTGAGTTTTCTACACTTTGCTGCAGAGCATTAGAGCACGAGAAAGAGGCTAAGAGTTCCAACAAAGGACCTGCTTGAGTCACTTGTGTTCTCTCTTTTAAATCTGCCAAACACTCAAGTTTCAAAGAGCCGTAATCTTTTGCCTTCATACAAACAATTACCCTTTGTACTGTCCCTTCCTACTCCTCCTGGCTCTTCCTACTTCTCAGTTTTCAAAGCAAAACACAGGATGAAATCAACAGACAGTGAGCCTTTAACAGTCTTAGGACAGTAGTGGGATTTTTAAAAAAACAAAAACACACTAAACATTTTAATGCTAATTTGGAACATAGATAATGCAAATGATAGTTTCTCCACCCAAACCTCTGTCAAGAGCCAAGTTTAATGTGCTCTTTACTAGAAATGACAGTCATTCCATTTAACAACCGATATCAGCACCTGCCCGCTCCTTCCTTAAAAAACCCAGTTACTTACATGTGCTTTCATTTCTTTTGCTACCGTCTCCGACATCATGATGCAACAGATGAGAGTCACCAAGATGAAGTACAGTGCATACATAAAGCGGGTGCTAGTGGATTGCTTTATCTTTGGGCAGCATTTGCAGCAGAGTGAACATGGAGCAGTGCCACAACAGCAGGCCAACTAGAGGAAATCAATGATAATAAAAAAGGTTAACATTGTTATAATTTTTACATCAGCGAACACAGCTCATTGATCACTTACTATAATCCAGAGAGATGTTTTTAATAGATGCACCAAGAGCTATGAAAGATTCCAATACTGCATATGGTGGAATGGGAGAGCAAACCTAATTGCTAGTGAAACTAGACTTTGAAACTCTCCCCCTCCACCCCACTTGATTAGAGATGGAAACAAGGTTTTCCTATCCTCTTTGTTTATCCACTTTTTTTTCCACAGGGAAAGGTGTAACTGGCATCTCCAAGTTCTAAACACATAGGCCAAACTATGCATTACGATGTTACCGATTTGGTGCCTATAGCAGCAAGGGTGGCCTTGAGGTCCCACACACAACTTGGGTTCAAAGTATCTGAAGGACCATTTGATCCCTTATACTCCAACCTTGATCACATAGAACTTCTCTGGTGGGGCACTTCTGGTGGTTTGGTTAGCCTTCATTTTCACTAGGGATGGAGCCTTTAGTGTGGCAGGTCCTGCCCTGTGGAACTCCCTATCTGTAGAAGTTTGGCAGGAATCATCCCTGCCTTCTTTCAGATGTCTTCTGAAAACTGTACTGTTTAGATAAGCCTCCACAATATGTTGCTTTTTAACCAACCAGTATCTACTGATGTTTTATGGGTCTTTATATACTATTGTTGTACTTTTTAAAAACTGACAGCTGCCTTGATATAATTTATGAAAGTTTAGCTAAATAAATGAATAAACCTTCCAATCGTAGTATTATTATTGCCCTGCTTGGTCATGAGGTAGTGAAGGTGGTTAGCCCCCTTGGTCATGGCATGGCGATGGTGGTTAACTTTTCTCCTAAAAGGCAACTGAACTGAAAGAAGTTGAAAGAGTGACACTCTTTCTCACTTCCTCTTCCAGCTTTACGTGCTTTTCAGGGCTCTGTTTAGTTCTACTTGATCCAGCTTTGAACCACATACGTCAAAAAAGCAAAGTGTGTCCATGCAGGCACTTTCTCTTTCTGCCTCTATATATGTGAGAAACCCAAGAAAAGGGAGCAAGAAGTAGACAGCTCAGTCAGCAGAGCATGAGACTCTTAATCTCAGGATCGTGGGTTCGAGCCCCACCTTGAGCAAAAAGATTTCTGCATTGCAGGGGGTTGGACTAGATGACCATCTTGGTCCCTTCCAACTCTACGATTCTATGATTCTAAGTGACCAAATGGGATGTTATCCACGTCGCCGGCTCAAAAATTCAAAATTTACCACTGGCCTTAAAAAGTTGACAACTCCTGCTATATTAATGCAATGACTACCAACCATGTTGTGGATGTCTCAAAATAAGTGAGGTTTTCTTTTCGGGGGGGTGTGTGTGTGAGGAGAGACTCATTTGCACTGCAGTGCTCAAGAAAAAAAAAAGTTTAATTCTTTACAATCTTGGTAAAAATCAAGTGTGTTTTCCCCAGTGTTAATGGCCACATTGTGGGGTAGGATTGCAAATGTGGAGGTAAGGCTTAAACCTCCCCTTCCCATTCACGATTATGCTGATGTCAAATGCTGCCTACATATGCAAGGAATTTAATTTTGTAAAACCTACAATGAGATTGCTAATCGTACCATTAATGTAACATGTAGGTTACATCTGCCCCTATCTTTTGTTAAAGCTTAAATCTCCTTGTCAGCCAAGATCTCACACATGCATCTTCTCAACCTCTCCATACCAAACTAAAGTTGCTCAGAGCCAAAATTAGCTGCTGCAGTGGTCCATCATGGCTGACCCTGGTGTTCACTGATCTTAGTAGTCCTTAGGATCTGGCAGAGCCAGAGTGACAAGAGTCAGAAAGAAAAGTTCTGAAGGGAAATGATGCTTGGTGGTGGCAGCAAAATTTTGACGGGGCACCTGATCAAATACATTCCAAATATTTTACAGATAGAATTATTTGTGTAAGAAAAAATGGATTATGTTGTAGAAAGGCATATCACAAGCAAAACACAATCCATGTACGGTATTTAATACCAATTACTTCTGACAATGTTGAAAGCCAAGCCTTATAACTCAGACCCTTCCAGGCTTAAGAGTAAAGCTTTTTCCTATTTTTTTACTCAGACAAAAACTCCCACCAATTCTATTTGTTTCCACTGAGTAAACAGGAACCTAGAGGCTTGCCCTTACTTCATGCCATCCAAAAACACGCAAGAATCGACTGAATAGCCTTACTGAACCATTATTAATTTACTACACACTGTGAAGCTTTTGTGACAGACTGAATGGTGAAGAGTTAGATCATCTTAACAAAAGAGCTCTGTTTCACTTAATATGGGAAAAAACACACCAAACCAAACAAGCATGGGACACAAGGAAATTCAGTGCTAGCTGGCATACTGTATAAATTCTGGCATTGAATAAGGTATGATAGGGAAATACAAAGTATTAGGGATGTCGCTCAGTCATCATTCTAGACAAACACATCCAAACATTAAAAGCTAATATAAGAATATATTATCCCTTACACTTTCTATACATAATTATCTCTTTAGCATATTTCACTGCAGAGCTGTGTCCTGGGGGCATGTCCCCTATGCCGTATGTTGATTGGCCCTCTCCATGTGGGTGGCAAATGGGTGTTATCAAAAAAGGTAGGAGACAATGTAAACTGGGCACTCACACAGAGGACCTATGTCACATGTGGCACTATCTATATCCTCAAAGGAAGAAGAGTGTGCCTTTGCCATTACCACACAAAAACTTTGTTGGCCTGGTAAATGAACTATGCCAGAAGAAGACTGGTTTAGATATCACAACTGTCACTTTAAATTGTTCTGCATCAGGGGTAGGAAACCCATGGTCCACCGGATTTTGTTGACCTTTGGCCATGCTGGTTGAGGCTGATAAAAATTGTGAGTTTGGCAAGATCTCGAGAGCCACAGCCTTCCCATCTATGTTCAACATGGTGGCTCTCATGTAAAGATGTGCCACCACATTGGTTTGGCAAAGCTTTACTACACCATCCCAGACCTTACTTTAGCATATCATGCTCCTGTTGAGTTCAACATGCAATAACAGCTTATCAGTCTGTGTAAAGCCAGGCAGTGAAACGGTCCCAGAAGGCCTGTAAACAGCATTTGGTAGTCAAGATAACCTGGTGCTAATTGGTCCATGCTGCAAGATCTGCTTGCTTTGAGAGCTTGGCCTAGGGAGTTGCGAGCTACCTGTGCAACATGGATGCCTGCAACCAATTCCCTCATCTGACAAATGGATGGGAGGGAGTTGGAAACAGACCACAAAGGCAGGTGTGATTAACTACTAGACTATAGCTGGCAGACTACCATACATATGATGTTTCTGTGTAAGTAAAGCATGTAATGCTTGCCCAGGTATGGACAGTCATGATGCACTTGGTCATGGGGGGCCTGAGGTACTTTGGCACCTGCAGTGAAACACCCCTCTGCTACCCCCGCCCCCAGTGATGAGAGTGCAAACTCCACAAGGAGTCTCCCCAATCAGGCAGGTAGATCCTTTCTGAATCCCCAAGCCCTCTCACTTGGCAGCAGGGCTTTTCACTGGCTACTCCCTTCAAGAGAAGCCAGTGCAAAACCATGCCACACTGCCAGGAATGGGGAATCATCTCATTGCCTGATGGCAAAGCTGGATGGTGGAATGCTTCCCCCTCTCACCAACTTGGCAGGAGGGGAGAAGCTCCACAGCTCTCTGCCCCTAGTGGCTAGGGAGACCAGCAGCAAAGCTGGTTCGCAGAACTCGGGTGACGCTCCTTGGAGACTGCCGCCTGAAGCAGCCACCTCATCCAGCCTCACGGGAAGGGGTTGGCTCTGCGCTTGCTGCTTTTGGAGTCTGTCCCAAGTCATAACAAAGAGGATCTCTGCATTGCATTATAAGTGAAGCTTTAGAACTGATCACTGGTACTTCGTTCATCCTCCTTTGGAATCCCTGCAGCTAGGTCCTTTGGGCCTCTGTAAACCATCTGCCAAGATCCACATCTGGGCCTGTGGGGCAGATTACAGTCAAACCATAATCCTGCCCTATGGAGGTTCTTCAAACTGCTATTGGTGGTCTGACATCCACTGCTTTGTATACCAACTGTCCTGTTGAAGAATTTTGGAGAACTGAGCAGTTTGCCACATTGCTGTGACTTTTTGGTTGATCCTAATAAAAGTATTACCCAGCAGTGGACTTGGGAAGTCTCCCCCTTTCCCCCCTCTTATAGGCCAGTAGAAGCAATGAACATTCTCAGAAGGACAGTATCAAAGGGAACATATACTGTATTCATATTTGGCTTAGGTATTTTTTTTTTTAATAGCAAGAAAGAGCTTTATTCTATTTGGCTTTTTTGTGTTGAGCTCTCTTCTGAGGAGTATAAAGAAACACATTAAAAAAAACTTTGCAGTAGAAGAAGTCACACCCAGTGGTTTCATTTTTTTTCTCAGTGAACACAGCAACTGGAATTTTGCCTTAAGCCTTCTTATCAACAATTTCAACAAGTGGGTATTTCTGCGTTTGCTGAAGTTGAATTCATTTGTCACCTACTTAAGAACTGACCGTCATCTCAGAATAACTGTATATGCTAATAGAAAAAAGGGGCTTTCTAGTAAATGGAACTGCAATTCCCTTCATTCCTTGGTTTATTAAATTGTAATCTTGCAGGCAGGTGCATTCACCCAACCTGCTTTTTTTAAATAATAAAAATAAAAGTTGACTAAAGCTGCAGCACATGTCACACTATTGTCCTTACAAAGAAAAATTTTGGTTACATGTTATAAATACATGGAAAGATAAAAAAAGAAATATTTCCACCAATCAAATACCAAACGAATATACAAATGTGGCAGCAAGCTATTAACAAAATCTATGAGCCCTTCATTTTTCAGGAGGTGCTATCAGGTCCATAAGGTTGCAAAAATAAGAATAAAAATAATGATCGGCATACAAGCAGGGAAAGCTATAAAGTAAACAACATTTCTCACATCTGGCAATCTAGAGTGAGAGAAGGCTGTCCCCTCCTTAAGATGTAAAGGAAGTTGCCCTACTACTTCCAAGCATTTAATAACTAGTTGAACCAGTTACATTTGCCCAGATACAGTACTTTCAAGTTATATTTATGTACTGCATCTATTATTTTTCAGATGAGAACCAACTCCCCTAAGTTTATTAGAATAATGATAAAGTAAGGGCAAAATATAAGATGCTCTTCTAGTATCTTCCAATAAGCTTTTTTTTTACCCTGCTCCACCCACAATGAACCTTCTGGCATGCTTCTCATCATATGAAGACTGCAGGAGTAAGAGGGAAAGTGTAAGGAAAGAGAATACTACAGTATATAGAATATTTATGCAAAGAAGAAAGGAGTTGTAAGGTAACTATTTGATTACAACTGGAAGCCATTAAAGAAGAAAGCGATGCATTTCAGCTTTAAAGTCAGGCCTACTAACCAAGGTATTCCAGGAGGAAAAAAGAAAACTGTTGCATTTATATCCCAACTTTTCCTCCAAGATGCTCAAGGTGGCTTACATAGGTCTCCATATTATTCTCACAGCAACCGTGTGAGGTAGGTTAGGTTGAGAGTTGGTGACAGGCCCATAGTCACCTAGTGAGCTGCATGGCTAAGTGGGGATTTGACCTCTAGTCTCCCAGGTCCTATTCTGACACTCTACCACTATATTACTGGCTTTCTGCTGACATCTGAAGAAATCTATCTGAACTCCATGGAGAAAGGGTGGATACAAATGCAATAGCAGCAACCAATTCATGTACAGTAAGTCTACAACATACATAGGGGTTATGTTTCTGGGGATAGTGCCTAAAGCCAAAATTGTGTATAGTCAAAACACATCGGGTGCTATAGTGAGTGGGATTACTAAAGCCTCCCCCCCCCAGATGCCTTCCCCCCTTCTATTTTTATTTTTGCCAAGCACATAAAGTGGAATGCGCATAAATTTAATGTGTGTAAATTGCAGGCTTACTGTATTAAATACAGAAACATGAAAGAACTTCAAGTAAGTTACTGGCGTGCACTTTTTAAGCATACAGTTAAAATAGCTGGTTTATGTTCACATAAGGATTTAAATGTAAAAACATCTCAATTGAAGGATTAAGATCCCCCCCCCTTTGCTCTCTCGCTTTCTTTTTAGTATTTGTTTCATAAAAGTCGAAGAAAAGCAGACAGCGAAACAGTAACAGTAAAAACTGGCACACTGATCCTAAACAGATTTGCTTGCAAGTCCCACTGACTTGCTTGCATTTGCTGCCTTAACCCCTCAGTACAATTCTGTAAGCAAAGGCTAACACTCCACAGCATCATACAATGCTTTTTACTGGAGTGCTTGCTGGGGTAATATTGATTGGCTGGTCCAGTCACAGCTGTGAAGTGTTCTCAGGGGAACAACAGCAGAGCATTTATCTCCTTTATCCCGACAATGCCAGATTTTAAAATAAGATTTAAGGGGATTTTTGTGGCCTTTGGGTCAATAGTTTTAGGAGATCATAGGAATTCTAGTTATAACTGTAGCTGGCTAAATCCTGTCCCTACAGCGTATGGAGTATTTCTTTAAATGCTAAGACTACATTTGCATACAATTCAAACATTTATCCATGCAATACCTCCCCTTAGTAACTGCTGTATTTCAGAGATGTAGTTTAATCTCTGAAGGGGTTTATCTTACGAAATAATATCCTTAACACAGGTAGTTGGAATGTATCAATTGCCAGCTAGATTTAGTAATGTAACTTTAGACTAAAGATAATCTTATTTGTCCATATTTGAATGGACTGACCTGCTCTCTCAATTTGAAGTGATGAAGTCTTTTGTAGTTCTCACTCATTGGTTTTTGTTCCACACCAGGCACTGAATATACAGTACCTAGGACAAGGCCAGACCATTCCCTGTCTTGTATCACAACTCAGAAAACCATTCCTAAAATAGATTATGTTCCAGAATCAATTTTACAGCCAAGTTCCTATAAAAGCACAGTCAACATTTAATGTGGAATTGGTTGAAACCCTGTTCCCTGCAACTTTTAATAGCGATGATGGACACTAGGCAGAGGCATGTAATGTAATTTCAATTAATTGTGTTTATTAAGTTCTGTTCGATATTCTAATTTATTTGATACTATTTTTCCTGGGTGAAGTTTACCCTTTCCTAAGGTTTAGTGAGTGTAAAGATAAGCAAAGGTATTTCAAATACAAACCTTTTATGACACGACATAAAAGCTGCGCCATTTAAGAACCCATTTTGCCCTTCACAGAGCAGCAAGCCCTAAACTTTTAAACTATAATGCACAGAGATAAGATAACTACATCTTCTAGATTATTTTTATTAATAGTTTACGTTATGCTGCAGGCTTTTCTGTACAGCGGTACCTCGGGATGTGAACGGGATCCGTTCCGGAGCCCCGTTTGCATCCTGAACAGAACATAAGACGCGACAGTGCATCTGTGCATGAGCAGGTCACGTTTTGATGCTTCTGCGCATGTGTGTGATGTCATTTTGACCGTCTGCGCATGCACGAGCGGCGAAACCTGGAAGTAACACGCTCCGTTACTTCCGGGTCACTGCGGAGCGCAACCCGAAAATACTTATCCTGAAGCATATTTATCCCGAGGTATGACTGTACTAATCTTTTAAAACAGAAGTGGGGGTCAGTCTTGCCCCACCAAGCTGCAGGTCAGTCTTACCCCACCAAGGGATCCAAATTGGCCTGCAAAACCATTTCCCCCAAACCATGGCCACTAATGACATCATCTGATGTGTAGGAAGGTGGGGGTTAAAGTCTGCACTCAATGCACATGACTGGTGAATTAATCCTGCTCAGTTTGGCAAGATTCTATGCAAACCTCTTCCTGATTCAGGAAGGGATTTACATGCCTGTTAAAATGAAGTGGGGAAGGAAACCCTGTTTTAGCAACATGTTGCAACTGACATAATGGTGATGCTGGGCGACTAACAATGGGAGGCTCTGCCCACCTCTCACATCTGGCCCACAAGGCAGATCCAGCTAACGATCTGGCCTGTGGAGTCCAAAAGGTTCCCTTATCCACACTTTAAAATGCTCATCCTCGGGCCTCAGAGGAAGATGCAGTAATTTTAGGGAGCGTAAACAATTAGAAGAATTACCAGATTCAGGAAACCCCTGAAAAACTGCTTGCAAGGAAAGGGGTACTTTCCTTGCTGCTGATAAGCACAGATGGCCTTTAAAACCATAGGACATCTATGACACACTAATGCGTCTTCAAAATTTAAGTACTAGTAGACTGTATGTCTTTGTGTAGTATAAACACAGAACCAATGTTGTGGTTTTTTTTAAAGAACCCCCTGGCACCTTCATTCTACAGTTTTGTCATTTGCTGAAGACACACCTTTTTATCCTGGTCTTTGACACTTGTGATACATATATGTTTAGGACTCGCTTTAGGCGTGACTGTAATTTGTTTTGATATGTTTTTAATGCTGTTTTTATATTGTTATGACCCACTGTGGGACCCAGTTACAACAGCAACACATTCATTATCACATAGCTTTCAGGCTTCCTCAAACTCAGCCCTTCAGATGTTTTGAGACCACAATTCCCATCATCCCTGACCTCTGGTCCTGCTAGCTAGGGATCATGGGAGTTGTAGGCCAAAAATATCTGGAGAGCCGAGTTTGAGAAAGCCTGGACTAGAATCTACTTCATCAAATGCTTGTGCCATATGTGTTGGTCTTTAAGGTGCCACAAGAACGTTGGGTTTGCTGCAAGAGACTAATATGTCTACCCTTCTGGAAACATTTTCAAGTTGTATTCACAAGTCATCATCCCCAAACCTCACAGAACTTACTACAATATTTTGATACTTAATTTTCCTTGTTACATTTTATCATAAAGCATTATTTCTACAAACAGAGTAGCTATGACAGAAGAAGAGGACCCAAGAAATCTGACAGGCCTTTTAAAGTTTACTCTTTAAAGCTATATAAATCAGAATGAAATGTAAACATTGCTAAATGTAATATTAGGAGATCTGACAAGATGAAGCACAGTCTCACCAACAACCTTGTCTTAGCATCACAGTGAAAGGCTGTCAGCATTTCATTTATATACAATGTGTTCTGAAAAGAAACAATTATAACTAACGTTTTCCACTGCAGCAGCTTTATTTAAAACAGAGGTCATCTTTTCAGTCTCAAGAGAATGCTACAGAAAAACCACATGTAAAATCCCGTTTCCTGTGAAACAGGGCAGATGTTTTTATGTAAGCAAAAGCAAATCACAACCGTGCAGGACTAGCAATGGGCCAGGATATAACCTATATGATGGCTGAGTACCCACAAAAACAGAATTTAGAAATCATTGCAATTAGGTCTGAGTTGCTTTGTGTCTTCAGAAGACAGCTGGGGAGGCATGTGCTTTGAAGCAGCTGCAGAGTCTAAAACTAGACGGGCAACTATTTTGAGGTTAGGTACCAATGGCCAAAGATATAGCCAAGTTCATTAATATTAGATAACTTGCAGTAACTAATTTTGCCTTGTGCAAGGATAGTTCCAGTTTGTATTGCTGTGCATATCAAAACCACAGGGCTCTGGTTGCCTAGCAAGGAATCAATATATTGTACAGGAGAAGTAGCTTACCTAGGGTCCTCCAGACATTGGTGGACTCAAACTCCTGTCAGCCCACGAAGCACAGCCAAGGATCAGGGATGATGGGATTTGTAGTACAGCAACATCTGGACATCACAATTTAGCCACAACTGCTGTACAGAAAACTTAGATACGTAGTGGCTGTAAACAATGTCTAGAGTCATAGAACCATATAGAACTGTAGAGTTGGAAGGGACCATGAGGGTCATTCAGTTCAACCCCCTGCAAGAATTTTTCACTGAATGTGGGGCTTGATTGAATACACGACTCTGAGATTAAAAGTCTTATGTTCTACCAACTGAATTATCATGAAAACAAATAGCAAACTGTGTTTTTCTTTGAGGGGGGGTTATAATCAAGTCGTATATAAATGTTATGTTATGGAATAAAATTTTTTTTAATGAAATAAATAGTGCAAAGGCGTTTATTTAATCCACATGATGAGTTATGGAACATGTATAGCATGCTGCATAGAGACAGCTACTCAATGTAATTCAAGCAGCTGTTTCCTATGCACCACCCCCAAAGTAACATTTCCATGACTAATATAAAAAACACTCCAGGATTAACCACAGTACTCCTATGAAATTTAAGGATGACTGGTTTCTAAAACTCAGAGCCGACCCTGTTCATGCTATTAAGATTCGCTGTCAGAGCTCACAGCATAGTGAAGGCAAATATTTGTTATTTGAGGAACAAAAGATGTGCATGACAATGACTCATCCCAGAAAAAAAATTATTGGGAAATTATACACTCTTAGGGATAGGAAGAACTGGAATGACCTAAAACTAATTAAGTCATAATGGAACACCTAAAATCCTGTTTTGGCCAAACATTTCCAAAACACACTGTCCAAACTTTAATTCTTTTTTGGTGTTTTTAAGAATGTGTTGGAACTAGAATGCCTCTGCGGAATTTTTTTAAACAATTGCTTCTGTTCTATCAATCTCCAGCAGTTTTCCTTGAATAAAATGTCAATATTCTAGGTTATATACCTTGTAGCTCTTGTAACCAGTGTGGATAAACTGAGGAGAGGTCCAGCATGTTTGGTTAATAAAAACTTGACAGCCACATTTCCCCCCTCTTTCTAGTAGCAAGTGAAGCAGAGATTTCCCACTCCCCCTTCCAAAGCAGCCAAATACATGCATGCATCACTTTTGTAGGGCCATTTGGTTACAGATGAGTGAGGAGGACATTTTAGTGCCCCTGACTAAGGCATTTATGAAGTGGGCTGGCCTGCTAAACCTTTGCTGCATGGATAACCCAACACGAAGCCCCAGATATGTTGTTAGACTCCAGCTTCTATCAACCCAAGCTAGCATTGGCAAGTGAGAGATGTAATCCAACAGTACCTGCAGGGGAACATGCTTATCCAGTTTTATTATTTTGCTCCTCAGATACTTAGTCTCTTATTTTCTGCTTGTTATCAGCATCTTCCACCATTTTCCTGCCCATCCATGCCATACTCACAGGTTAGGAAAGGTATTGTTTTTTACAGAAAAGAAAGGAGAAACCCTTCTGCTTCACAAAACATGCCACAACTACTGGCATCCTGGCACAAGATATAGTTTACCTACATTCTGCAGTAGTCATCTCTGCATCCATCTCCCCACACATGGCTTTATATTTGTGGTGGAATGAATCAGAAGCTTTGCCTGGAATTGCCCTAGTGACCAAGCTACTGAACTTGTGGATTGTTGAAACACAATGATATTCACCTTCTACTGCAAATGACTTTACAGATGTGCAACATATGCTTATTCAGAATATAAGAAATATGTCAGTGATGTTGCTGTTGATTCAGTTTATATTTTGCCCTTCCTCCCAAAGTAGCCCAATGTGCAAATAGATTGTTTTTAGAATGTTTTAAAAGGTATCAATCACATTCTCTCACCCAATGGTTTCAGGCTTCCTAGGGGCAGCATCTTTCAGCCTGGGTAAAAAGTAATGTTTTGAAATTCCTTCTGAAAGCCAATAATGAGAGAAATAGACACCTCACCTAGGATAGCATTCCACAAATGGGGAACTGGAACTGCCACATGTGACATGTGATAAGATTTTAACTGGTGCTTGCAATCTCACAGTGATACAATAGGCAACTATGAACTAATACGTTGAATTTCATTCATTCATTCATCCATTCCTTTCAGAGAGTTATGCCTTCACATACAAATAGAAAAGGTGTAACTCTGAAAAGAACATTATGGCCTCCAGACTGAACTGTCTATTAGTACCGTATATTTATAAATTGCAAATTATGATTTTTAAGTATGCCATAATTTCCTTTTGTCTTTAGGCGAATTTTCAGCTATCTTGTTCAAGTTGTGTACAGCTAGGGAGAATTTCAAATTATTAACAGCACAAAGAGGCAATTTTAAAGCAGCACATTTGTAAGCAATGTTTTACTGGATCTAAGCCGAGTTTACTCCCATTAAATAAAGCTATGTTTTCTTATGTGCTTTACCTATGGCAATATGCTGCTGTAACCTCTACAGTAGCTAGAGAAGACACATTCAGTGTGTTTCTGTCCTGCATTAGTGACATTCACACACAAAAAGCAAAAGGGAGAATTAAAAGGCCCTTTTGGAGTTCTGCTTAAAGTATATGTTAGACTTACTTGGCATGGCAAGTTCAGGGAATAAAAACATTGCCACTCTGGAATGAAACAATGTTTTCTCCCCACTAATTAGCAGCTGTAGCTCTTTTGTCAATATTTTACAACCACAGCCCAATGTTTGAAAAGTTGTTGCATAATTAAACAAAATATTGGGAAATGTATTGGGAATGGCTATCATAATCTAATTAGGAAGAGGATTCCTTTGAACTTAACAGGAATTGCTCCAAAACAAATACATTTAGGGTGGGGCTGTATGACATTAGTAATGAGTGAGAACACAACTGACAAATGCTTTCTGTTGCCAAAGCATACAATTCATTAGCAGTATCGCTTTCCTCAGAGAAATTCTGATTTGTTCTTCCACTCTAGGATACAGTGGCAATTGAATGCTAGCCTCCTTTTTCCAAATGTCCCTGTAGCAGCAACCCACAAACTAAATGAACTATCCAGATTTCAGGAACTAAAATTTCTCAACTGTACTCAGAAACAATGTTGGATTAAACCCTGTGGAGGCCCCCTAGGCAGTCGAAATCTTGGGGGGGGGGGGCTCACAAATCATCTCCTAATACATCTTTTATTTTACCAACCAATAATTTTAATAAATCAATTATGATCTGTTGTTGCAGGGCCCCCAAAATGTGTGTACCTACATAACCCAGTACCTACTCTGCCTATTTTGTAAACTGGCAATGCTCAGAAAGAATGAGGGGGTGTGATTTGGTCTGTCTTGATCTGCTACACAGTACTTCTTAGTCTTTAAAAGTGCTACATAACACTTTGTGCATAAAATCTAACATAGTAATAAAAACAGTTCCTCTTGAGAAATCCCAAGCTTTCAATGGTGGGTATACCTTTGAACCAAACATATACTGTAAGCCATTGGAAGAGAAAAAGGACAGCAATCCGCACACCATCTAAGGAGTGGATTTGCGGTTATTGGTAAGCTCCTTTTAATCGTTTCTGATCTTAAATCGAAGCGGCACATGAACTAACCAATCCATCAGAAACTAAACGCTGCATATACCCCTGCCAAGATTTCACTCTAGACATCTGACCAACTGGGCTCGAGAGCAGGGAAGCTTCTGTCATGATCATGCATTTGTCCATCTTCAATGTGCCACAAGATTGACTGTTGATGCAGGGTCTGAATGCAGGCCAACGGGTCCGCCACCACCATCCGTTTGGCCCCGAGTTGGCACCCATGAGCAGCACCGCAAACCCGACGCGTTGCCTGTTCGATCGACAGACCCAGTTCCCCAGCAGCTAAACTCAGAAGCCGAGCACTTGGCACGGGCAGATCCGCCCTGGGCACAGGCAGGCTGAGGAGTCTTAGGAATCGCAATCCTGGCCAGGGAAGACGAAAGCGAGCGCGGCCGCCAAGCAGGCGCTGGCGCAGTCCCAAAGGACCCTGCCACGCAGCCAGGGTGGGGCTTCCGACCGTATCCGCCTGGGAAGAGGAGAAGGGTGGCCTCCCAATGGAGGGGCTTCCTCGTCTCGCTCCTTCTCCTCACAGAAGGGAATGGCTTTTTTCCGCGCCCCCCCTCCCCGCCTCAAAAACAAAACCTCCTTACCTGACCCGCACAACAGCGCGCGGACATGGTCGCCCCTCAGACGGCGAGCCCCGGGCTGGCCGCGCGCAAATGCCCTCTCCGTCCGCACCTGCCCGCTGGCTCAGGCAAGCGGCCTCGCGCCCGGGCAGCAGCCGAGGCGCAGCTGAAGGCTTCCTCAGCCGCCCAGCCCTCGCTTGCCGAGGCGCGCAGAGAGCGCACACGCGCCCCCTAGAGCAGCTGGCCCGGCCTGAGGCGCGCGGCGCGCTCGCCCCGACGCATGACACAAACACGGGAGAGACTGGCGAGCTCGGCTTCTGCGCTGCAGGGTAAGTTGCCCGAGCCCAGCTCCGAGCGCGCTGGAAGCTTCCGCTGTCGTCAGTTTTTTGCTTGGAAGGAGATAAATGGCTTTCCGGTGCGGGAGGTTAGGAACGGCCCGCCCCGCTTAGGAGACGGGAGAAAAGAGGAAGCAGCCTGGAATGAAGCAGGCGCGCGGCGGAGACCACCTGTCCTCGTTCTCACGCTCCGAAGTGAAACGCAGCGCGAGGGCACCTGGGATTGAGGTTCCCGAAGGAGGGGGCGGAGCTACCGGCCTGCGGGCGCCAGTTGGCGAGGCGCCGGCGCGCCAGACGCCTCCTCCGAGGTTGGTGTCGTCTCGGAAGGAGGGACGCCTCTTCTGCGGCTTCTGCAGGTGTTGCGTTACCTGCATCCATCCTTCGGCCGTTTGCATGGAAGTCGCTTCCGATTTGCTTCTCACGCGATCTGGTTCACACAATACGTTTGCTTCTAAGCCATCAGAGCAGTTCTCTGCTGGACCCGAAGTCTCTTATTCTAGTCTATTGTCCTCTTTCCCACAGGGATCGACCAGATTCCCCTGGGAAGCCCACAAGCAGGGCATGAAAAGAATAGTCTCCCACCGCCTTTGGTCAGAGGCAGATTGCTCTGGAGATGAGGTGGAAGAGCTACCGCCCTTACACATGAATTTGTCCCATCCCCACAGCTTGTCGCAATTATTCCTATACTGCGAACCAGAGGGACACTGGTGTTGGAAGCAGCAACTTTGGTCACCGCTGCAGCAATTAAGGGAATTGCTCCCGCACTGGGATCTCTAGATAGAAACTAGTCACGCCCATGCTAAATCTTTAGGGCAGTAGAAAAGATAACAGGGTTAAAAAGGCCTTGGTCTGCTTGGCTGGGGGGTTCAGTGAAAAAATCATTCAGGCATCCCATATTATCACAAAATAAATGTTTTAGGATTTACTGGCACAAGAGCAGCTTTGTTTCAAATTCATCTAGTCCAGCATCCTCTTACAGTGGCCGACCAAATGTATCAAGAAAGCTAACAAGCAGGAATTCAGGGCTTATTTTTACTCATGGCTTACCAGGGGGCTTGGTAGTAATATCCCTGTTAGGTAGAACCTACTCTCATTTTATAAATGTGGAATTAGGGCCTTGCCCTAAATCTACCATACCAGTCTAGGCTGAAGCAAGGTACAGATACAGAAACTTTTCTCCACTGTAGAATATGATTTTTAGTCACAGCCATCTCTGGTAATACTGTAGCTCATATTGACACCCAATGAAGCTCTTTCTTCTACTAAGTCACCATATTTTCAACAACTGCACTGGCATATGTAACGGGAATGAGATTCCGACACATTTTGGTTGTTGTTTTTTGCCTAGAGCAGATACTGGGGAAACAAAGATTCATCCATACTGAGACTTCCAATCTCTGCATCTGGGATTCCAGCCTCCGGGGCATTTCTAGCACAAGGTCTCATTCATCAGTACCATATGCCAAGTTCCCATATCCCACCTATTATATATTATTAACCAATGAGTCTTTAACTTTTTTATTTTTTAAAAAAGCAAAGCAATAAAAATACATGGTTTTTAGAGTTTAACACTACACACATTTTACATGTTTACATTTACAAATTACGCTTTAATCCATATTGTGACTTTTGAGTTTTCACATTATTTGATCTTTTCAGACTTCATAGCAGCAGAAATATTCAATATCCCTGTTTCCACAGTAGTCAAAACACCAATTTTTTGGGTAACCCTGGGAAGAGAGAGGTAGGTTTAATGCACATCAGTTTGTCTTTTTCTTATGTCTTACAGCAATAGTAAGATTGCTTGTGCCTAACCTATTTCAAACTTTTACATAGTTTTAATTAGTGTCAAAATGTGGGCTAGCATATGGAGAACAAACTCTACTGTCCATTTCCATTTCAACTGTGGGTGGGTAGAGAAAGAATACTGCTTCAGCAAGTACAAAATCAAGCTAGCTGTGTCTCCAGTGGCCCTACTGTGTCTCCAATACAGTCTGCTTCCTGTCCATGATACTTCTCTGCTCTTCTCAGTTCTGTAACCATCTGCCAGCAAAGGTTATAGGTTTTGGGACTGGGACAGATAAGGAAGAATCTCTGGGCTTTTGCCAGGTTCTTGAAGCATCATTCACCAAAAAGTCTAATTTGAAAATAGCATAGCTGACGTCCTCCACTTAGACACCTGCCCATGTTAGGTGCACTGCACAAGGATTTGCCAAGCCTAGACTTCCCTGCTTACAACGGCAGAACAATTGTTGCATCTCAAGCAGATGTAAAAACACCTGATCTTCTAAATCATGCTTGGCATATCATAAACACATTCTCTCCCTTTGGGGAACCAACAGTTGTTAGTGTTACATGCGTACTAACATTAAACCATAGTTAGTTTCAAAGGGAAAAAATAAAAAATAAAGAAAATCTGTATCAAAATGAAGTGAAAGAATGCAAGACTGAGAAACGCTCCTGATCTCATAATGATAAGCTAGTCACACTCCCATCCCCCGAAATATTATTGCAATATTAAGTGCAAAAGTTGGTGTGAGCAACCCTACAACATTGCAACCCTTTGGTTAGAATGGCTTAAGTCAGCTAGGGTATGCACACTGATGTTCTAGGCCAGTGTTTCTAGGCCCAGGCTAGCAAATTAAATGTTACATTGTGAAATAAATAAATATAAATTTTATAGATCACTTGACTGTAAAAAACCTCAAAGTAGTACACAAAAGATAGAATCATAAAATCGGGTGGGGGGACCAATACTTTACAACATACAAGAAATTAAAATACTTTAAAAATATTAAAATTCACACCAGCTTTTCTGGGTAGGCATGACTAAAAATGTTTTTAGCAGGCAAAGGAAAGGATATAGTGAGAAATCATATCTGGACATATGATAAGTGTTTAAATTCTACACTTAACATTGGAAGAGACTATTTAAAAATGTTGCTACCTTGATCTATTCCATCCAGTCTTTTCCTTTTCAAATTTGGAGCTGGGTTTTGTTGCTCTTTCAAGACTTCTGCAGGGCAATTGGGTCTTGGCAACTGGCTTCCAGGTGTTGGGGCTGGCCGATTGCTAAAATACTTCTGTTTTAGTGCCTTCAAGAGAACAGAATGAGATAATAATAAAAAATGACACTACTGTATTTAGAAAGGACACTATTTCTATAAGATCTGTACTTAAGTTTATAATATGTAGCTTTCTTGGCTAATTAGTAATATTTTGTGTGGTGGGGGGAAAAGAGTGTGAGGGGTGGCAGGGGTGGTGGTGATGGATAGCGTCTATGGTCATTGAGGCTGTCTATGGTTCCTCACAATATCAGTTCTGTGCAGGTTTCCCCCTGCAAGATTCTGTGTGCATGTGTGTGTTGTGTTCTTACAAAGGACACTTTTTCTTAAATGTGGGCACAACCAGGGCTGTGCATATACTATCATTCTGATTATTTTTGAAAGCAATACATGCTGAAAGTCAGAGGAATGCTGAATAAGATATACAGTGGTTGAAAGCAGAAATTCACTGACCTCTCTCTCAAACTAGAATTATGCAAAATAGCAAATGCAAAATGGCTCAAGTTGTATAATTTAGTTTTTTGGCACATAATTTAGATTGCATATGCAATTTCTCAATTTCCCTACCCCAGAGTGGAGTACACATAGCCCTGGGCTTAATGTTTTTCAGTTGTGAACTTTCTCCTATAATATAATCAATATTTGCATGGTTTGTATCTGACTGGAACCTATATTTTTCCTCAAATAATTCCGTGTATTGCATCTAGGCAAAACACATTTTTATAGTGTAGTTAATGCTTAAATAAACTCCTTTTGGATGAAGCAAATTGTATAGCACTAGAACATATGGATTGCATGTACATTCTGAATAAAAATTCTGCAGTCCTGACATCTCATCCAGCTACTTCCCTCTCTTCCCATGGTTTCCCAATTAATATTTGTGTTTGCAAACAGCTTTTGAACTGCAGCAAAAAATATTCAAGGATTAACTTTATGGGATATGCAGTAGACTGTAACATAAATGTAATAAGATCACCATCTTTTGCTTTGCTGTGCTTTGCCTTCAAATTATAGCCAAGTTATGGTAATTATGCACAACTAAAAAGTCTTACTTTGCTTTTTGATGTGGCTTGTAGTACTGAACAAGTTTCCACATCACTGGTCTGTACCAAGAAACACTTGCAATTAAGTAACCAGGGAAATTAAGACCAGAAGGAACATCCACAATGAATAATTACAGGTTCAAATAATAAAAAGGTACAAGCAATTAGAAACACATTTCTCATATGCAGCTCTTAATCCGTGGCTCAGGAAAGAGGGCTGCTTCAGCCCTTTGTTTCAGGAAGAGTTTTTAAAAAGCAACAAAGAGCTCAAAATACATGCCTCCCCAAGTTGCAAAACTTTGTACTTGGAATTAAGTCCCACTTAATTTACTATGAAGTAAACTTGAATAGGTTCAGACAACTAGAATGATAAGACTGCTGTGGAAGATGTGCATTCTGCCGCAGACACCCTGGGCCAATTGACATATTGGTTCTCATTGTGGGCCTCAGCTTCACAAGTGGTGAAGTTGTTGGCTTGGCACCCTGTTCCTCTTTTTTTGCTTGCTGTCTGACCCATAGGGAACAACTTTCCTCCACCTCTCTTCTCCTCCAACTTTATACTATTACATTAGCGTCTCACATTGAATAGAAATGACCTGTTAGAAAGAACTTTATGAACTGAAAGCAGAAACGCTGTATATACTTTTGTAACCCAAGAAAATCTTTAATAAAAAGAAGTTTTTTTAAAAAAGGAAATACTTCTTGGCCACTAAATATTGACAGGTCAAACAGGCTGCTGCTTCTTGCCCCCAACCAAAATATTCAGGCCCAGCTCACTCTCTCTTCCCCTTTTTACTGCTCAGTTGCTTTGGTTAGTCTGTTACAAGAGCAATGGGATTGGTGGCACTGGTCAAATGCCAAGGGTGGCTCTTCTCTTCCCCTCAAACTGGGTAAAGCTATTTGGTGAGCATCCCTGTCTGAATTCAGACTTTCAGAGCAGTCCTCTGACAGGTGCATTTTTCATCTCAAATGCTGTAATCCATTTTTCTACTTCATGAAGCAGGTATCAGAACACAAATTGAAAGATCAGTTGACATCAGAAACAGAGCTGAAATGGTTGTCTAGATACAAACCTGTTTAGGAACTCACTGCTAAAATATCACAATAAAAATCTGTGGAGGTGCCCCTGGAAGAACTATACACTCCATTAAATAAAGCAATTCTGCTTGAGACTTATGCAGAACTTATTTTTACTAAATACTGACAGTAACAGTTTTAAGCTAATGGGTGGAAATTTAAATTTAAATACCTGAGTAGCTGTGACCCTAGTAGAAGGATTAAATGTAAATAAGCCTTGCAGCAGTTCTAGCAAATCATCACCAGCAGCACTGAAGATGTGATGAAGTGGCATTCCAGGGAAACTTTTAAAAGTCACATAATCTGGAAGATTGGTCATACCCTATTGAGGGGGGGGGGGAGAGAAAGAAATATAGCACAGAGAAGTCAGCACCCACATAATGAATAGTTAAAAGTCATTAATGGTCCTCTCACCTGTAAACACACATTAAGTATAAAGGTAGTCAAACAGGCAAGCAAGTCAAAACAATCAAGTTTCCATCAATTCTCCCTGCCAGCTTTTGTTACAAGGTAGTTAACTCAAAAACTTACAGGCCACTGCTCCTCTGTTGGAGTACCCAAGGTTTCAAATATCTTTGTGAGTTGATCCAGGTCAGAGTCTCCTGGCAAAAACGGAACCTATAGAAAGATGAATACAGTGGCTTCAAGATTGGTTTGTTCTGAACTCCTACAAAAAAGAAATTCAGCCCTAAAATCTTTGAACTTTTCTGGTAAGCAAATGGCATTGGATCAGTTTAAAGCAAACATGAGGGTTCCCAGAACAAAGATTGCATTTCCAGCACTCCTCCCACATGTAAACGTGCCAGAAGATAAACCATTTGCGCAAGAGCAGAAGAAAATTTCATTTGACAGCTGTACTGAGAGCTTACCCTTAGAAGCAATTCAGCCAATATGCAGCCCACTGCCCACATATCCACGCCTACACCATACATTCTAGCACCAAACAGTAGCTCAGGAGCTCGATACCACCTGAAAAACAAATTAAGACATGCTGCATTCCCTCCTCCATTTATGAGAAGTGCACAGTACCTTCAGTACAAACACTCAGCTATTTTGTGCCTAAAGATTTACATCTTATCTTGTTCTTTCTGTAAGAAAATGGTGCAAATCTAATCTTTTTTCTCTCCAACAAAGGTGACAAAATAGGTGTTTAAGTTAGTACTGCACAATTTACTGGCATTCAAAAGTGGATGCAATTAATATTTGAAGGGGCTGTACATGGCCCTCCCCACTTTGTCCTCACAACACACCTGTGAGATAGGTTAGGTAGGATTACTTAACCTATCTTGCTGGCCTAAACATGGGTAGGCAAACTAAGGCCTGGGGGCCGGATCCGGCCTAATCGCATTCTAAATCTGGCCCGCGGACGGTCCAGGAATCAGCGTTTTTTTTTACATGAGTAGAATGTGTAAGAAATGCATCTCTGGGTTATTTGTGGTGCATAGGAATTTGTTCATCCCCCCCCCCCCCAAAAATATAGTCCGGCTCCCCACAAGGTCTGAGGGACAGTGGACTGGCCCCCTGCTGAAAAAGTTTGCTGACCCCTGGGCCTAGAATAACTGAGCTTCATGACACAGAGTGTGGTTTTTGAACCAGGGTATTCCAGTCCTCATATGATACTCCAAACTCTGCAACACACTGGCAGTCTTATTCAAGTTCCTATCTTCATGTACACATAGTGATTGGGCAAGCAGATGAAACTGTCATACCAATAGGCCAGATGTGTTCCTTGAGGGATCTCTCTCTTACCTTGTTACTACTTGGTGTGTGTAAACTCTGTTAGGACTTCCAAAAGATTTTGCCAAACCAAAGTCAGCCAGTTTCAAAACTCCATTTTCATCTAGCAACAGGTTATTTGGTTTAAGATCCTTAAAGGGGAAACACATGAATATGCAATCGCTGAGAATACTTAAATATTTTGCTTTGTGATCAAAGGTTCACCTTAACCAGAAATATGCTTCTGAAAGCAGTGACAATAGGATTGCATAGAACTGAGGCACTAGATAGAAACTACAATAGCTGATCAAACTATAGTAAATTAGACTATGCCATTTACATCCATTTGTGCCTCTGAGAATCAGCAGGGCTTTGGAAGTTGGATTCATTTTTTTAAAAATGTTGCACGCAAATTGCCGATAACTATTAAAAGATAAAATATCCCAACTATTTAATTCTGTCTTTTTTTATATACCAGTTTGAAACCTCAGATTCTGGGGCATTAAAAAGAGACCAAGAAACATTTTGTTGTTGTTGATGTTAAGACTGAGATAATTTACATGGAGAATCACATTTCCATCTCAAACACCTTAATGGGAGCCATTTCTCATTGTCTTAAAGGCTGTTCTTTTTGTTCCTAGAGTTCCTTACCCTATGAAGGATCCAGTGTTCATGTAAATATTCTAAACCTTGAAGTGTCATCAGCATGTATGCTTTGATGTGAGAAGGTGTCAACACAAGACTAGTATCCTTTATTATAACCTGTAAAAAATATATTGCATTTTACAAATTGCAGAAGCTTAATACTTTAAAAAAACACCAGAAAAATTACACAGATATATCTGTTGGGGTACACAATGTCCCCAATAACAAAACATCAACTAGCAAGCCTTAGATAAATCACTCTCTCTGACCCAGAAATGCTATAGAATTGATTATCATAATTGGTAATGCCCTCACTTTCAGTATTTTCACTATCTACATTGTTAGACCTATATAAATAAAATATTGATTACAGCAACTTCCTGTTCTGAACTCTGACCAAATTGTCCAAATTCTCTGTGAACTTTGTATCTAATATTCTTATGTTTTCTCACTAGTAATGAGAATTCCTTTAAGTGGGCGGCATCCTAAGCAATTACAATTATTTCCCTTCAAATGAAGTCTGTATTACTCTTTAGCTGCTGAAAATGTGTGTATGCCTGCTTTCTCTAGCAGATACACAAAACCTACCATGAGTTATTTATGCATAAAACCTGTTATTCTGCTTATGTTAAAAAGTATTGATACAGCGCCACCTATCTGCACAACTCTTTGGAAAGAATGAGAGATGATCCCAACCCCAAGGGGCTTACAGTCTAAAAACAGATGCAAAGAAGAGGCATACTGTTCTGCCTTCTCTGTTGTTCTCCTCTACCACCCCCTTCCTCCATGTCTCTTCTCCAACTCTTATAACTTTCCCCCAGGACTTTTGGTTTCAATATATAAACAAAGCAAAAGCTTATTCATCGGCCACAAAATTAAGTCAGTAGCCAGTTAATGGCAATCTTACCTCTAGATCAGTTTCCATAAAATCAAATACTAGACTAATGTTAGATTTGTGTCCAAATGCATCAAGAAGCTGGAAGAGAAATACACTCAAATTATTGATGTGATAGTATGTCCTTAATCCAATGTGTGTGTGCACACTGGTCAAGGTATCCTCTCTAATGTGCCCTGGCAGGCTTACAGCACTCCAGGCAATGCAGAGTGACTGAGTCTCGCCACCCTTTTAATTTCCTTAACTAGGCCTGCCAGGCTGTTTTGGGGCAAACCACACCCATCTTTTCCAGGCCTGAAGTCCTATGATACCATGCTCAGAAAAGTTCAAGCCATGTCTTGAAACTTCAACCCAATCCTGAAAAGGAAGAAAAATCAGAAGTGTGCTCCTGACTCTTCCCTTGCAGCCAGTTTTCAGTACTTCTTGAATCTGGCACATTTTTGTGTTGTCTTGCATAGCAACAGAAACTCCTAATGCCTGGAAAAAGGATAGTTTATGAGTCTTCACTTTTAGGCATGGCCAATCAGAGGGAAGTTCGAAGGGGAATTTGACCTGGGTCTCAGGTATAAAGAGGGCCTCAAATTTAAACACTTCTTTTCCAAGGCCCTTTAAACTCTCATCTATGTATGTATCATATCTGGGTGTTGCTGAGAGTTTGTTATACTGATTTTATTCTCTGCTTCACTTTTATTAGTTATTGTTTTGTTTCACTGTTATTATAAACCAACCAGAGGACTTTGTTATTGGATAGTATTTAAATATTGTTAATACAGAAATATTCCTTTCAAGCAGCACTTTGTACTTACCCCTATAATATTTGGATGGCTAAGCTCCTGCAGTAGCTTTATTTCTCTAAGGGCTGTTCTGTTTATACCTGAATTGAAATAAGAATCATGACGAAAACAATAGAACTGTACACCCTCAGCAGTGTATGAATTTGGTGGTACTAGTGGCTCAAAGTAATCCTGGGTGAGAGGGAACAGGGATTGGTACTTTTGCCACAATTATTTACGCCACATACCTGCTAGTTTTATGCCTATGAGGTTAGAGATTCAAATCCTGAAGTCACCTAGTTCAGGTGAGCAGGTCTCTGTACTCTGGGAATAATGTTCATGAAGACTGAGCATAACATTTTGTGGACAAGAGACTGCTACTATTTTATTTCAAATTGGTGAATATTTCTGATAAGAATCAAGCTGCAGAACACAACTTCAAATATTCTAGGCAATGAAAGTATTTCAGATCAATGTAATTCCCATTCCCTCACATCCTGAATGAAGACGACGCTCAGTTTGTTGTAGCTAAAACTAGATAGAGGTACTTTTTCAGATGTCATAAAACTTTCCCTCAAATGTCAGTGTTTCTATACTAGGGAGGAAAGCAATGGCATGGGCAAAAGGAGAGCTAATTCACATCTTTCTTGCTTCAACAATAGATAAGCAAGAACTTACACTGGATCAGGTCCAAGGTATTTTAGTCACTGTTCTTCACTATGTTGCCCAGCATCACCCAAACAATTTAGTGTGCTCTAACAGTTTAGTATGTCTAAAGAGATTGTTTTCCAATGTGTGGGTTGGGGTATGCCTTGGTCCCTTGATTTCCTTGGATATGCAGGTGGTAGGAATGAAGAGGACTGCCTTGCTAGAAGCAGTTGATTTGCCAGATGCAACTCTTCCTGAAAAGATGGAACTAAGCTTCTGTTATCGATGCCCTACTTACTACTAGGCAGGACTACTTCAATGTTCTCTACATGGGGCTGCCTTTAAACAATGTCTAGAGACTTGGACTAGTGTAGAATGCTGCTGCTAGACTACTGTCTGCCATGTGGAGATTGTAGTCATGTTCCAATCTTATTTCATTTCAACATTTACTTACAGGCTCAATTTAAAGTGCTGGTAGTCACCATGGAAGTTCTAAACAGCTTGGTACCAGGTTATTTTAGAACTCGCCTGCTCACATGTGAAACTGTCCAGCCTCTGAAATAACTCCTGGAAACCACTTTCTGCTCCATCCATACATGAAATCAGGTGGATGTGAAGAAGAGAAAGGGCCTTTTCAGCAGTAGTGCTGTGACTGTGGAACTATCTCTTGGCATTGCCATTCTCTTCTTGTTTATCAAATGACTGTAAACACTTAAAAAAATAGGCTAGCTTTTAAACAGTAACATGTTTCCAAGATGCCCTACATGAAATCTTAGCACTGGTATCTAAAAGTTTTTACAAATGATATTTTATATTGAGGTTACTCTGTTCTTGTAATGATGTACTATTTTACTATACTGGGCTCTCTTGGGAGGAAGGATAAACTATAAATTAAACAAATAACTAAATATTTTAATTGTAAACTACTTTAGTTGTTATTTTAATAAAAGGACAGAATATAAATAATAAATTAAACTGAATATAAGCTTGCTTAACTGATGGAATGCACAATTCACATAAAGAAGTACATTCTACTTGAAATCAGTGATACAGAACAGGAAAATTTCCAGGGCTTTAATTTTACGTTGAAAAAATTCCACTTCATAAGTTCATTAGAAACAATGAACAGATGCCAATTACAAATGTAGTATTAGGCAAGCTTGGCAGTTTTTCTTCTTTTTCTTTATATCTGTTGACTAACAGGTAAAATAAGCATGTTAAATTAGATCACTCACTAGGATATCAGAATTTTTTTCAATTCAAAATTTTCTAGAAAAATCATGTCACTGCTTAAAATTATGTCCACGGATAAAAATAAAACAAGAACACTAAAGGGAAAAATGTGAATGTTTTCTATCTAAATCACCAAAGGACCAGTGGAGTATGGATATTATGCCACTGGTCTACTTCAAAACAAAGAATTACATGGGTCTCATTTGTTATCTCTTCCACTCAAAATTGAAAAGAACAGCAAGTCATTTACCAGCATGGTAGCAATAAAGGTAAAGGTACCCCTGCCCGTACGGGCCAGTCGTGTCCGACTCTAGGGTTGTGCGCCCATCTCACTTAAGAGGCCGGGGGCCAGCGCTGTCCAGAGACACTTCCGGGTCACGTGGCCAGCGTGACGAAGCTGCTCTGGCGAGCCAGCACCAGCGCAGCACACAGAAACGCTGTTTACCTTCCCGCTATAAAGCGGTACCTATTTATCTACTTGCACTTAAGCGTGCTTTCGAACTGCTAGATGGGCAGGAGCTGGGACCGAAAGATGGGAGCTCACCCCGCCGCGGGGATTCGAACCGCCGACCATGCGATAGGCAAGCCCTAGGCACTGAGGTTTTACCCACAGCGCCACCCGCGTCCCATGGTAGCAATATTCTAGCATATACAAAATAGTTCATTTATATATGTGTATTTCAAAAACTTACCATCTTTAGCTTCTGATCTATGCCCAAGTTTGATCTAAAATAAGAAAATGGTTTAATTAAGACAATATTTCTCATTGCCAAAGGCAGGGCAAAGGCTACAGTCTATTGTTCTATAAGTATCTAAACTGACTGACAGCTCAGACTATGTATTTTTACTTGGAAGTAATTTCTGGAGAGGTTTATTTAAGTGTGCTTAGACTGCAGCTTTTACTTGCTCTAGGTTACTAAAGCTCTGCACAATTACATAAAACATGGTCAGACAAAATGCATGGTCAGAACCCAGAAGCTGAAGCTGTTTCTCCTTACTTCTCCAGTGGCAGTAGGCAGGCTGCCCACCACTACCTGGAGTGGTGAAGAGAAGCAGTGGCAACAAGAGCTCACAATAATTTTGTGAGATTTCACTGGAAGCTGCTGCTGCACCTTCTTGTTTCTCCAGTGGCAGCAGGGGTAAGCGAAGCACCTGCAGGGACATTACTGCTTAGGATTCCACTGCCTGTGGTGGCTGCCTCAGTTAGCCTCATGGGCAGACCAGCCCTGGTTAATGCAACTGAATATATCAATGAACAATTTATGAGTTGCTTAATAAATAAATAAAAATCTCATCAATGTGGCTAGGATTCCAAGTTATGGTCAGCACAAATCATGGTTTGGGTATGCTGTCAGGTTAATAAAGCTAACTCACCTTTTTAATAGCAACAATTTGATTTGTATTCTTGTCTCTCGCTTTATAAACTGTAGCAAACTAAAGAGAAAAAGAGCACATCTTAAAAATCAGTTTTCTAATTATATTGCGGCACCCTTGTTTTTGTTTAGAAAGTATTTAGTCTTCTTTTCTATAAAATATCTTGAGGTGTGCTATAATAAATACAAATGATCACAATAAAAACAGTAAAAATGTTAAATGAAGTTGAACACCTTTAACTCATTAAATGCTATGTCTTTCCTCTAATGTCCTAGCAATTAAGGGAAATTACCGGTAATTGATAAACTTCCAGAGATACAGCATAATTACAGAATCCTAGAATTCTAGATTTGGAAGGACCACAAGGGTCATCTGGTCCAATCCCCATCAAAGCTGTTTCAAACATCAGTATAAACCTCAAAGTACATAAATGTGAGAATTCCATATGTAAGAATGTCACATATGACAATCTACCCACATAATGAACATGTCGTATACTGGAAGGCTTTCTACGAAGCAGGAAAGCATTACATTGTTATATCCCTATTAAGAAGGAAGTTCAGTGGCTGTACTACAGGGTTTGATGTCCCAATTTAATTTCAAATATAATTTTGTATATAGAGCAGCAGGCAGGACCTAGACAGCCAGCTCCAGCAGCCTGTAACATCAGCACCCCCCAAAAAAACCAGACACTACTTTTGAGTCTCTCTCCCCATCATTACCTTCTCGCTCCAGCTAGCTGCAAAATGCTGTTTCTCTAGTCCACTGTTTCTCTAGTCACCAACCTTCAAACTCCATTTTGGAAAAGTTTACTAACCAGATGGTCAAGCAACAGCCTTAAACAGAGATATCAGTAATACAGCAGACATATGCTATTTTCTGGCTAAAGTATGAAAATTTATTCTCCGTTGTAAGTCAGGTTTGACCACTGGATAACAATTGGGTGGCTAGGAAAACACTTTTCTCTGTCCAAAGCTGGATGAGAAAAAGGTCTGGCTGTAAGTAGATTTGATCAGAGCAACAAACTGCTTACACAAACATACCTAGCAGGTTCTTTTTAACAGGTCGTTTTGCTGCTGCCCTAAGCCTTCATGACATCAAAGTACAGATCAAAGTCAATTTTGGGAGCAGTCAGTCAACTACCCATTCCTTTATTTTTTTGTGAACAGCCAATATTTCTAGGTGCTAAGCCATTGACCCCCACATTGAAAATGCTTTGACAGAGGCTTCTCGTGGAACAGATATTTTTCTTTCGAATGAGTGCTGTCTCCAGTCAAGCAGGTGCTTTAGGTTTCTGAAATACAAACCTGGGAAACTGGAATGAGCAAACAACCTTCAAGTATCTAAAAAAGATGCCTACTGCCTATCTACAGATGCTTTCTACAACCTATAACACAAATACACCTATGGCACTACCCTAGCCATGTATACTCACAAGTAAAGTTAAAGGTAAAGGGACCCCTGACCATTAGGTCCAGTCGTGATCGACTCTGGGGTTGTGGCGCTCATCTCGCTTTATTGGCCAAGGGAGCCGGCGTACAGCTTCTGGGTCATGTGGCCAGCATGACTAAGCCGCTTCTGGCGAACCAGAGCAGCGCACGGAAACGCCGTTTACCTTCCCACCGGAGCGGTACCTATTTATCTACTTGCACTTTGACGTGCTTTCGAACTGCTAGGTGGGCAGGAGCAGGGTCCAAGCGACGGGAGCTCACCCCGTCGCGGGGATTTGAACCGCCGACCTTCTGATCGGCAAGTCCTAGGCTCTGTGGTTTAACCCACAGCGCCACCCACATCACATACTCACAAGTAACCCCTCTTGAATTAAATGGGGCTTATTCCCAGGTAAGTGGAGTTAAGACTTGCAACTTTATATATTAAGAGGGAGAGGGGGCGGCTTTTCATAGTTTCTCTGCTCTCAAGCTTTTTTGCAGCCCTGGAGAGGGGATTCTCCGTGACTGCCCCCAAACTGTGGAATTTCCTCCCCTCTGCAGAGGTGCTTAATGCACCTTTCATTTTATGCTGAAACTGCACCTGGCCTTTGATAGCCGAGACCTTTATTTTCCTATTTAAGCTGTATTTTGGGCGCTGCGTTAGACATCGGTTTCACTACAGTATTTTTAACTGCATCACTGTCCTCTGGGGCCTTTATGGCGAAGGGCAAGTGGGGTTGGGGTGGAAATACTGTTTTATTATTATCAAAGAGCGAAAGTTTGCGTGTCGTCGATCTCAAAAAAGGTGAACTCTGCGCAGGTGACGGCTTAACTGGGAGGCATTGAAGGCGACGCCGTTATCCGGAGGGAGCAACGAGGGGCGTCCGCAGCTCCCGCCCCGGCTAACCCTGAAAACTCCCTCAGGCGGTGCCTCTCCTTCGCCTCCACCGGAGCCCTACGGAAGCTGCTGCTGCCGGCCGTTACCCCTCCCCTCAGCCGAGTCCGGCTTACCTGCCCTTCGCCCAGGAAGGCCAACTTCTCGTAGCGCTTCGCACGCGCGCGGGCGTCCATCTCGACCAAGCGCGATTTAAAAACCGTCAAGTTTACGACGCCTCCAGGAAACCAGCGCGACTCCGGCTCCTCCCCCCTCTCCCGTATACTACCGGCCTTCCCACCGCGTTCTACGCATGCGCCATGCACGCGGGCAAATGACGCTCCCCCCCCTTTCCGAGGTTTCCGCCGGTCGTGACAACAGCCTCTCAACATAGAGATAGGAAAGGATAGAGGAGCAGGCAAAATCCCTCATACAGCTGTTACGGGGATAGAAAAATCCGTGGTGTTCTTCTCGGGTCGCAACTTCTCAGCCCACCCAGGAGTGCTAGTGAGGGCTGTCCATTAAAAAAAGAGAGAGGAGAAATTCGGGGTTTCGATCATTGGGAAGCTGCAGCTTTGTACGTCGCTCGTCTGCCTAAAGAAAGGTAGCGGCAGAGGAACCCCCTGCTTTGATTTCTAGTGACTGTTTTGTACACGTTTAAAAGCACCTTGCCGGTGAACTCCAGTATCCCCATATTGTAAGTGTGCCCCTGGGGTGGGGAGGGGCACTGGGGATGACCAGCTGGTGACAGGCCAGAAATGTATACCATTGTTAATATTGCTGGGAGGTGGGGGGTTTGCTAGTCAAAAGCACCCTTCAGATTGCAGCAGGGCCAGCGCTACCATTGGGCAGAGAGAAGAAGCAGTTGCACCAGCAGTCAGACCTTATCAGTTGGATGTACAACTGTGCATATCATATTGCCAGCCCTTTGACTTGGTGAGCTAGCCTGATGCCCTCAGAAGTGGTAGGTGTGTGCTGTTTTATCGTAACAAATAATGTGAAAAGTTGGGGGGGGGGGACCCGGTTAACTCATCTCATTGCTTCTGCGAGAGCCCTCTGCTGCCCTTACACATCTTGCTAAAGTCTAAATTCCTGTTTCCCAGCTGTCACTGCCATCCAAAAGAGAGGGGTGGGGAAGCTTGTTGTTAAGCAGTGTTAGTCTTGCAACAAAAACAAGTGTTGTGGCACTTTAAGCAGAGGTGGAGAACCTGTGGCCCACAAGATATTGTTACTCTCACTGGTCATGCTGACCAAGGCTGGTGGGAACTGAAGTCAAACTCAACACCTGGAGAGGCACAGGTTCTCATACCTGCTTGAAAAGGAGTATTTAATATGGTATCAGCTTTCATGGACCACAATCCACTGCATTGGATCATATATAAATTGCAATCATAAGTTGGCAAGTATATACACATAGTTTAGTGAAAACTATAGGGGAGTGAGCAAACTCCAGTGAACCTCAACCACTTTGCTCAAGCAGCTCCCTCTTTTCAAATTCCCAAGTGCCAAGGCAGCCACTACACCTGACTACAGCAGTAAAGGTAACATAATAAATGCATGTTTGGTTGCACACAAATGAGTCTGAGAAAATATAAATGCAGCACAATGTGATACAAGTTTATTTACTCAGAAGCAAATTCCAAAAAATAAGTAGGCATGCACATACTGATTGTTTTGTTGTTGTTGGACTTTCCAAACAAAAGATGCATTTATTACTCTATTTATTTTCAGGATTTATACCCTGCGGCTTTTTATTTAAGGCCACTTTGTAGATAAACTAAAGAGCAAAAAAAGCACTTCAAAATTAACAGTTGCAGCTTTATTTGTAATCAACCCATCACATTTAGAAGATTCCACAATTTGATGTAGGTTGGAGGAGAACCCATTTTGTTCAAATGGAAATGTCATTTCATGATGACCAGGGAATCAAAAGGGAAGTAGATATCCTGCTACAATGTGGATGCGACCAGCATTTTATTTGCAAGGCGTGTTTATTGCCTTTCTTGGCAGATTTCATTCATGCATTTATTTTTAAGAAGTGCTATAGTTCAGTGGCAGCACGTATGCTTTGCATTTTTAAAAAGTTCCAGATTCTCTGGAAGCTGTATGCAATAGATGGGAAACCTCTTTACAATGAAATTTATACATAACTGGATCTCCCTATACTTCCAACACTTTCCACTTATAGAATTCTCACTTAGGAACACAGCTTTATCAATCCCTGCCCCTCTCCCCCCACTCAGAAACCATTTCCAGTGATCCTTGCAAACTTGGGAGTAGTTGGAAGATAGGGAAAAAAAGTTCCAGGCCTCAACTCTAACTGATGTTAGTAGCTTGAACTTGTGTTTCTAAAGCACAAAGATGAGCAGGAGCAAGCTCAGGACGACATGGGTGCAGCAGGAGTGTCAGATTGATTGTAGTGCTCCCAGCCATATAACTGGGTAGGCCTCACCTTACTATAGATAAGCAACAGTGACACTGGTGTTGGGAGGGTATCTCTGGCTACTACTATGTGTACTCATAGATGCCTCATTTCATTAAAATAAATGGGCACCTGGAGCCTTCAGAAGATCCTCATTTCACATCACAACTGATGAGGAGCACAGGAACAAAGTCCATTTTGAGACCAAAGGATAGTATCAATATTAAACTTGATTGATGAGTAGATGGTGCAAACATTTTAATTTCTTATTCTTTTGAGATTTCAAAAGAAAAACCTCTAGTCATTAGCATAACTCAGAGATACATTTTAAAACGAGTTCCTGCATATTTGGACTACGTTTCATCTGACAAGCAGGCTGAGTGAGAGTAGTACCTACAAGTGGAATTGTCAAGAATGGAGGCCTGTATTTCTTTTCAAAAGAGCAGGCAGATAAGTTTGCAATAATATGTAACTGATGTTTAATAAATACAATTCATCCACTAACACCTGCAAGTTCTGTCTTGATACTGTCTCTTACATCCCCCACCCTTAAAAAAAACTCTCCCAAAGGACATGATTGATGCTGCTGGAGAGAAGAAACAAATATTGCTTTCCTTCATGCCAGACAGGCATTACATGAACAGTGAAAACATCACGAGATTTTGCTGTTCTTCCATAGTGTATCAACAACAGCTACAAAGGAGATAACAAAACCATTATTGCTAAGTAGAACAAATAAAATAAAATTTTAATTGTAGAGTTGTATAAAGTGGAGTCACAATTACTCAAAACAGAATGGTCTTCTGTTCTAGGACACCGCCACTTTCTGAAGAAGTATTTACCTTCTCATCCCTCGTGAAATACCTTTAACAAAGCTATTTGCTTTTAGACTTTTATAACATTCAGAGAGTGAGGAAGGCCTTTGTTGTGAATATAAGAGTTTGTTGTACACCAGTAGCTAACCGGAGTCTTGTGCGTTATTCTGGACCTCCACGCTGTAAGAAAAAATACTGGTTATTTATCTTTCAACAGAAAGAAAAATCAATTATTGCACTGATATCAATTTGCATTTGGATAAAGTGACTGATGTCTAACTTTATAGGGATATACAGAATAACAGCAAGCCACACATAATTTTTCTGTTGCCATTTGGACTTTTCTGTAGTGTGCTATATCCCACTTCCTATTTACGGGTCCAGTAAATTAACTGCCTGCCTGTATTTTTGTATTTTTCAAAACAATATAAATTTGAGTCCCTTGGGCCCAACCCACAGTTGTGCACTGTGTCCTCCCCCAAACACTGCAATCTTGAACATGAAACTATTTCATGTAATCCAGGAAGGTCATGTGGGATTTGGAGTAAAGTGTCATCAAAATGTGGATGACACCCATGGCTATTTCTCCTTTTTGTCCAAGCAAAGCAGCTGATGTTCCGAACAGTCATTTTAAGATAGGTGGTGCGAACACTTGGCTTTCCAGACATTGCTGAATTACAACTTCATCATTCTGCGTGATGTGCTATTCTTGCTGGGATTCATGAGAGTTGTAGTTCAGTGACATCTGGAAGGATAAAGGTTCTCCACACCTGCACAGGTAGTGAACCCAGGTTGAAACCAATGGAAGAAGTAAGGAGCCAAGTTATGGATTGGTTACAGTACCATCAATTATATGATTTGTTTAAAACAGACTAAATAATGGATTTTGGACCAAAGCTCACAGTTTGAAAGAGAGTTACTATGGAATTAGGATAAATTATTGTCTAAAATGTATAACATTGCTAGAATGGGAAACAAACCATGAGCTAGTTAAAGTTTCTATGACACACTGGGCAATGGATATAGGGCATAACATAGATTTAAACCTCTGGGAGAAACTCTGGAAGAATGATTTCCAATTCTCTGCATATTATACATTGAAAGAGAATTATATGAAAATGATTCATAGATGGTATTTAACTCTGAGTAGGTTGGCTAAGATGTATAAAGCAGAATCAGATATGTGCTGGAAATGTAAATAAATTGAAGGAACCTTTTTTCATATGTAGTGGATGTGTAACAAGGTTAAGGAATATTAGGAAATGATTTTCAATAAGTTGAAAAGAATGTTTAAAACAAGTTTCCCAAAAAGACCTGAAGCATTTTTGTTAGGAATAGTTCGAATTGACGTTCCCAGATATCAGAGAAATCTATTAATGTATGCAACAATGGGGGCTTGAGTTTAGTTAGCCCAAAGATGGAAAGTGAGACAGGTCCCTAGTAAGGAAGATTGGCAGCTTGAGATAATAGAATTTTCAGGTTTAACTTATAGATTACAAGAGCAAGAAGAATTTTTATTTAGAGAGGAGTGGAATTTTTTTGCTGATTCTTTAGAAAATAAATGTGTACAACTGAAAAGATAAACTCAACAGTGTGCTTAATAATTGAATGATGTAAATTGGAGAATTGACTAAAATGGTTATAGTAAAATACGCAGAAATGAGAGATAAGTAAAATGAACCATGGAATGAGAAGAAGGTATGCCAACTGATATATGGAATTATATTAAATGTTTATTTTGAGAAGCACAATTTAGAAATTTAATAAAAATTATAAATAATAATAAAAAGGTTCTCCACACCTGCAGTAATGTGATGGGTGGGCATTAATAAACTGGAGCTGAATAAAGAAAAGATATCTAGTGGTATGTTATCTGACGCTGAAGATGCTATCTTGTACTGTATGGGGTTGCACTCCTACAGGGATATTAGATGTAGAAGCTAGGGATACTGCATATTGAGATTGTTTTCATAGCGCTAAGTACCTTTATGCCAGCTACTCACTCTCCTACACAAGTTGTCCATGCTTTAGTAACACAAAGGGCTGATTACCATAACACATTATATATGGAGCTGCCTCTAAAAATTTAAACTGGTTCAGAATGCAGCAGCTAGGTTGCAGATCATGGCTTGTTATGCAAGCATATACCTGCTCTAAAGGTCAACAGTGGCTTTCCGGTTGTTCCTGGGAACAATGCAAACTGCTGTTTTTAACATTTAAAGCCAGGCTGTCTAAGAGCAGGCTTCCACAGTGTTTCATCCACTTCCATATCAACTGGCCTGAGAACTGATCGTCATAGCTACAACACAGAAAACATTAAAACATGTTTTTATATGTGTTGGAAGCTGCCCAGAGTGGCTGGGGCAACCCAGCCAGATGGGCAGGGTACAAATAATAGATGATAATGATTATGATAATTGTGGTATACAGTATCTACAGGAACAGAAGCACCAGGCCTCTGAATACCAGTTGCTGAAAAACAATAATGAAAAAGAGCTATTGGCAACAGGTCCTTCTTGTGGACTATCCATAGGTCTCTAGTCTGATCCAGCAGAGTTTTTGTGTTTTTATCATCAGAAACTTTCTCTGGGTGCCCCAATTGGTGAAGTTTAGAAAAGGTTAGGAGAAAGGGGGCCCTTTCTGCAGTTGCGCCCCATCTGTGGAACTTCATCCCAAGAAAGATAAACCTGGCAACCTAATTTTTTCTAGACACTAGGCTGTCTTATTATCTAGGTTTTGACAGTTTGGTTTTTCATCTAATGCTTATTTTATTGTTCCAACAGCTATGAGGCTGTTGGAACCGTTTCAATGCTGGTTATTGTTTTATCAACACAGCACTAGATTGCAGACATTCCCATTGACTGCCCTCGGCTTTTATTTTTAAACTATTTCATTTAATGGCCACCTTGTGTCCAATTTATAAAAGAAAGGCAACATAATAGATATTTCAGTAAAACAAATGCAAAGAATAAATTATGTAGGAAATCTCTGGGACCTTACTTGGATATACTCCATCTCTTCCACCGACATGGGTTTCCTTCTATATTTCTGAGGTAACGTTTTTACTAATTCTGAAGTGTCAGGTGTGCCTTGAATTCTACTGTTGAATGAAATATTTGTAGATGATGACGGCCCACCTCCTGCAGAGAGTTGTGAGGCTGAACCATGAGGCAGAGGCACTCTTGACTGTAGAGGCTCCTGTACTGAAGGAACAAGCGACAGGTTCTAAACCATTTACTTTAGCAAAAATATTCAGGAAACCCTAGATCATGAAGCATTCAAAGTAATAGCCACGTTATTCTGTTACAGAAAAAATAACAAAAATAACTTTGTTTAAGTGAAAAGGGGAATGGTATTTTGGAATGGTATGTTCAAAGAAACAGCAAATGTCAGTTAACATCAATTTCCAGTCTAAGCAAAAGAAATATGGTGACTAAGGCTGTGATCCTATGCACTTTTACATGGAAGTAGGTTACATGGAATCCAATAAAACATACTTATAAATACATAAGCCTGGGATGGGATGGTATTATGGCAAACTTTTCCTAAACATTACTAGATAAAACATTACTAGATAAAATTAACAAACATTTACAAAAAGAGATACTTACTTGTAGGTTTGGGAGTACTTCTTCTGTCTGGAAACTTAATTAAGGGTGTATGTGGCTTCACTACCTAGAGTAAAACAGGTAAATGGAAGGCAATGTAAGATAACTAGGACAGCAATTCAATATACATATTCACATTTTCTTGCAAAGAAAAGGTGTAATACACCAAGCACTGTTGCTGAATGGCATTTTAGTGGGGAGCCCAACCCAACTCCTTGTGGAACAGAACACTGGCAACAGCAATGGCTTCTGAGTAGAATGGGATACAATGCAAACTGGCTTGCTTGGGAGCAAAATACAAAGACATTTGAAGAGTTCAACTTTTACATTTGAAATGTTGGAGCAGTGAAGAACAAAACCTATCATGTAAACTCTAAAAACACTACCCACTTATTCATTCACAATCTAATGCTATCCAAAGACAAATGAAACATAGCTGGTGGACTACTGTACTACAGAAGGCAGCAGGTTTATCTGCATGGATAGTTAACAAGCACTAAGTACAAGGTCCAGTAGTCATACTTGAATTGCACAGATTTCTCCAGAAGTGTTTCTTTATCCATTATTATTTCTACTGCAGAGAAGAAAGGGTTTTTTGTTCTGTTTACTGTTTACCTAAGGGGTGGTCAGGAAGTATATCACTTGCTATCCTCACAGAATGTTGCTCACAAGTGGCAGTCTATAGCTGCTGTGATGTCTGAAATGTAGATCATTTGTTATGTTCTGCAAGAGTAAAGTGTGCTGGAATAAGGGAAACCTGCATGACAGAACTATGATAGGAAAACTACCTTTTTCTAATTCCCTTTTAAAGCCATCTAAGAGCCAAACTAGAAGTCGCACTAAAAGAATTGTTAGCAACGATGTTTACATTTTTTTTTTTAAAAAAAAACCCCAATGGCAAGTATGAAAATGGGATTTTTGTTGGAACTGCAGTTATGGAAAGGCTTAAATCTAACTTCAATTACAAGCTGCAGTACTGATGAAAAGCACCTCCTCCTACTCCTGGCATTATTTTCATTTAAAGCATAAAATAAGTGGCTAATAATGACACATTTTGCATCAAGTCTAGTTTGGCACAACTTGTGGCAGCGAATTCCCTAAGTTAATGAATGCTTTGTGCACATTAGTTTTATATATATATATGGCTATTCTAGTTCTACTGCCAAATATCAATTCCATGGGATGACCTGAGTTCCAATAATATGAAAGAGGAAGAAAAACTTATTTCGCACTCCAAACAATGCCTTTCCCTATACACCTTTTGCTTTTCCACCCTAAACTTAAGATGTACAAATATTTAAGTAAGGTGCTCTAGCCACCTTACTGCTAAAGGACAGGAAACTGCCAGTCATTTTGGTTATTATCACCATCCCGCTCGCTGTCCCAAGCACTAAAAACGGACTGAGCCACTTCTCTCCAAGTCACCAAACCAGCCAGAAATCTTTTAAGGCATTGCCTGTGAGCAAAAACGGGGTCAAACTGCTCGTCAACATGTCCAGTCCAACAGTTTATTTTCATTTATTTTTTTAAAAAAGTGCCTCTCCCTCTTTAGCCAGGGGAAGTGCAAACGCTGATATTTCACTCAACTCTTATTTACAGTTGACAGGCTTGTCATTGACACGAGGGCTGAGACGAGAGACTTAATCCGGAGTTAAATTGCAGAGTACAGAAGGATCTAATCCCGAGGCGATGAGGAAGATGATGGTGCACCGTAGGACAGCATTGCGACCCTGTTGCTTTGGGATGGGACCCTCGGGGGCAAAGGCGGAGGACAGGCGAAGCGACCGGGAAAGGCTGCACAACAAACCTCTCTGCCTCTTCCCTCCGAAGCCGCCAAGGTGACGAGGCCCCAGCCGAGCCGCTTTCTCGCCTTCCTCTCCCGAGGTCGCCAGGCAGCGCATCCCCCCTCGACCGCCTTCCCTCCTGCGCTTTCTCCCCCTGCCCGCCCAAGGGCACCGGCCTCCGCTAGTCCCACGGCGCCAGGGACCCGCTTCCCCGCCGCCGGACGCCGAAGCCTGGCCCAGAGGTGCGAGGCCCGGCCGTGCGCCAAGCCGGAGCGGGGTCTCCTGCGGCAGAAACGCCTTAAAGGACTTACCTGAACGACCCTACTGGCGGCCGCCATCTTGCTGCCCATGGTGACCGCCGGCCCGCCCGGCCCAGGCAGGAGAAAGTGCGCGCCGACGGGGGCCGGGGCTTCGAGGAGGAGCGGGCGGCGGCCTAGCGAAGCGCCGCCCACGGGAGGGGCCTTGACGGCGACGCTCAGCGCACGGAGCGGATCCGTCGGGCGGCTTCCGTGAAAGAGGAGGCCGGGCGCCACACGCCGCGTTACTGAACTGCTCAGAGTCCAAGCTGACAAGCCTGGGCGGGCCTCTGACACTCGCTTTGTCTCATTTTGTCCTTAACAGCCGAGGAAAAAAATAAGCAAAAAGTTCCTACTGGGACAGGGAAAGTGTGTTTTGTTTTCCAAGTCCATTGATTTCATTAGTGCAAGGCAAGCTATTCTCTAGAAAGGATGGTCTTATGCAGGCTTCCTCAAACTCGGCCCTTCAGCTGTTTTGAAACTACAGTTCCCATCATCCCTGACCACTGGTCCTGCTAGCTAGGGATCATAGGAGCTGTAGGCCAAAAAACATTTGGAGGGCCAGGGTTGAGGAAGCCTGGTCTTATGGATGGCGGGGGTGTCCTAAAGCTATCAAGAAACCAGTAGCAATGGCCTGCTGGATTTATTTCCCTTGGGAACTTCTTCATATGAGCCCTGCTGGATCAGGCCCTTGGCCCACCTCAAAAGCATCCTGGTCCCACAGTGGCCAACTAGATACTGTTATGAGGAGAAAAACCTGCTCCTTTTCCCTTATGGGGTACCCAAGAGCCCATACAGAGTCCTTTTGTAGGTTCTCCATCGGTAGGAGAAAATAACAGAGACCAACCAGAGAATAATGAGAAGCAAAGCAGCTAGTAAGTCTCATCTTTATTAAACTGTTGCAAAAGGGTCCTCACTCACCACATGCCGGAGGGAGGAGAAACCCAGAACAAAGGCCCTTATAGAGCCCTTTTAAATAGCCCACCCTCAAACTCTAGACCACCCCCCAGAAACATCATGCATACATCACAGAAGGGGTGTATCCCAGGACCACCTTCCACAATGCATCATACATACAACACAGGGGGCAGTCTAAAACAGAATCCTGAGTGTGTTGTTTATGTCTGGCAGGTTACCTGAATGCATTATCTGGGTTTTGAGCACTCTTTTATTATAACTACTGAATTCCTGAATCCAGGTCACAGGCTCACCCTATTCACACCTTAAATGTGCCCTTAAGGCAGGATTGGTGAGCACAGATACATTTCCTCCCTCCTTGCAGAGAAACATTTGGTCAATTTGGGAGGGTCAAAATGGTTTCCAGACTGCCTTCCTGTACTGATTCAGACATGTGGTTTATGTATTTATGTATCTGTTTGCCTTGTACATGCCTTGACATGGGTGGCGCTGTGGGTTAAACCACAGAGCCTAGGGCTTGCCGATCAGAAGGTCGGCAGTTTGAATCCCCGCGATGGGGTGAGCTCCCGTTGCTCAGTCCCTGCTCCTGCCAACCTAGCAGTTCGAAAGCACGTCAAAGTGCAAGTAGATAAATAGGTACCACTCCAGTGGGAAGGTAAACGGCGTTTCCGTGTGCTGCTCTGGTTCGCCGGAAGTGGCTTAGTCATGCTGGCCACATGACCCGGAAGCTGTACGCCAGCTCCCTCGGCCAGTAAAGTGAGATGAGCGCCGCAACCCCAGAGTCGGTCACGACCGGACCTAATGGTCAGGGGCCCCTTTACCTTTACCTTTTTTAGACCTTAAATTCTTACAATACCTACGGCAAGTCTGCAACCAGAACTGCTCTCTCCCATCCTGTACTGTATCTTACACAGTGGAGGGGAAAAAGAGAGAGAGAGAGAGAGAGAGCGCATAGCCATTATGGTTGGTAGCCTTCAGTAGGCTTTATCCTCCAAGGTTTGCCTAAATTGGGGGTAGGCAGCCTAAGGCCCGTGGGCCGGATGTGGCCCAATTGCCTTCTCAATCTGGCCCGCAGATGATTCGGGAATCAGCGTGTTTTTACATGAGTAGAATGTGTGCTTTTATTTGAAATGCATCTCTGGGTTATTTGTGGGGCATAGGAATTTGTTCATTCTCTCCCCCCCCCCCCAAAAAAAAATATATAGTCCGGCCCACCACATGGTGTGATGGATGGTGGACCGGCCCACAGCTGAAAAAGGTTGCTGACCCCTGACCTAAATTCTCCTTTAAACCATCTGGCTTGGTGGTCGTGGCTGCCTCTTGTGGGAGCAAATTCCATGGTTTTAAATATGTGCTGTGTGAAGAAGTACTTTCTTCTGTCTGTTCTGAATCTCCCAACATTTGGCTCCATAGGATAGCTACAAGTCAAATGTTATGAGGGAGAAGAACTTGCCTTGATCCACTTTCTCCATGGCATTATCACACACGTTTATATTATGTCACCTCTTAGCTAAATTAAAAAACACCTCCAAATGCTGCAGCCTTTCCTTATAGGAGAATTGTTCCATTTCCTTGATCATTTTGCTTTTCACTTTTTGGAACGTTTTCCAACTCAACAGTATCATTTTTGAAGTAAGGCAACCAGAACTACGGGCAGTAGGAATACAGTTGCAATATAGATTTGTATAATGGCATTATGCTATCAGCAGCTTTATTTTTAATTCTTTCCTAATGATCCCTAGCATGGAATTTATATTTTTTGCAACTGCTATATAGTGGATCAACATGACCCCAAGATCTTGTTCCTGGCCAATCACCACCAATTTACCTCCCTTCGTAGAACCATTCCTGATATACAAGAGTTTTTTATTTATTTATATACCACCCTTCATGTGAAGACCACAGAATTGTTCACAACATAAAAATACAAAATGAAGATGCAAAATATACAATAAAAGCAAACCAAACCAATAACCATCCTTCCACAAGAGGGCCACATCTTATTCCCATGAGTGCTAAGCTTGTAAGAGGTTTGAACCCTCCAAACCATATAGGATAACACATAAAGCTATTTTATTTCACTGCAAATGCAGCCAATACTATGGCATAACATGTATAAACAATACAAGAATTCTAACCTATGGTCATTCTACAGTAAAATTTCTCCACCCCTGTCCTTCCCTTCATTATGTTCCTCATTATTTTAGATTTCAAGTTCCTTGGAGTCAGGCACCTAACTTTTTAATGAAACACTTAAATGCACAATGTTACATGTATACTGATGGCACTGCAATAATAGCGGCAGCCAACTATTTAAATGCACAACAGTTAACTAAACATGCATAACATACCAATGTAGTGAAGTGGCTTTGGAAATCCATTGAATATAACAAAAATGATCACAAAAATGATCCCTCAAAATGCTAAGCTGCTTTCCACTGGCACACATAAAAATGATGTGCTCGTTATAGGTGGTAAAGAAAGTCAAAATGTAAGGAAAGGCATTCCTGCCTTCCCAGCAGGAAATAAGATTTAAAAGGCAAACCTGTTGCTCTGTCTTCGTTCCAAGGCAACAGCCAATAATTTCTCTGGAAATTGAGGAGCCGGTGGGAAGAATGTTGCAGTTACAATACTCTCCGTTAATAACTCCTTCCATAAAACTGGAATGGTTCTTCCAAGGTAGAGCAAACAAATCTAGCCATTAAATTAGGCAACATATTTTACAGCAGGAAGTTTTCAAGTCCATCTGTGCATCAATATAATTAAGCGCCACTGGAGTTATGATTATGAAAACACACCTCTTTGTCACAATAGCTTGTCAGACTACTGCTTCTCCTCTGAATCAGCAAACCATAGAAAATGTACTGCTCTGCTTCTTCACATTCTAGCCACATTTTTCTCCAGTTGCAGAACAATTTCCTTCAAAGCTGGATCTTCTGCCCAATTGACCTCACTTCCAATAATGAGATTCTGAAACAAAATCAGTTTGTTTAGCTTTTAAAGAAATACTTCAGCTACTTCATGCTCCCAATAGCAAATCGAACTCTCTTCAGGATGTCAATACTAAAAAAGGGGGGAAAATGTGGGCTGATAAAAGAAAGTGGTCATGCATCATGCAAGTTATACGTTTGGTCATTCTCCATCTATGCACAAAAATTTAAAAGTTTAATATATTAAACTGTCAATAGATCACAAAATTCCCCAGTAAAAGCAGCTTTCTCATCAGTAAAGTCATTCTTGCTAGTAGGATATAAACTGACTCAATTTATATTTAGTACAGATTTGTCATAGGTGATCAAAATGAACTAATCTGTCCTTCTCAGAGGCAGTTTTACCTGGAAGATGTTTTGAATCAATGTCGTCATCTCAATTTCCTTTTGCAGATTTCTACGGGCCTTCTTCAACATTTCACTCACTTTCATATTGTCCAGTTCCTCTTTTCGTTTCATATTCATATTATGTATATCTGCCAGTTTGCAATCCATAGCTTGCTTTAGTGCTATTGAATTATGAGGAGAAAAATATGAAACTATGAACTTGATTATTTCCCAAACCCTAGTGCAAGAAGAGGCTTTGTAGTGAGTGATTTATGACACGGTTTTAAAATAAAGAAATACAGTTGTACCTTGGTTGTCGAACACCCTGGAACTCATAAGTTTTGGCTCCCAAACACTGCAAACCTGGAAGTGATTGTTCTGGTTTGTGAACGTTCTTTTGGAACCCGAATGTCCAACAAGGCTTCTGCAGCCAATCAGAAGCCATGATCTGGTTTTTGAACATTTTGGAAGCCAAATGGACTTCCGGAACAGATTCCGTTCAAGTTCCAAGGTATGGCTGTATGCCTCCATTCCACACACCATGCTTAAACCGTTAGAACTCTAAACACATGTAGAGTTTTATCCAATGCTGCTGTTTCGTGAGCAGAACAGACTTCCATCTGACACAACTTCAATTCCCTTTCCTTTCCCCACCCCCTCCTGCAGCCATCTGTGCACCCTCAAAAGCTGCTCCACAGGGTTGGGGGACCTTCCAGAGCAGATTTATGGGCATGCATAGTATTAATACAACCAATAACGAGCTACAAAACACTTAAAGAAGCTACTACAATGCAAGTATTGCATTTCAACACTGTAAAAAGTAGTAAGTCAGCACTGAGTAGTGAACAAAAATCAAAGGTAAGTGATCTTATATAGTAAAAGCAAACTTTGAGCAGGGAGTGCCAGGCTGTTTAGAAGCAAACTGGACCGATGAAAAATCAAGGTACTGGTTTCTACATACTAAGGGGATTCCCTGTGTATGCAGAAGTATATATTAAGTGTGCAAATAAAAACAAGCTCTGCTGATTCTACAAAAACTTGGTTTTGGAAGAAAGTTTGTACACATTAAGGCAGGTCTGTGTGGGTGGGGGCAGCCAGGCCCACTTGCCCTGGGCATCGGAGGGCTAAGCTAGCCAAGGGGCCCTCCAGACATGCTGTCATGCCAAGAACGCCCTGTGACAGACCGGGGACTTATTGGGTGAAACACCCATGCCTGTCCATATGCACTGCAAGGCTTTGATAGTAAAATCTGGACCTGTGTTACTGCATACTAGGTCAGATTAGGCGTTGGCCTGTCTCACAGACAAGCCTCCCGCCCTGGGCTTCTGACAAGCTCTGCATGGACCTGTATTAAGGCCATAATATGGCTTAAGGTTCTTTTCTAAATGGGATCATGAAAATATAGTCCTACCTTGGGTTGAAGTCGCTTCAAGCTAAGCCTTTTCGGGTTGCGCTCCGTGGTGACCCAGAAGTAACAGAGCACGTTACTTCCAGGTTTTGCCGCTCTCGCATATGCTCAAAATGACGTCTTGCGCATGCGCGGAAGCGGCGAATCGCGACCCCCCCCCCCACAGACGGGCAGTCGTGGGTTGCGTTCGCTTCAGGATGTGAATGGGGCTCCGGAACAGATCCCGTTTGCAACCTGAGGTACTACTGTATGAGTAAAGCAAGCAGCAGTAATCATCCAGTAAAACCAGAATTGGAGTAGTTAACGGAAAACTTTGTGGGGATGCTTACCTATTTCTGTTATTGTTCTTGAATGCCCACAGAAAGAAGCCTTAGCACCTGTGTAATTGCACACAATGCTACTGTGATGTGGCCTTTATACTGTTCTTGGGGCACCTTCCTTACCACACCCCTTTTGCACTAACCACCAAACTGACTATCCATGAGAATTTATAATGTGCACATCCATCACTGGGTGGAATGATAATGTTTTCAACACACTCTCATTTTCATGGCACACCACCTTTATAAGATACAAAAGGGAAACCAATATTTCACTACGGTTAAAAAACTTACATTGTCTTCTCTGCTTAACTTCATTCAATTTTTCTTCCAGTTCACGTGACTGCTATATTAAAAATGCAGTTCATTAATACATTTTGTAAAAAATATCTACCCCGGTTGTCAGAGTAATACATTGTCTACCTCGAGAGACAATGGAGTGCTCTTCCAGAGGTGAAGTCAAAACACTGAGTTAGCAGCACCAAAGTGACCTCCCTGGGGCATAAGCCTGAGCAGTGTGTATGGAGGTCCTGGGATGCCCAGATGACAAGACCGCCCCCTCTTGGCCTCCTGCTGTGGTCCAAAGGAAAGCAGATAAATATATTTGGCACCAACTTGGCTGCAGGAGTTGTCACAAGGTGGTGTACAAGATGCCATCCAACCACCTTAAGGACTCCATTCCAGATTTGTGTAGGGTTTACTCCTTAGGATTTTCTTCTCCTGAAGATGTCCCACAAGGCAGTAGAGGTTTGGGATCAGTTTTCCTCCTCCTACATGGACTACCTTCCCAGATAAGCCCCATCTGCCCCTCACTTCTCTATATAGCCTGTGCAGAAACCAACTTCTTGAACATTGGACCCATTATTGGTCTCATCCACTCAATCTGCCGAAACCTGTCTTCACATATTCGGAAGTCCCTTATTCACTGATGGTTTAAGACCCATTGGCTCCCCTCCCCTGGTTTAGCTGGCCAGTCAAAGCCATTCCCGGGGGTGTGGCTACTGTTGCATGCTGACAGCTTCTAGGAGCCACAGGTGCAGGGTGGGGACCAAAGGTGGACAAGCTACCCTGAAAAGAGCACAATGTGTCCCCCCCACTACCCCCCGACACCCCAAAGTAATACTGTAACTGTGAATATTAACTTTAGTACTTTTTTTTTTAGGAAAAAGTGTAGTATGTAAACACAGTAACTTTTTTAAGTACAGCTACACTTGTATCTACCATGGGTTGGCAAATATATCTTTTCTAGACAATGAGCCTTAACGTTTTAACAGAAAGGATACTTGCCTGCTTTAATTTAATTACTGCAGTACTAAGCATCATAATGTGCTTTATAGTCTCCCCGATCAACCTAATGAAAGCATAAACAGAAATCAGCATGACCCTGAGGCCCATACAATCAAATCAAACTGATATGCAAATGCACTTAAACAGAAGCCTGATGCCCTTTTCTTCTAAGAAAAGCATATATAGGGACATATAAAGTCGTCTTATGCCAAGGAAGACCACTGGTCCGCCTAGCGCAGTACTGTTTACACTGACTGGCAGTGGCTCTTCAGGGTTTCAGATAGGGGACATTCCCAGCAAAGCATGCAAAGCTCTACCGCCGAACTACAGCCCTTTCTCTTTGGGATGGGGTGATTTGGAGTGAATATGCAGTGTTGGATTAAGCTGCTTAATTCTTTCCCTTGCTGTGGTTTTCTGTTGTAAATCCCCTCCCCCCTTCCCACATTGTTCTTTTCCCTACAGAGTTTCAAATGTGTTTCCCACAGGGGGAGTTGCAGCAGAAAGCATTAAGCAGCCCCCATACTGCTATTTCTTCCAAATCATCCCATCCCAAAGTGGCTGGTATTTTTGTTGTGCATTTTGTGTGTAGCATTTCATTTGGTCCTTAGTTTACACCAGGGCTGCGGAACTCTTGAGTCTTCCAGGTGTTGGCCAATTCCCATCAACCGGGATGGCCGATAGTCAGGGATTATGGAAAATATATTTTGGACGCTTGGTTAAGACTTTATTGACACATTTCCCCTGCAATATGACCCAGCCTTGTATGTTTTACTGAACATAACATACTGTTTTATTCTGTATTTTATGTTATATTATATTATATCATATTGAGTTTCTTGCTTTGGTGCCTAGATATCTTTATGTTGAGTGGTGTAGAAACTGATAAGTAAACAAACAAACAAACAAACAAACAAACAAACGTAGTCTAACATCATCTGGAGGGCCACAGATTCCCCACCCTTGGTTTAAATCTATTCACAGATTCAATTTAAGTGAAGGCAGTTTGACTTCAATCCACTATTCTCTAACAAAAAGAGTTGAAAACGGCCTGCACCAGATCAGGTCTAAAAGCCAGGTGATGGGGGTATTTCTAATGGCCAAATATTCATATATCAAGAGATCTGTCTTCGGCTTTTACTAGTACTTCTATGTGTGTATTATGCCAGCTAAGCATGCAACACACCTGGGCATCAAGATATTCATCTGCAGCTGCAGCAAGTTGCAAGCAGTGAAAAACAACAATAAAAAGCAGTATTTAGAGAAAAAGTCTCAAAAGTACATGTTATGGCACCAGCACCTGTGCGTTGTAATGCAGATTTGGTCAAGTTCCTATGAAGCAAAGGGGCTGGAGCCATTTGAAAACCAGGGTGGGGACAACAGCATGCTAGACCGCCCACTTTTTTATTGTCCATGTTTTCCCCTCTTCAGCTGTTTTCTTCCTAGGGGAGTTACTTTCACTGTTATGACTTCCCTGTGAGAAACTGCCAAAACATGTTATGGGGAGGTAAATGACATAGGCGCTTACTCTAAGTGGACGCTGCCCAACAACCAACCAACCAACCAAAAACAAAAGCAGCAGCTGCCTTCTATAAAAATCAGCAACAGCACAATTCTAAGGAATAGGTTTGCTGAGATCACAGCTAATTTTAACCTGATTCTAGTTTTAAACTGTATCCCAGTTGTAGTTAAATGGAACCACAGTATGAGAATTTTACAAAGGACTAAAATAGGTCACTGCAACAGCTGATTTAAACCAACTATAAGGGACTAGAAATTTCATCTAGGAATATCAGTTGTCTAACCAGGGTGCCTTTCTGAAATATTCTATTATCCACAGAAGCAGTATTTAAATATCAATTCCATAGTCATTAAACAAGCTACAAATACTCTTGTCAGTTAAATAATTCAGTTTAAATAACTCCTTGGACTTTCAAATCCCCTTACTTTAAGTTGTCATCATTGTTCCTCAGCTTGGCTCTAAGTGCATCATTTACTTGCAACCTATACAGTTAAAAAGAAGAAGAAAAGTAAGATGTGTTCTGAGGAAATGCATAACAGTATGTCTAGGACATTCATAGAAGAAATAAGAACTGGATTCTAAGAATTTTTTTCTGCTTTCATATACACATGTCCATGAACAAGTGATGCACCATAACTTACTGGCTAAACATTACACATCACATCAGAGTATTTCAAAGATCAAGATGTGTATGAAACTTTGTATAGTAAGGAACCTTGTGTTTGTATTTCTGATGAAATTCCAATAATATATTTTATTTCAATTAGTGGTTAAGCTGTTTCATGTGCTAAATGCATAGCTGTCAACCGTCCCTTATTTGGCAGGAAAGTCCCATATCCCAGCGCTGTGTCCCGCTGCTGTCCCCTATTGATGGATGTCCCTTAAATGATGTCCCTTAAATTTCAAAGGAAGCAGCTCCTCTCCCTCCCTCCCTGCCAGCCAGGGAGGAGGGAGGCTCCAACTGTGTTGCTTGGCTGCGTTGCTCACCCAATAAGGAGTCTAAGAACGACTGGGGGGTGGAGCTTGCATGCCTTGTGCCGATCAAATTGGCCGCGTTGCTTGGGGACTCGCCTTTGCTCAGCGCTTCGCAGCGGAGAGGTGACGGTGGTTTTCCTTGCTGCATCCCCTTTGCCGGGTTGCTGCGCTGTGGGAACCACCGCTTGAGGCTTCGTTTGGCTGCTGACTGGGCTTTCTGCCTTTGGCTGGGAGGGGCTCAGAAGTTGAACATAGCTGTGCTCTGAAATCCCTTATTCTGGCTGCTGATCCTTTATTTTTGAGGCTGCTGGTCCCTTATTTTCAAATCTGTAAGTTGACAGCTATGGCTAAATGTCATAGGTTTTATTTATATATTCACTAAACCATTAAACCATTTTTTAAAAAGAAGCAGACATATATGAAGTTCAATAGAAGGCAGCTGCAGAGTAAAAAGTTGTCTAATGCTCAATTTTGTAAAGCATAAAAATTACTATTAAGTAATTTCACATATGTAACTTTGCTGCACAATCAAGCACTGAGTTGGATGCACAAGCCCATTAATTTCAGTGGATCTTAATTCCACATAACATTTGCTGGATTGTGGCTTGGATTTTTTAATTTCCATGTGGTAAGAATCTGACCAAACAAGCCATCCCTGTGGTAACAGACACAGTATATTTTCAATTCCTCCAATCTACATTAGTTCTTCATTCATGTCCTATGTTATACTTCAACTTTTCAGAAAGACTGAATCTTTACCTTTGTAATGCCAAAGTTTTGTGTCTGTGTGATAGCTTCACTTCTTCCAATTCCCCTTCCAAGTCTTCTATTGTACTAAGAGCAAAAGAAAACTCAGGTAAACAGAAACCAAGGATCAGGTGATCTGAAACGTATATTTCTTAGAAGGTGATTCTTCTATCAAACTTTTCTAACAACTGAGTAAGTTTTTAATACATTTTCCTCGTTATTGATGTTTGAAAAGCAATATTGCTCTGCTCAGAGATTGGTTCTTACTCTTTCTGCAAGTTGCATTGGGAACTTGGAGATGTAGAACAGTAGGTAGATATGTAATGCTAAAATTATTCATATAATGATATCTGCTCCTCCTCCGCATTTAATGTAACATCTGTGTTGCCAGCATTATTGGGTGGGAAAGCTTTCTGAGACCATGCCACACAAGCACGTAACTTGTTATTGGATGCAGCATTCAGCATACAGATTTCAACTTTCATTGAGAAATTAATCCAGTTTCTAGACCCCAAGGCTATGAAACAAGGTTGGTGGGTGGACAATACAGGGGAAGGGATTGAGCAGAATTCCCAACACAGGCAGTGGAGTATTAACACCATGGACAGCTTGTTGCTCTTCAAAGGGGCAAACATACAAAATATGCAGACAACCATTTACACAATTTAAACTGGCCACAGAACTTCCAGTTTTTTGTGTGTTTTTTTAACATGGTCTGAGCACAATGAACAAAACCACAACAAGCCGCTATTCCCATTTACCTTGCTTTCACACACATTCCCTTGGAGATACATCCCACTGAAATAAGTACAGTTTACTTTCAACTATGTTTGTTAAGGATAAACAATTTTAAAGCTTGCCATTTAAACTCAGAACAAGCATAAAGATATTTTAGACACTTTTAAACACAAGCCTGATAATTTATAAATACTACAACATTTTCAGTTATTTTGTTAAATCACAGATAATTCTGCAAATAGAAATGAACTAGAATATGCAACATGTAAAGAGATACAAGTTAATGCTTCATGCCCATTTCCTCCTTACAAATATAACATTGCCGTTAGTCCTTTGCCTTTTGCATAGAGCACAAAAGTAAGTTTTTGCTTGTTTGAACTGTACGTGGGGGGAAACCATGGAAACATCATAGTAGCATATTCATTAATAAGTTATGATGACACACCTCACAATGGCCTTTTCATCAATAACTTGATCCGTAATGATTTCTTCATCTGTCACATAAAAGATGAATATGTTAGAAGTAACTGAAAAACACTCCCCCCCCCCAAGAGGAACATGCCAATAGTATAGTAAGTTTCAAAACACCATTTCATAGGATTATACATCACAAAGAGAAATAAAGTCCTCAAGAGACTTCATCCTGGTATTTACTTTCTAAACAAGGGCTTATCAAATAACTTTACATATTTGTACTGTGTTTTTTATTTAGCAATATATAAACATAAGTTTTTATTTTTCACAATGGTAGTCACACACTTACTTGCATTAACTGTTGCATTATATTCCAAAAGTTGTTGCTTTATTTGTTCTCTTACTCTACAAAGTAAAAAAACAAATTAACAGAAAAAAATCAAGAGAGTGGATCTGGTAGTAGTTTACAGAAAATTTATCTTGTTCACATATGAATTAATAGCATCCACCTTTTATCTGATACTGAAATCAAAGACAGTAGCATTCTGATCAGCATTTTAAAGGAGGAGCTGGATATGTCTTTAGAAAGACCCAATCTTCAGATGAAGGGCAGTATACAAATTTAATAATAATAATAAAATAACATCCCGAAAGAATCTTGCTTCTCCCATTACCACAACCTTGGATTCCAGAAGAAATCAGCCATGACACTCTCTCTGCCATTGCAGCCTGCAGCCTCTCTCCCAACTTCTCATTCACATAACTGAATTTTCAGCTATGGCCTTTTACTTTTACCTAACTAATCAGGGTCCTGCCAACCTAGCAGTTCAAAAGCACATCAAAGTGCAAGTAGATAAATTGGTACCGCTCCGGCGGGAAGGTAAACGGCGTTTCTGTGTGCTGCTCTGGTTCGCCAGAAGCGGCTTAGTCATGCTGGCCACATGACCCAGAAGCTGTACGCTGGCTCCCTCGGCCAGTAAAGCAAGATGAGCGCCACAACCCCAGAGTCGGCCACGACTGGACCTAATGGTCAGGGGTCCCTTTACCTTTAACTAATCAGGGAGGGAGGCCCACCCATTTGGCCTCTGGCACAGAGTCATTCCCTTTGTTCTCTTAATGAATCATAATTAGCTGGCCTGGGCTCAAGCATAGTATACCACTTGAAACTTATAACCTATAATGTGAGGGTGTGGGGTGCCACTGAGGTTGGTCTGGAAGCTGCAGCTAATGCAAAACACAATGGCTCAACTAGCTGTAATGTCAGTACAGCTGGACAAAGCCCAATACAGCCTGGAACCATAATTCCTAAAATATAATCTTATCCTTTTATGCCCAGCCTATGACTGCACTCTGAAGGAGAGGGTTTCTTACAGATAACATATCCTCAGGAGGCCTGCTCCATGCAGTGTAGAAACTGGGGCTTTAGCGTGGCAGCACCTACTCTTTGGAACTCCCTCCCACTGCATATCAGATGCTGCCTCTATAGTCTTTTGAAGACTTTCCTTTTCCCACGAGCCTCTTAAGGGTAGATTTTTGTTTTGCATTGGACCCCAAGTTGTTTTTTATGCATGTTTTCACTGTTAAATCCCTTCAGGACATTTTTTCTTTGGGAAGCAACAAATAAAAGCCACAGTATCATAAAGTTGGGCGGGATCCCGAGGGTCATCTAGTCCAACCCCCTGCAACGCAAACCTTCTGGTTAACAGCCAGATGCACAGACCCATTGCACTAACCCGGGCACTTTAATAAATAACTAAATATGCACAATTAAGGTTTACATGCTTCCAATGCATTTTTTTCTAAATAATATTACAGAGGTGGCATCGAAATTCAAATTCACCATGATCTTTAACAGCAAATGCGGCAGTTTGCAGGGGGGGGGGTGTTTGTGTGTGGGTGCCTGTAGAGACGGCAGGGGTGCCAACATGAATAAAATATTTTTTGGGGGGAGGCATAATAATAATAATTTTTATTTATACCCCGCCCTCTCCAGCCAAGGCCGGGCTCAGGGCGGCTAACAAGCAATAATAAAAATAAGTTGAATGAATACAACTTAAAAACAAGATTAAAAAACAACATTAAAATATTGAAACATTAAAATGCAGCCTCATCACAGGAGGAGAAAGAAAAAAGAACGAGGGGAGGGAATCAAATTGGCTCCAAGCCAAAGGCCAGGCGGAACAACAATAATCAATCACATGACGTGGCACACGTTCACTATTTGAATGGCAATGCCCATCAACTTTAGGGGGGGCGGCCCCTTCAAATATTTTATGGGGGAGCGAAGGGCGTTGGCTCCTATGTGAGGGAGTGTGAGTGTTTCTCTGTGTGTTGAGACTCCGCCCGACACCAATACACAGAGAGGGCCTGACCTTAAAAGCGACACCAGGTCCAGCTTCTCCTGCCCCTCCTCGCCCACGAGCCGTCGGGCTTCTTCTGCTGTCTCTTCAACGAAGCCCTCAAGAGGAGCCGCCGCTGCCGCTGCCGCCGCCGCGCCCTCCCTTGTTTCCATCCCGGCAGCAGCAGCTCCCAGCCAGGCCCGCTTCCCTCGCGCAACTCCCTCCCTCCCTTCTGTTTCAAAAGACCCGCCGCAGCAGCCTTACGTCACGCTCCCGAAGGAATGCGACGATCGATTGCTCCTGCCTGAGATAAGCCCCACTCCCAGCTCCGAACGAAATCCAAAGACGCTCTACCTTCCGGCCTGGTGGGCCACGCCTCCCAGCTGCGATGGGCGTGCCGAAGAAAGCTCCTCTTCAAGGGGGCGGGGCGTCAAGTGCGTCTCTCTCGCTCAGACACCCATAAGAAAACAAAGAAAAATGGGTAAAGGAGGGCGGTTATAAACCAACTAAAACAAGGGGCGGGGCTTTAGGCTGCAATCCTGAACACATTTACACCTTGAGTTTGGTGGAACTGGTGAATTTAGGCTTGCAGTGTTAGGATGGAAAAATAAAAAATTGTCCAGTAGCACCTTATAGACCAACTAAGTTTGTTCTGGGTATAAACTTTCGTGTGCATGCACACTTCATTACAGTGAAGCAGAAGTCACCAGACCCTTATATTCATCTTTGGCGATCACTCGTAGCAGAGTAAGATTGTCTTCCATATACAGTGGTACCTCGGGTTACATACACTTCAGGTTATAGACTTCGCTAACCCAGAAACAGTACCTCAGGTTAAGAACTTTGCTTCAGGATGAGAACAGAAATCATGCTCCAGTGGCGCAGCGGCAGGCCCCATTAGCTAAAGTGGTGCTTCAGGTTAAGAACAGTTTCAGGCTAAGAACGGACCTCTGGAACGAATCGAGTACTTAACCCGAGGTACCACTGCACACGGTTTTAACAATGAGTCCTTAAGTGACTGTGGAGGCGAATTCTGGATCCACATGTCCTTCCACAGTGGAGACATTGGTTTCCGGGCAGGAGTTAAGTTGATCGCTGTGTGGATTTGCCAAGCGTCGACCTATAGGGTGATCGCTGGAGAATTGATGCTTTTGAATTGTGGTGCTGGAGGAGACTCTTGAGAGTCCCATGGACTGCAAAAAGATCAAACCTATCCATTCTGAAGGAAATCAGCCCTGAGTGCTCACTGGAAGGACAGATTCTGAAGCTGAGGCTCAAGTCCTTTGGCCACCTCATGAGAAACAGCCTACTTAAGTAGGATTTAAACAGAAGCAGGATGGCCTTACTAGAGCTCACTATACAATAGCATCTGCCAAGACTGACCTATATCATAGGTGACCATGTTCATTGTAGTCATTACAGTGGTGCCTCGCAAGACGAAATTAATCCGTTCCGCGAGTCTCTTCGTCTTGTGGTTTCTTCGTCTTGTGAAGCACGGCTATTAGCGGCTTAAAGAAAAAGGAAACAAATCGCAAGTACTCGCAAGACGTTTCGTCTTGCGAAGCAAGCCCATAGGGAAATTCGTCTTGCCGAACAACTAAAAAAATGGAAAACTTTCGTCTTGCGCATTTTTCGTCTTGCGAGGTACCACTGTACATTGGTTGGTTTTAACAACAGCTGCAGCTGTCTTGTTTTTACACAAATTCAAGCGTGCCATACCCTCCCTTTTGCCTGATTGAACTGGAAATATTTCCAATCAAGCAGTGTAATTGTAGTAGTGCTCTTCCCAAGATCTTGCAAATTTGTGACCATGAATCCTTACTAGCATGCTTGAGTTGCTGTGAACATCAGAATAAAGATTTTTCCTCCCACCACACCCAACTGCAGGAATAGCACACATGTTGCACCTGGCAACATGTTGAAGTCACATAAATTGAAGTCACTCAAAATGATTGCACCAATTCAGATAGGCAGCCATTTCCCATCCTTTTCAGCATGGCTTGCTACTTTTAAAGTGACAGAACCTACTAAAGTTGACTAGCTTCAGGCTAACCTTCTCCAATCAAGTTATTTTATTAAACTTTCACCAGACTCAGGAAGCTACAGTATGAAACATCGCAAGCAATTTATTATAAATTCAAATAATAAAAACTAGGGTATATCTCACCTGACCTCTCCAGAAAACCCAATTTGTAAGGCCTGAGCTGACAGCTATAATTTCTCTATAGCCCTTTTTTTTTTGCATTAGCTAAAACAATGTTAATTTAAAAGTGTGTTCTGTTATTCCTTCAGAATTGCTGCTGCAACAAATACTGAAGTTTAAAAACTACACTAATAGGAGGGAAGGAAGGCCTTACATTCCAGGTATCAGAGACTGATCTACATGTCAAGTAGTCATGGCTCATTTTATATTCCATGTATCTGTGATTACATTTGATTTCCACTTGTGTCCATATAGCAGCTTGGTCATCCTAACAAGAGTGATACAGGACAGCAATAAAATAGGCTTTAAAAAAACAGGAAGAGTTCGACTATTAGAAGTTTGCTCTCACAACTTACTTTTCCTGCAGACAAAAGCAACCTAAAAGTCTAGCCAAATTGGCAAACCATTACAAAAGTATGCTTTGGGGAAACCAATCAGCTGCTTTTTAGTAAAGTTTGCTCATGTATTCTCCATTGTGCTAAAGAACATACAACCATCTTCATACTGAGAAGCCAAAGATTTATAGCTTATTTAAAATTATAGGCTGCCTTTGTGAATCAACAACTCACTAGCTAATCTGCAATTCAGGAATTTCAATTAGACCATGACAAGCAGGTTAAAGTAAAAAAGAAGTTTATTAAAACTTTTATAACCACTATATTTATAATATACACACACTTAAGTAGCAACACACGGTGTCAACTTTGTCCAACAGTTAAATTAGGTTTATTTCGAGAATGGTTTAGCCAGATCCTTTATGACTGCAGAGTTCAGTGCTGGAAGGGTGCTGATCTTGGCATGCTTGCTGGTGGCATATTTGTTCTTGACGGTCTGCGGAGAGATTGATCAATAGTTAACATAATTTTTGCACCATTGTAGAGCCAACTATATCACTACATATTAGCATAACCAAAGCACACCTGTGCTTAATCATACTGACTTAGCTATAAACCTCGTTTAGTAGCAAGTTAGGATTTACATGTAACCAGACGCACAGTGGTATGGTTTTTGCTTACCAGATGCTTTGCATTGCCTCTGTTTACCAACATCACATTCTTTGCCATATGCTGCATAACAGGAATAAGATCAGTCTCGGTATATTGCATGTAGTGTTGTAGAGCTGTTGTCTAAGAGCAAGAAGTTAAGCGTTAGAAATCCTTCTGAGTAACACTTGTACATCATGGAAAAGCTCGGAATGCCCCATGAACCTCCTCTGCACTTGATCTAGGGACCCTGGCACACATAACAGCGTGCTTAAGGCTACCTAGAGGCTTTGTAGCAGAGGCAAGTTTTGAGGCAGATCTTCCAGGGTCACAGCTGATTCTCCAAGCCACTCTGCTCTAGCAATTCTAGCTCACACATGGGAATGAAAGTCATGGAAACAAATACCCAAAGTCATTTCTGGTATTTAGTGGCGGTGAAAAGCAAAGTCTTTTACCTTACAAATTTAAGGCTATGTCTGGGCTCAGTTACTTACCCATTCTCCCTCTTCAAGTATTTTAGTAGATAGGCAAAAGGCCGCAGCAGCAATTTGAGAGGGAGGGTAGTGTGCCATGTCATAATCCACCAGTGAGAGCTCCATCAGGTATTTTGCAAGTGTGTGTTGCTGTACATCGGCCTGGAATAGTTAGGGTAAGATAGTGTTTATCGCCAACGAACCCTGAAGATCAACAAGGAAGACTGTGCCTTGCATTACATTTCTCCCTATCTGAAGAACTGAATCAAAAGGTTGTGCCTTCACAGCTACACACAGTTAAGACAAAGCAAGATGTTGAGCTTTTTACAGCTTTTTCAGGACAAAACAATCCAACTCCATGGCCAATTTTAAATTTGCCAGGCTCCATTTTGAACCACAAATGCTCATAAAAGTAGTGATAGCCTACTTCTGCTTTCCCCAAAGTTTGTCTTTCAGTTGTTTTGGCCCAACTCCCAATAGACATGCTGGCTGCAGTCAATGGGACTCACCCACTTGGAAGGAACCAGGTTGGAAAAGACTGACCTACTGGTAGGATACTGAATATACCTCCTCACGCCAAAAGGAGACATTTTAGGATTCCAAGTTTGATCTTCCTACACACATATTTGACTCAGGAGTGTCATACTGTGACCTAGTGAGATTGGCATCCCCTTAAACAGCATTACCTCTCCAATTTTTGATGCCCTCCGTAGGAAATGCAGTGGAAGAGGACGACCAAGATTGAAGTCCAGTGATCTCAGGATCTTCATCTCCATTTGCCTAATCTGTACGTTGGTGTAGGTGTTATCTGTCACAAAGGCAAAGTCGCCGATTTCTGGAGGGTACATTTCTTCGTATTTGCTGGCAACGAACATGGCTGTTACACCAACCAGCTGCAGCATCCTCTTATGAACTTTGTTGTTCTGCAATAGAAACAACTGTTAGCCAAACTGGCCAATAACAATATTGGGGAAGACCGCTTACTCCCAAAGCGGACACACTCTTCAGCAAGGAATATTTGTGCACTTGTTCCACTGCAAGTTCAATGGTCAGCTTCCTGAACTGATAAGCCATCACCAGTCTAGCTACCCTGGGAGAGCTGTGTAGTATGTGCATCTACCAAGCATGCAGCTTTCAATCTAAAAGGAAAGTGCATTGTTCCATGTATGATCAAATTCATACACGGGCGTGGGAAACATTGTGATGCAATGTATGGCCTCCATCCAATGCAGCTAAGCCCCTCTGCCTTCAGTGTCCCTGCAGATTCTTAAGGAAAGACAGCTGCAAACAGGCCAAAAAAGAAAAGTGTTGCCATGCTGCTCTTACCTGCATAAAGCGATCAATAATGGCAACAGTCATGTACATAGTCTCTTGCAGGAGTTTGAATTTCATCTGGACCTGCACAAGCCAGTCAATTAGGACTGCCCGCATGTTCCCAGTAATTTCCTGGCCTGCCAAGTAGTTTGGTCTCACTGACTGCTGAGCCTGTGAAGAAAACAACAGATGTCAAATCATGTTTACCCGCACAAACGAAAGAAAGGAAGCCTTGTTGCAGCTGAAGCTGACGTGTCGCCACCATTCATTGCTTTTGAACTAGCAAGTTCCTTGCCCCCAGTTTTATAAACTGAGTTTGGATTCCATTGATATTTTGCAAGCACAGCAAGGGCACACAAAGAGCAAGACTCTAGCTGCTGCTTTCATTGGGGGGGGGGGCACCTGCTGTGCACAAACTTAAGTAGTGACATTTCCTAGTTAACTTAGATTTGGACGTAACCTCAATTTCTAGAGGCATATCAGGCATGCCTTAGCTACTTGAACCAACCTCAAGATCTCTCAGGTAGTTGTAGATATCCTTCACATATTCGCTGCAAAGGTTTGGATCTGAAGCATCATCTGTATCAATGTCTTTCACTTCAAGCAGAACATCTGAAAAGGCCTGGCACAGTATTTCCTCTGCTGGTGCACAACCAGAAGTCTCCATTGGGCTGGGGGATGGAGACTCCAACTGTTGAAGAGAGGTTTACACTTATTAGTATCTGAGCTACAACACTACATGTCTCCTTGGGTTGTGGAACTCATGGCAGCATACATGGGACTGCAACTGGGCTTCTAATTCAGGACTTAGACCTGTTTAGCTTCAGCAAGGTGGCTGCATCATGAGTCCTCTGACCTCTCTATAGATTGGTAGGTAAAAGGTATATGTGGTCTCTGTATAATAGCCCAGTTATAAGTCAACTGCAAGTCTCTGCTGCATCCTTGTCAGAGTTAGGGGAATCTCTTGGCCTAGAGGCCAAATGTGGCCTATTGGTCTTTAGAATCTCTCCAGATCACACGTCTTAAAGGCCCTGATTTGCTCAAGTGTTTTTGTCAAGCTGGAATGTGTCCTAGAACTATTTTGCCTGTTGTCTGGGGAGGGGTGTGTGTGTGTAAGTCACGCTATGGTGCAAAGGTAAATTTCTCATTTGTTGCTCTGCCCATATGGCCCACGAATGCTGACCAGAAGTGAAATGCCAGACTCCTAATCAATATTCAGACTCCTGAACAATAGTTTGTACAAGGGCATTGCATGGGATGCAAAGCTACTTGCGTGTTACTGACGCAGGTGTAATCATGATGCTAATGGGCATAGAAGCATAAAGGGATTCAATGGTCCATACACAGGCTGCAGGAAGAACAGACACATCAGAGACAAGTGCCAAGGTAGAAGGATTCAAATATCCACCTTAAGTGTGGACTTGCACTTAAGGAGTATTGGACTTGCAACCAAAGGGATTGCAGTTAAAGATTCAAAAGCCCAGTGTAATAGACATGGTTTGTCTCAAGTTTCTGCATCTAGGGGGAGAAAATCAGTATTAATCTGGCAGCAGGAAATACCCAGTGGTATTTTGGAGGCCACTGGGCACACACTTTGCAAGCTCTGGAAGAAAGCTGGTTGCCATTCAGACAGCCTTAAGTTGGACAATGTAGCCCACCCAGGGGCTAAAACCCAAGCCTCAGTATGCAGACTGCCAATTATTGCTAAGGGTAGCTAATGAATGCTCAAAAATAGCTGTTTCAATATCAAGAGACAACACATACTTATATAGCATATATGTACAACATATATAGCAAAAATGTTATTCAGAATCCTTCACCCCCATGCCCCACCCAACCATAAAGCTAGGGCTATCATTTGCAAGTCATTTGATACCTTAACGGGTTCAAGGATGGGCTTTTCTTCTTTCACAGATTCATTTGGCTGTTCAGTAGGTCTTGTGACTTTTTGAGTTGTAACTTTGTCCAAAATGGCAGGTTTCAGTATTTCCTGGGCGAGGGAATAGAAGTGGGTAGAGGGAGGAATCATTGCAGTAGCCCTGATAGTTCCCAATGTTAAGCTCTACTTGGAAGGGGGAAGGGAAGGAGACACTTACCTTTTTCATTACAGCCTTGGCTTTTGCTTCACATGCCTTGTTGCCAATGTCCCCCAAGGCAGTCCTAGGCCTCAAGCCGGGTCTGGCACCATCGCCTCCCCGCTTGGTTGCCATTACAGCCTTGATTTTGTTCTCTGCATTGATCTTTGTGTTCTGCAGGAAGGAGGAAGAACCCGTTTAAGTACCTTTCTGTTTCACAAACACAAGGAAGCATTTGCACAGCTTTATGATAAAGCGAGGATGGGTAGGAATAAGAGTTCTGAACCTTACAAGCTTCCCTAGCTTAAAGCCCTCCTCCTATCAATTTTGATGAGGCACAGTACTAATTAAGCAGAAGCCTTAGCCAATTCACAACTGGTAAAACTCAACAAGCCAGGGCAACGCCCAACGCCCCCCCCCCCGCAAAAAAAAATATGGGTCTGGGAACCGATTTACTAATTCTGGTAGGCAGAAAAAACTCGACACAGCAGTATAATTCAATTTTTCATATGGCAATTAGCAGTTACTAGCACCACCGCCCCTTACTTCCTGTGAAACAGAAGCTTATGCACGTTTCCTCGGGAGTAAGCCCCATTTATACGCCTGCATAGGACTGCAGCCTTAAGTTTGCCACCTCTTGCAAAAAAGAGGGCGCAGCAGGAAGCCTGAAAAACAAAAAAAATTCTCCCCCTCCAAAAGCCCCTTTCCTACCCGGGTGACCCGCAAAGCCATGATCCAGACTCGATCCGCGCAACACGAGATGTTAATCCGAACCAGTCGCCTCCGCTCCCAGCAAACTCCCAGCGGCCGATTCCTGCTGCGCACGAGTCCGACGGCCGCCCCACCTACCGCCGCAAGTTTAAAACTCGCACCAGGCTGCGCTCATTGGCTGCCTCTCTCGGCGTCCGCCGCTTCCCATTGGCCGTGCGGCGTTACACCCTGAATGCGTTTCCACGGCTACAAGGAGGCTGACTTCTCCGGGCGTTCGAAAAGGGGGGCGTGGCGAGAAGATGCGGAAGGTCACGTGGAAAGGATGGCTCGCTTTCAGTTTGGGAGCTCAGCTGGTGGATGAGGGGGAATAAATAGGTGGAGCCGTTTGCTTCTCATCTAGAAAAGTACCTCCCGGCTATCAAGAAATTAATCCAAACTATTATCGTTCTCCTTATGGGACTGTGTTTCTGAGTTGTGCGTCCTCTCCCGCTTGCTTACGTGCGCCGGATTTTCAACTCCCATTGGTCCATATATATATTTTTTACAAAAATAAGTTGGGTAAAGCCGAGCGCATTGCACAAGAATGTTTTGGACTACAACGGCTTTCCAGACCCACTTGTAATTTTAATAGCGTCACCATAGGAAGGAATGCAACAGCCGCAGGTTTTTCCTACCCTATGCTGGGAAATGTACGCTCATGGAATCTTTGTCGTACAAGCGTTGAAAAAGATAAGGAATAAATCCCTTAGGACTAGGCAAGTGTAGAAGAAAAACAAGGATAGACTGAGGTCTCTGGCTCACCTCTGCCATGAATTCAGTGGGTAGCCTTACACAAGCATTAGCATCTTGCCTCAGCTCCTACCCTAACACTGCAATATGGAGACAGAAACCTACACTGCAGGATTATTGTAAGAATTACATCAATATACTGCATCTGTAGTGCATCAAACACTTAAAAGTGCTATGTAAAAGCTGTTAACAGTTTTCCTTCCCCCCCCCCCCCCCAAAACTGAACAGTCTCAAATTATTACAGTGGTACCTCAGGTTACAGTCGCTTCAGGTTACAGACTCCACTAACCCAGAAATAGTAGCTCGGGTTAAGAACTTTGCTTCAGGATGAGAACAGAAATTGTGCTCCGGCGGTGCAGTGGCAGCAGGAGGCCCCATTAGCTAAAGTGGTGCTTCAGGTTAAGAACAGTTTCAGGTTAAGAACAGACCTCCAGAACGAATAAAGTTCTTAACCTGAGGTACCACTGTATAAAGTATTTGGGGCGATAGCTGTATTATAGTGTCCTGGTTACATTTATGTAACTTCCTCCAAGGAACTCAGTCAGCATGTCATAGCTACTGAGCATGCTCAGTCCCTGTCCCGTTTTAGGGTTTCTCCCCTACCGATTTTTAAAAATCGTTACTGCCTTCAGGGTCAGAGGCCTTCATGATCAGTATGTTTCTGGATACTAACTGGTGGAAAGCACAGGAGCGGAGAGTACTCTTGTGAGTTGGTGATGGAAAATGAAATCAAGCAGGAAATGTTGCAGCAACCTGTATTTTCAATTACCCTCACATGTACCAAATAAGTGTGATCCTATCACAAAGAGGTAAAATTTCTAGATATCCAAAATGACCAGGCCCTAGAATAGTTTGCTCATGGAAGTGAGGAGAGGGTCAGCAACACTGAACATAATCTTAAGTGGTGCTCCTGGTATTTGGTGTGATGTTGAATGAACTGAGAACAGCAAGCACAGTACTATCGAATTCTACATGTACAGAAGTGGGCAATTACCCCAAAAGTCCAACGGTTCCACATTTCACTTCCAAAGAGGAAGCTTGCCCAAAAGACTGATAAAAATCAATAGTGCCAAATCTCTCCTGAAAACTTGGAGGTTTCAAAAGCACAATAATAGAAATTTAGTCAGAATATACAACATAGCTCAAGGTCAAGAGGATGCCAGTGTGGTAAACAAGCAAAGTACTGGAAGCTACTAGAAGGCGGTTTCCTTCAGAAAATGGAAGTCTATAGACTATAAGGGGTGAAAATCAATCTCATGAATTTAGTCTCCTGTGTATGTTTAGCAGTCTCGGAATGTAAAGGGAGGTACTCTTATGGAATTGTTATAAAAATTCTAGTGTCTCAAATATAGAATAAATGTTCATAAATGCACATGGTAAACACACATTCAAGCCACATGTCTGAAATAGTACAGGAGAACAATCCTGAAGTCATCTTGACTCTTAATGACTCCAAAGATTTTGTCTGCAGAAGGAATTATCTTGGATAAGTTCTTTTCACTTACAAACCCTACATATTCTGTTTTGAGGGCATATTTTGTATATGAATAGGGTATGCCTGGGACCTGGATCCAAAAACTAAAGCATCTCAAAAGAATGGCCAGACTGCCTAGGTAGGGCAATTTCAAAAGTCTTTAAAGGGGCTACAGACTTTGGTCCTCACCTCCTTGCAAGGGGGGGGGGGGGCGGACTCTGTTGCAACAGAAAATAAAGGGTTTCCTTGCTTTCACGGGATCCTACCTTTCTGACTGATAACAGTTTTAGGGAACACTGAATCCCTATAAAGTCAACCCCATTTTTTCTGTAACTGTCAGTAATAGTTAATGAACAGGAGTAGAGAGTAGGAATAAATTGACAGTTCTTACACTGCTGGGATACGAGAAGCATGGTCTACCAATTGGGTATTGGGACATGTGCTTTTTAAATTGCTATGTGGTTTGTTACTCCTGCTGGCTAGAGAGAAGAGACAAAGCAGGAACAATCTCAATGTTTACAATAAATCATTAACTACAGACTAGGCCAGTTAAGAAGAAACTCATACAGAACTAAATTGTCTCATCACTGGGACATCTTTCTATCCTATAAGTCAAGTTTTAAGGTGTAATCAATAATATGTCACTAGAAATATATAAAAATTATAAAATGTTTATTTTACATAGTGGTTCAAATTTCCAATTAGTTATTCAACTTTCCCACTGAACAGAAACATAGGAGCGCAAGAACAAAGAAGGTATTTTATACCCCTGACTAATTGTTAAAATAACTTTTCTTCTTTAAAAAATTAGCTCAGCTCAGTGACAATTTTTAATTGGTAGAATCTATTTTTCCTTATTTAACAAAGCTGTGCTTAGAAAATAGGATTATATACAGAACTGGAATATAAAATTGTACATATTCATTTGTATCTAATGAACTTTGAAAAACCCATTTTAAAAATGTGTAGATACACATACATATACAGCAGCAAAATAACTCTGAAGATGTCATTTTTTGGAGTCTGGCTATTTCTGTTGCAACCTAAAATTATTTTCTTTAGGCTTGAGATGGTAGAGAAATGCTTGATATTCCTTTTGGGGGGAAATGTGCAATATAGTTGTGCTCATCCACAATCACATAGCAAAATTTCTTTAATAGACACCAAATAACAGTATTTTTACATTGCCAGTATTTCCACATATACAGCATATGTTCTACTTAACCCACCTCTTCTTAAATCTCTTGATCTTATTTTTAAAGGTATGTAACATTTTCTAAAAATCCAAATATATACGGCATTTGTTTCTGTACATTTATGTGCAAATTCACCTGATGAAATACAGACAGTGAACCCTACAGATTTAGCTTCCGGTTACATGATGTAAGTGCCATCTTTGTAGTATTTCATGGATTCCATTTGTTTTGTCATCGCAAGGACATCTTGAAATCCTGTACTGAGGCCAGACATATGCTGAAAATAGGCTTCTTTTTCCACTTGGACAGTTAAATTATTAACTCCAGCATCCTTAAGAATTGCTGAAACCTGAACAGAATAAAAATACGACCATCACATCTTCAGGAAATGTTTATTTGGAGCTCTAAGAAACACAATCTTGCTGCACAAAGGAGAAGTGGTATCACTTTGCATTTGAGATTTACATCCTCCCCTCCACAAAGAATTGCATGAACCAATAAGATTGCATGCGAGTCCTATTGAGCTCAAATGACTACCTAGAATCTATTCTTTCCAAGCACAACAAAAGAGAAAAAATGGATACTGGAGAGAGCATGGTGCAGGACCAGGTCTACAAACTATGATGGAAAGTATCTTTTGCAGTTATGCAATGATAAGCATAGAAGACGCAGGGATGAGGACTAGAACACACTATTCCACCCCAGACATGGCTCTATTTATAGTTTGTTTGTCTTGGAGGCTCGGTGTGCTCTTACTGCAACTTCTTCTGAAGAATACAGAACAAAAACTGAAGTTTGTTTTAAATTTCCCCACCATTTATTGAAATCCCAGGCCATTCAAAATATACATGTGTTGCGATGCTTCTAAAAAGGTGTCAGCCCCAGAGACTAATACACCCTGGTAAAGACAAGGACGCAGTAAGATTTTTCCACCAATAGTTAGCTGCTGCATTTTGCAGTAGCTGGGCTTCCAGACACACAGAGCATATCGCTCTGTGTCTTGGAGTCATGAATGCAAGAATCTCCATGGCCAAGTGACCCATGTCCAAAAATGGCTGTAGTTGGCACACCAGCCCAGTCACTGAGGTCCTCAGGGCAGTCACTGTTAACGGTCCCCCATTGCTTAGACACATGGAATGCATCCACCAGGAGCCATGCATTCAGTATTGTGCAGAACTCCCAGCTGAGGTCAGAGAGCACCCTGCTCCACCTTGTTGGATGTTCAGGCACTTGGTGAATATGCTTTTTTAAAAAAAATAAAATTCAGCAAGCATAATAATAATAATAATGATGATGATAATAATTTTTATTTCTACCCCACCCATCTGGCTGGGTTTCCCCAGCCACTCTGGGCGGCTTCCAACAAAGATTAAAAATACATTAAAATGTCACACATTAAAAACTTCCCTGAACAGGGCTGCCTTCAGATGTCTTCTAAATGTCAGGTAGTTGTTTATCTCTTTGACATCTTATTTTATCTCTGTAACCTTACTGCAAACAATGCAGAAACTGTTGCTTTAAGAGGTGTATAAACTGTTTAAATTAATAAACAACCAGAAGCGGGTGGAAAAGCACCATTTCACACCTTCACTGCTGGAACATGCTGCAGAGATGGTGAAGAAATGAGGCCCCAGTTTGCCAAAACACCTGCCCAGCTGAATATGGAATCTCACAGAAAGTGTAAGAGCAGAAAAATCTACAGAGCACCATGAGCAATATCCAGCAGTCGCTATTACAGAGGTGGCTGTCAGCTTATAATATACCATCTAGTTTACGCTGCCGAGTGCCCACATACACAACTGTGTGGAGAAATCTAGAAGAATGAACTAGTTCTGTGGGCCTTGGTAGGCGAAGTGCGAACACACGAAGTTACCTGCTGTATAATTCTCTGCTCCATCACTTCTGACATTACTTGCACATGTATAGTGCCTGCCACAACATTAGCAGAATGACACCAAAAATGAGGATCCCTATAGGATATGACACCATCAATTTTCTGGATCTGTAAAAAAACCCAAAAAACATTTCTATACATATGCAGAACTTGTAATAGTATTTTTTTGACTGTTTGATGTTACCGCTCTCTCGGTACCTGGTTTTCACTAAATCACAGTTATATAATAAAAGAATCATTGTATTAAAGTATTAGCACATATTTGTGAAGGCAAGCCTTATTTCAAAGATAGTGTAATGCTTTAAATTCTAGACACTTTAAATTGCACACTATTCTCCTCAGTGCATCTGAACGCCTTAGAAGATTCTTAGTCTGCAAGTTAATACATTAGCAGGATTTTAAAAAACACTTGTAATGTTATATACAATGTGTAAACTTGGAGGTAATTAGAGATAAAGATTTTATAGACATGCATATATGAAAATAATACAAAGGAACCAGGGGAAGGAGGGGAGGGAAATTGGGGGATCCAAGTAATCCCAGAATGTGGATTTAAAATTGATTGTTTACATAGTTGTTTTAAATATGTTTTGTTTTTTCTTTAATGCAATGATTTTGTCTTTGTGAAAATTAATAAAAATATTATATATATATATATAGAGAGAGAGAGAGAGAGAGAGATTCTTAGTCTGAGTAGCAGCTTCTGACATAAGTGGTAGAATAAACTGTACTGTTTTTTGGGCGGGGGGAAGTAATCTGAACTCTGTAGTTTTGCAAAGGTTGCTGATTGAAAGTGAACAAACCTAAAAACAAGGCCCTTTCCAAAAGGATGTTATGTGGCTGACAATGAGGAGTACTTAAAACGTCCTGCAGAAATTCTAAATTTCATGACACAGGAGCAAATGTGAAGAAAAACCCCCCAAGGGGCAGTAAATTCTAACCTTTTCCAAAGCCATGTGCAGATCTTTCTCATGCTCTAGTGGCAGCCTCAACAAGAGTACCTGACAGGCATCTTTTATCAGTGGGATCACACTGAGAAAAATCAAAGTAGCAATAAAGAGGGAGCAAAGGGGATCGGCTATCAACCAGCCAAACTGCTGAATGAGTATTGTTGATATGATCACGCCAACGCTGCCAAGGGTGTCTGCCAAGACATGCAGAAATACTCCTGAAACAAACAAACAAAAATTTCCCAGATCATTAATACATAATTTGGCAGTTAAACAGACATTAACAGTGAGCATGCATTGGAAAAGCACAACGTGGCTTGATATGCCAACGTACTCCTATCATCGTATTGGACCCTTTAAACTGACCATTCTATTATGAAATCTTTAAAAACCAAACAACCTTATTACAACTTCCCTTTTAGTACTGTCCCTCTCCCCCATAAATTTGCAAAAAACCCCAAAACCCAACCACCTTACTGCCCCCCACTTACCTCTCATGTTGGCATTCATGCCACCTCCCAGTGCCCCATGCGAGTGTCCGTGATTATGACTGTGCCCATGGTCACTATGGGAATGGCTGTGGCTATGGCCGTGTCCATGGTGGGAATGGCTGTGGTCGTGTGCATGGCATCCTCCCCGAGAAGGCCCATGGGAGTGGGCGTGGCTAAAGGCACAGATACCAACAAGGTTTACTATCAATCCTCCAACAGAGACAGGCTGCATGAGGGAGAGACAGAGAATCTTTAAACTGCTTACTCCTTTTAACTGTGCCAAGCGGGGACGACGACAAACACATACAGTATAAAGCAGGGGTGGCCTTCCAGATGCTGGATTCAAATTCCCATCAGCTCCAGCCAGCATTGCCAATGGTCAGGGGTGATGGGAGTTACAGTACAACAACATCTGGAGGACCACAGGTTCTCTACCCTGGCTTAGGGGGAGAGATGGGAAGCTGGGGGGGAGGGGGGAGGAGAGGAGAGATAAATAAATAGGAATAAGAGGGTGGAATTATGTGGCCCAGTTCAGAAGCATTACATCTGTGCTGGCTCCATGTAACTGAACAGTTGCAAGCATGTACAATATTAAGACCTTTTTCAGAAAACAAGGACCTATTTGTACTTTAGCAGGAAAAGTGAAGATGAGAGCATCTTCCTAAACAGTGGCTATAGCCTTTGCCCTGGAGGAAAAGCGTTATGACTGTTAAGGGTAAGAATTTCCAGCCAAGTATTATTTATTGCCTCTCATATGCATTGCAATCTTATGGAAACAACTGTGAAATGAACAGAGCTGGTGCACCAGAGCAATGTTTGAGGGATTAAAACTTTTTTTGTTTCTACCATACAGATCAGAATTTTTAAGAGCAATAAATCAAGTATTAACAGAAAATAAGGTTATAAACTCACAGTCAGCATATTGGTATCAATGTCTGGAGGATCAACTAGCCTGGCCACAGACTCGATGAAGACAAAGAAAGCTATTACCATGAGAAAAAGGCCATTAATAAACCCAGAGAGAATTTCTACACGGCCAAACCTGGAATTAAGAAAGTGAGGAATAAAAAATCATTTGGAATGTAAAAAAAGAATAAAAGACATATAAAAGCAATTCCAAAGTAGTCTAATAATTGAATTATGCTAAACCCTGAACTATTTTGCCAGAAAACCCATGATTATTCAACCAATGAAGTCAATTAGCCTGATGTATATGACTTTGCTTGACTTCCAGGCTTACTCTATTACACAAATTGCTAATGTGTAACATGAAAGTGACATTTTTTTGTCAGGCTGCTATGTTTCTCAGAAAGATATGTATGAGAAAGAGAGACAAGAATCTTCAGGAAGTAATACTAAGCAGTTCTGATTTTCTGGGATAAAAGGGATGGCTAAATGGGAAGGTTTTTATGTTTTTCCATTTGACATTTCCCCCTCAAAACTTTGGAATGGAAAATAAATAAATACAAATGTATACAAAATCAATTCCACAGTAGCCAAATAATTGCCTTGTTGTGAGAAGTGTTTGATTAGACTCTAATATGTGGCTGGGGTAGTTTTCACAACATAATCCCCCACAAACCTTCATTAATATTGGATGCTACCTTATACGAAGCCAATCCATTGAGCCACCTAGCTCAGAATTGTCTACACTGGCCTGCAACATTTTTCTAGGGTTTCAAACAACCACCTTTCCCAACCCTACCTGGGCAAGTCACTGACTGAACCTGGGACCTTTTACATAAAAAGCACTTGCTCTGTCAATGAGCTACAGTCCTTCTACATCTCGTGTTATTTCAGCTAGTATTAATAGGTCTTTATAATTAGTTCAACATACATACCCATAGGAGAATATGCGAGTTGCTTTCCATCTAGTCATCAGTGCTGCAAACAGACCCATAACTAAAGCTGAACAGTCAAAAAGCATGTGAAATCCATCTGAGATTAAACCTAGGCTGTTGGTCCACACACCATAAAATAATTCCACAAAAGTAAAAGCCTAGAACAAAAGTGAGTAACAGAGATTTCATTGTGAAAATGATACATAAAACTACTCATTGAAGCATGTGCCTGACATATTTTGAAACGCCCCTTTTTGCAACTCCAGTCTGAGGAGAGGGGCTCACATATAATGAGGAAATCAAAACTTCCATACACTACTCAGTGTAACAATATGAAAATTGCAGTCTTAAAATGTCTGCTTCTGTTAAAACGAGGACATGGAAAAATGCTTTATTTTCTTTTACCTTTTATGAAAGAATGTTATCAACATTTTGGAATAACTTAGAAATGAACTTTGAAAATAGTAAAATCACAGAACTGCAGTGAGGATCATCTACCGTATTTTTCGCCCCATAGGACACAGCTAGTTTTTTTGGGGGGGGGGGGAATAAAGAAAAATGTTTTATTTCCCGAGCTTCCCCCGACCCCAGCCCCGAGAACAGTCTGCTATCCACAAACCTAGGGAGCCCGGCGGGAAGTCACGCCGGTCTCCCCAGGCTTGCGGAGAGCTGCGCGAAGCCCGGGCACGCTCTTCAGCGCGCCCCAGGCTTCAGAATGCAGGCAGCTCTGCGCAACCCTTGGGAGACCGGTGCAACTTCGAGCCAGGCTCCCTAGGGTTGCGCAGAGCTGCGCGAAGCCCGGGACTGCAGGCAGCTCTGCACAGCCTTCGGGAGACCGGCGTGAAGTCGCGCCAGTCTCCCGAGGGTTGCGCAGAGCTTCCTGAAGCCTGGAGAGCGAGAGGGGTCGGTGTGCACTGACCCCTCTCGCTCTCCAGGCTTCAGCAAAAGCCTGCATTCGCCCCATAGGACGCACACACATTTCCCCTTCATTTTTGGAGGGGGAAAAGTGCGTCCTATAGGGCGAAAAATACGGTAGTTTAGTCCAGCCCCCTGCAATGCAGGAATATGCAGTTGTCCCAACCTTGGTGGTGGTGGTGGTGGTGGGGTTTCAAACCTTCGACCTTGCGGTTATCAGCATGATGGTCTAACCAACTGAGCTACTGTTCCAGTTAATGATCTATTGAAGTTTCTTTCGTTACTGAAAGTAATAGTGTATGCAACAAATTAAAAGTTTACGAAGGGAACAAAGATGCCTTAACAGGGCTAGTGACAAAGTAGTGGCTTGGAGAACAGCCAGGGCAGGGTCAAGATGCCAGTCATTTGCAGAGGGAAGCATGCAGAAATCAGACACTTCCCCACTCCCCCTTGAAATGAAGGAATATCAACTAAAGCATCCATGCCAGTTGGCCACACAATCTCTGCTTAAAAACTTCCAATGATGGAGAGACCACCACCTTCCATTGCATATCTGGTCTTAAAACCTAAGTTTACCCCCACTTCACCAAAACCAGAAATAATTTCCTCAAAGGGATTAAAAAAACAACCAACTTACCAGATTTAGGCACAGAAAATAGAAGATCTGCCTTGAGTCAGACTCCTCAAGAATTTGTTTCAGCGATTCTTTAATAAATCGAGGTAAGGACTGAGAGCTGTGTTGCAAGGCATCCCCCATAAAATTGTACAATGGTATTCCCTCAGGAGAATAACCTATAAGAGTGCCTTTCTGTCCTTTTCGTGTTGGGGAGGAGAGAATATTGGCAGCTGAAGAGAAAGCATATGTTGTTTACGTTTTGTAACAGTCCTGTAACACAGGGTTGTACCCAATGTTAGTCCAACTCAAGGAAGACCCATTGGAATGAATATGGCTAACTTCGGTTCATTGATTTCAATGAGACTTACCCCTGAGTATAACTTCACTGTATATAACCCATAAGCATTTTAGCTACAAACAAGAACTGGAACATTTGTGCACCTGCTAATCACTCAGAATGTGGCAAGAGAATTCAAGGTCCATGATACTTTGCATGTTTAATGCAGAGATTTTTGCAAAACTATTGCTCATTCATCCTGTTTGTTGGGGGAGAAAAGTCTCAGGTGTGAAGGCCAAATGAATTGACCCCTAATCTGGGTTTGATGCAGCCTCAATCCTATGGTCATATTAACCAAAGCTGAAATTTCCAAAGGGGGTGGCTCAGGGAACACAGAGAAAAAGCTAACTCTAGAAGTAAAGGCAGGGGTTATTACCTTAAGCTTTCATGGAAAGGCTGTACCTTTTAGAAGCTGACCAATGTTTCCACAAGCAGTTAAGTAAGAGAGAAGTGATAACCCACAAACCTAGTCCTATTTTAAAACACTTGTACAAGTGCAAAAGCCAATGATCAGTTTAGAACTGTCTACATACAAACTATATAGAAGAAACAGAGGAACAATTTCCCATTGTATCACTACAATTGTGAAGGATCAAATAAGTTGCCCCTTAAGATCATAATGCAAATGAAAGCTAAGACCACACATTCTGTGATAACAAGGCATGCTGAATTTCTTTCTATCCAAATAAGAAACAGTCCTAAGCACATGTCACCATTCTTCTGAAGTTACTAATACGTACACAAAATGAAGAAAATGGTACTGACTACCACTCCTCCAGAAATAACATGCTCTGTGGTTTCCTGATGTGTTGGTCTGTTGATAGCTCGAAGCTGGTCTGTTATTGGATGTGTCCAAAAGTTGCCAAGAAGTAGAGCACTAATGAAAATGAGAAAGGATCCGTAACGAGCACACTTTGAGACTTCTATCTTGATGGAACACACAGATTCTACGTAGAAGTCCAAAACCACGACAAAAAAGATAACTGTGATGAAGGGCATGATGAGAGAAGACCAGGATTCTACTTTACTCTGCAATAAAAAGATGCAAACATTCAATACTGGTGGCAAAAACAAGTTTGCATTCACAGTAGTTGTGGTTATAAATCTAGTTGCCAGAAAGCCATTTGTCAGTGGTTATGCTACTTACCTCTGTTGTCAGAGATAAAACAATCACCCAGGGACTCAAAAGGAGGACAGAAACAAGATGAGACAGTGCTTGAAGACGTTTGGCTCCACCAATATCTACTGAGAGCTTTCGGGAAGCTGTGTGAAAACCAACTTTACAGCATAATGCTAACACTAGCAAAATTACTCCACCCTGCAAAGGAAGGGAGAGTAATATCAGTATACTTAAGAATCACACATTGTAAATCTATTTTAAATATTATTTGTGATAGGCCCAGAAAACACTACTTTTTTTCCTGCCACCTTATTTGGTGCACAGAAATTCTATGCATGGGGGATTCTTAGTCTCTCAACTGCACATACATTACTGGCAGCTTCCAATACTGGAACATAGTTAATAAAATTAATCCTTATACTGTTCCAATGGCATCCATGCTTATATTTCCTAAATAAAAATTCTAGTCTATTATGTTAAACAAACATAGCTAAAACTGGAGCAAGCTAAATTAAAAATGTGTGTGATTGTCTATAACAGGACCTATTTGCATGCTACCTTAAGTGTTCTATGCTGTTCTATATTAAATGTGTTTCATTTTCTCTACGTTACTAAGAATGTTCTGCAAAAGTTTAAAAGTAACAAAATTCAGCAACTCATTCCTATTTATTTTTTTCTGACCAATTATAATGTGCAAGATGGACTCCATGGTTAGATCCCAGTAAGTATTTCAAGAGTGGAATGGAAATTACAAGATGCCTTTATATCTGCATGCTAAGGTTCTAGGAACTCCGCAACCTTTTATCAATGGACAGAATTTTGATTGAAATAAACTGTGCATAAACTCAGCTTATGAAGTGCTGAGCATTAGCAGCTGCTAAAATCACACCAGTATGTTATGTTATCGTACGGCAAACTTGATGGTGTATTTTAATCGTTACTTATTTTTAAATGGTTATTGTTCTCAAGTAAGAATGCCGTTACTGAAATGACCCTTTAAGCGACAAATAAAACACGCACACCTGTTGCACATATCTGAAAACTGCTGCTGAAACGAATCAACAAAGCAATGCAACAGAACCGGAAGACATTTAAGAACTGCACTATTGCCATGAGCAAGCCATTCAAGGCTCCTAACATTATGTACTTTGTGCACTTTTTCAACAGTTCATCATATGAGCAGCATTTACCTTATGATCGGCAACTCCTAAGAAAGCGATGATTGTGTAAAGTAAGTGTGTCAGAGCACTGTCATGGTGTCCTTCAGCTAAAGAAAGTAAAGGTCAGGAAAATTCTGCAATGGAGTCCTACCCCTACCTTTCAGTCATAAACAAATATGAGCAGACAAGTATGAAAAGCACTCCCATCTTTGTGAATAGCTTCCTTGAATAAATTAAACAAAGCTTAATAACTATAGGAAGGGAAGCATAGGAGGTTAAGAATTCATGTGACCTAAATTGAATGGTACACATTTCACAGAAGACACTTCTCTTGAAAATACTCCCGTAAGAATTAGAAACAATACACAGGAATTTAAACTGCACAAAAGAGAAAACTGATATTTTGCAGTACAGTCACAAAACTATGCCAGAAAATATTTTTTCATTAGCAGTAATCAGTGTCTAAATTAAATTGGGTAGTTGGAACATAATTTTATCCCTTACACATGGTCAGAAAGGATACGATGTTCTGCAATTTTAGCCATGAGGTCATCATTATCAAAAAGCAAAAGACAGATCACAGCAATAATGAAAAAGGCCACACCTCTTGTCTGAAAAACAAAAAATAGCAATAGGAAAGCAGGAAAACAGAAATATGCCAAGAACTTTCAATAAAATTTAATTCAATATACCTCTGGATTGGTGGGTGAGGCAGGGAACAGGGGGAATTAAATCTGCCTTGATGTAGGTTATCTTGATAAACTGAATACAATATACTGTGCTTTGAATTTCTTTGACCTTCATTAGAATAATTCCTGGTATAATGAATCTTAATTATAGTCTTAAAAGGTTTTTCCACCAAGACTGTAAACACTCCATGAAGGAGTATTTTAAAATTACAAAATTACAGTTAGGTAGATATTCTTATGAATTTTAGACAAATGCTATGGTCACTTCTTTTATATTCCAAAACATGTGGGATATTTTCACAAAATAAATGGCTAACCTTTGCTGGTCCTCCTCCTGAACTTGTGAACAGTACGCTGAGCAGTGAAATGACAACAATATCGCTGTGCTCAAAAAGCAACAAAGTTCTGCAAAACAAGAGATACAAATCTCATTTATGACAAACAGTAAATAGAAATAATTTTAACATGCATGAATTGGGTTAAAATTTAGTCTGAACAAGCAATTAAATAGATGCATTTAGCTACAATTCTAATTTTCAGTGGCAGATCTAGTAGTAATAATTTTTTTAAATTTATTTTTTAAAAAAAATTATGGTGTACATCTGAATATCAAGAAATCATTGCCACCAATATTTCAGTAATGCTACACACCTATCTAAAAATAGTTGATTTAAGTGTCATCACAAAAAAGAGGAAGAGTCACTGTGAAGCTATGTGAGCTTTGTGTGGTTTCTTATTGCTATAATCATCTGAATGACTTCCTGGATTCCTACTAACCAAACGGTTACAACAATATCTGAATATAGGCTTGCCAAGCATCATACAAACCACCATCATACAAGGCCAGTCTCAAGAACATCACTGTGGTCTCCATGGAAACCGAATTATTCTGAAATTTCTATGATTTCTACATTTGGGAAAAGGTGCTTTGAAGCTACGACAGCCAGCTGATTGTTGAGGCCCAATTGTCAGGACTTGTGCCTGCAGAATTTAATTTCAATCCACAGCGGTGAAAATGGGTTACCTGGTGTCAGAATGTCAGGTGACAGGTGGGGTGGTCTGCAGGGGGTAGAAAAGGTAAGGATCTGGACTGCTAGCCTGATCCAGTTCTGTACCCGTTCTTTATGTGAATAAACAAGTTGTCATTTTAGATATCTACAGAATATATTTACCTTAAAGGTCCACATAGGGTGAGGCCAAAAAACCACAAGAGGGAAATTACACAGCCAACGACAGCATGTTTAACTATTTTGATCCACTGTAAGAGAAAACATAATCCCAATCATTAGAAATAACCATTACCAGTTAACATTTCAACTGCTGATTTTACTTGGGATATACAATTCAAATGAGGTCAAATTAACAACCTAAGCATCATTACCATGACTCTATTCCGCAGGCTAGAAATGACTACTTCTCACCTGCTCTGCCAGCCCACTTGATTTCTTTGCTGGGTGCACAAGAAAGGGCTTCATCCCATGAATGTCCAGCACAGAAACTCAGCAGACTGGTAGCTCTTTCCCAGCCACCACCACACCATATTTCTATGCTGGATGAGCTTATTCACCTGCTGCATGCCTAGCAAAGAAAGAAAGCAGGCTGTCCATTCAGCTGCCACCAATCTCCTCGATGCTGGGCATGTAAGAGGAAACTCATTTCCTGTGCAACTAGCAGACATGGACTGTGGGATGTCAGAGGAGCAGCTGAATGCTTCATTCCTTCCCAAGCAGGCTGCTTAGCCTCTATGCAGGTGGTTAAGGAGGTTAAGTGCTGCTCTTCACATCCAGTATAGCAATGCAGTGAGCTGACAGGGAAATCAAGCACTGTCTTCCATCTAGTTGATTCAGAAATTCCTAGTCAATCTATGACAACCAATTGAGTGGGATGCTTTCAACACAGAGTAGAGCAGATCCATAGTTTTTAGCAACCTCAACTAAGGCTTCTATGGGAAAATCCTCACATTGTTTAACCCAAACATGTGTGTCAATTTGTCCTAAAAGCCACTTGCTTGGAGAGCTATTATTTGGAGTCTTTAACTGAGCAAAGAAGTAGGGCTTTATGCAACCCAGCACTCATGAGGACAATATCAACTTCAGCCTGTAACATGGCAGATAGGCTACCATTAGCTACCGCAATAAGATTTGACAAATTGATTCCCTTTCTTCTATGGTATCTAGATCTTCAAATTTCCACATATAACCTAATGTCCATATAATTATTCAAACCACAGGCACTTTAAGTATTCGAAATGCAGGGAACTAGTCTCCAGATTAACTTTAAACTGACAATCTTGGTAATTATTTACTTTTAAAATACTTTTCAGACACTCCCCCCCAAATACTATATTTTCTTAGCTTCCCAAGAGCATTGTCCAGATAAAAATCATAATGACAAATCTCTTGAACAGTTTGATTGATTTAATACAGCCCCAGGGAAGTTTATTGACATAGCACAAGTATTTCCACTCCCCACAAAATAAAGTATCAAATAATACAATTCCGTGTACTATATCAAGGGTAGGGAACCGTTTTTGCTCTGTGGGCTACATTTTATTAGGATAGTCACAAGCCAAATTTGACAGGTGGACAGACAGCTATAGGGAGCCTTTTAAATATGATACAGTGGAACCTTGGTTGTTGAACGCTTTGGAAGCCGAACAATTCGGAACCCGAACGCCAACAATCCAGAAGTGAATGCTTCCGTTTTCACACGCGCCTTGGAAGTCTAATGGCTTCTGAGGCGCTTTTCTCCATTTTTTAAAAGGAATTTGCTGACCAGCAATTGCACCTGGTTGTCGAACATTTCGGAAGTTGAATGGTCTTTCGGAATAAATTACCTTCGACAACAGAGGTTCCACTGTAGTGGACATGAGCCCACTGCAGAACTGCTGAAATTTCTTCAAATTGGCAAAATGTACCTTAATAAGCAGAATTACTCCACCATCCCATGTGCATACCAAGAAATGATAACGGCCAATATGATTAAACCTAAGCTGATAAAAGTACAAAGTTCCCCCATAGGATGCAACTTTCAAAAGTTCTATAGGGAACAAATCCATTGAGGAACTACTATGCAAGCTCCACTAAAATAAGAACTAATGCTCTTGCACAACTTTTATTCATTTCCATGTAGCCGTGGCCCCAAGGCAGCAAGAAGTTTCCCATGAGGAGAAAAGTAGTTTTAGTTCTTAAAGTTTACATTTTAGAAGAACAAGCTACATATATAAACCACATCTATAATACTCACCTGATGTCTGGTGACAGGTTTTCCAGATGAAAATGGTTTTTGAAATAAAATCATAAAAAATGCCGACCTATGAAAAATTGGGATTTCCATTAAATCAAGTGAAATTACAGTTTATAGAAGGCAAGTGTTCAAACCAACACTGGCTATGTGTTTTAAAATACTTATTTTAAGTATCAGTACATTTGGAATCTTAATCCTACAAAACAGAAAATGAGCTCTTAGCCACTAAAGGTAAAGGGAACCCTGACCGTTAGGTCCAGTCGTGACCGACTCTGGGGTTACGCGCTCATCTTGCTTTATTGGCCAAGGGAGCCGGCGTACAGCTTCTGGGTCATGTGGCCAGCATGACTAAGCTGCTTCTGGCGAACCAGAGCAGCGCACGGAAATGCTGTTTACCTTCCTGCCGGAGCGGTACCTATTTATCTACTTGCACTTTTTGACGTGCTTTCAAACTGCTAGGTTGGCAGGAGCAGGGACCAAGCAATGGGAGCTCACCCCGTCGCAGGGATTCGAACTGCCGACCTTCCGATCGGCAAGTCCTAGGCTCTGTGGTTTAACCCACAGCTCCACCCGCGTCCCCTCTTAGCCACTAGTTTGGTCCAAAACAGCTTGCAAACATACTTCTGACCATGGTTCTAAACAGTGGTTTGGTACCAATTATGTTCAGCGAAAACACTGGTGCAGATGAATACCAACTAGTTAGCTGTGAAAATAAATGAGGACAAGAGGGATTTGCTTTGCTGACTACGAGGCATCACATCTGAACCTACAGACCTCCGGATATAGGGCGGTATATAAATTCAATAAATAATAATAATAATACATTATCAACTGTAAATCTATGATTAGTAAAAAAGCAAGTTATAAAATTAATAAAGATATAAAATTAACCTCAATAGAAGTTGCTGTAACTAAAAGTCAACTTACCCAAGCTTCACTATGAAGATAAACTGTACAAGGTGAACTACTTTCAGGAGGTCATAAGATTCAAACAATCCTAAAGCCTTCAAAAACTTAGTTAAGCACAGTAACACAATATATTTAGTCAGGCTGGGGAGAGAAAAAGGGAAAAAAGTTTTTTGAGATATTGGAAAGCATTTAGATATGAAAATTTAAATATATTCAATTTATATTATTCTAAAAAGCAAACATTTAGAGCACCATGTCAATAAACACAACTTACTCTTGATCATAATATTTAATTGCCCCTGGCAGATAACTTTTTAATTGTGCCTAAACAAAAGGTTGAACAAAAACAAAACTATGGGGCCTGGATGTGTCTGTTTACTCTTCAAAGCATCCTTATACTGGAATACTATGAAATAGATAATTTCAGCTCAACATTGTTTATCAAATGCTGTAGTGTTGATGTGTCAAAATGTATGCAGTTATATGCCTGGAGCACAAAACACTTTATCACTATGGATTTTTGTGCTCCAATATTTAAAAGAACAAGATGACTTCTGGGATAGGAGGCACTGCAACCAGCCTGCCAGTCATTGCATGCGCCATAGAACTTGAACTCTGGGTCTGGGAATGTGTGAATGGAACAAGAAGAAGCATGCTTCTATGCAACTCAAAATACTGCTTACTTAACATGGTTGGTCTACTAAAAGATAACCTTAGCAAACAAGTGAGCCTAGTTATCCAACAGCCACCTGTGCAACTGAACTAAACAGATGAAACCTATATAGGGAAGCTAGATCCAGAGATTGTGAAGCTTTCATGCTGCTTCACAAGCTACCAAACTCGTACACAATCCCCGCTTGCAAGTCATCACAGATGACTATCCTACCTACATGCATTTTGCTGTGCACATACTGCTGTGTGAGATATGCATACCAGCAGGAAAATTATATATTGCAATCTACCTGCAGAAACCATGTTACTTCTGTGTAGGAGTTTGACAATGTGTTAAATGGCTCCTGGGAGTTGCACAGAATGGAGAACTAGCTACACAGAATGGAAAACTAGACACAAAATCTCAGCAGCTGTCCAATGTGGGATTTTCCCTATTAAACACAAGGTTTAGATATAGGATCACATTCTGGGTTTGGACCTGTCAATAGGCCAGCCAGATGCAAAGAAGAGACATGTGTTTAGCTCCTATATCTTTACCATAGAGGCAATCTGGGAGACGCAGCATGACATGTAAAAATATTGGATACAGGAGGAAAAATCTAACCATATCTCAGGAGTTTCCCGATTCCACATAACTATCTTAAGTTTTAAATTCCAAAGAAGGGCAGCTTTGTTCATTTCTTTCAGCAAGAGCACCAAGTCTCGTGACACAACAGGTTTCTTTGGACACAAACTTCCAGAACCCAATTTACCGTTAGGCACTACATCGGATGGCGTGGACTCCAACTCACCAAAGCCTATGCCCTAAGAAGCTGGCAAGCCTTCAAAGAGAGCACAAGGTTCTTCATTGTTTGAGCGGGTCAGAGTGACTGTTCTCTTTCTGATAACAATAGGAGCCCTTGAGCACTTATTCAACAGTATAGGGCAGGGGTAGGCAACCTAAGGCCTGTGGCCCGAATGCGGCCCGATCGCCTTCTCAATCCGGCCCACGGATGGTCTGGGAATCAGCATGTTTTTACATGAGTAGAATGTGTCCTTTTATTTAAAATGCATCTCTGGGTTATTTGTGGGGCCTGCCTGGTGTTTTTACGTGAGTAGAATGTGTGCTTTTATTCAAAATTTACCTCTGGGTTATTTGTGGGGCATAGGAATTCGTTCATTTTTCTCTCTCTTCAAAATATAGTCCGGCCTGGTCTGAGGGACGGTGGACCGGCCCACGGCTGAAAAAGGTTGCTGACCCCTGGTATAGGAAGTCCTGTGCTCCTTCAACCTGGCATCCCTAACATAGCTGTCAACTTTCCCCTTTTCTTGCGAGGTATCCTATTCGGAATAAGGGAATTTCCCTTAAAATGGGGGAAACCTTGACAGCTATGATCCCTAATCTTAGCCTGGACGGCCGGGCATAGCTCAAGACAATGCCCGGGTCCTCCTGAGCCTAGGCCAGCCTTCCCTGCAGAGCAGGCCGAGCATAGGAAGCTGCCTTACACCGAGAGGCCCATCTTAGCTCAGCATGGTCCGCCCTGACTGGCAGCGGCTGCCCAGGATGAGGCACCTCTTGACCCTCCCTGGAGGCGCCGGGGATTCAACCCGGGATGCTCCGCCCCTTGGCCGTCTCCCTCCGCGCCCCCTCAGCACGCCTGTCGGGGTGAGTTTGGGGGCGCCCCCCCTCGAGCCCCCCAGGCCCTGCCTCAGGTGGGAGCCCCTCTGCCCGCTCCACCCCCGGCGCAGGCCGTTACCGGGCGCTGGGCACGTCCACGGGCCCCAGCCGCCCGCCTCCGGGCAGGACCTCGCCGCCGCCGCATTTCTCCTCCATCGCCGGCTCTCGGGCCGGGCCTCCTCAGCCGCCGCCGCCGCCGCCGCCTTCGCTCCCGGCGCGGGGCTGCCTCATCCTCCGCGGGCTGAGGGCCGGCTCCGCCAACCGGCAAGGCCCGCGGGCAGGCCTGGGCCCGCAGCGGAACAGGAAGAGGCTGGGAAACGGCAGAGCCACGTCCTCACTTGACGCCGGAACTGCCGATCCGGGAGGTTGGGAGAGCGCCGGATCCTTGCGGGGGGGGGTGGAGGAGGAAACGCACGATGCCTTTAACGACTACGCTCCCCCTCCCGTCCCGTTGGCTAAATGGATTCGCCCAGCCAGGGCTCATAGAGAAAAGAATGCGGTGCAGCGCCACCTATCGGCCGAAAGTCGGCGGTGTTTCTCCAAGCTGCCCGGTTTTCTAGCACAGGTATGTCGAAGCTTTGGCCGCCGGATGTAGTTGCTGAACTACAATTCCCATCAGCCCCAGCAAGCGCGGCCAGGCATGATGGGATTGGTAGTTCAGCAAAGCACCTGGCGGCTCTGAGGTTCCCCCATACCTGTACTCGGAAGTAAGCGCGCCACTTCCACCGAGTTTATAGAAGTCCAAGAAGCCGCGTTATGCTGGCCAGGCTCTTTGTCGGTCTAGCCCAGTATTTTATCTTTTCTGGCTGGCAGCTGTGGCTTTCTAGGATCTGCGTCAGGAAATGGCCTTTCCATTTGCCGCCGGGGTATCTGATCCACCTGCTGGGATCTTCATGCAAAGCTTGTCCATGAGCTGTTGCCCTTCCCCAAAGTTCAGTAGGGCTTCGTTCTCAAATAAATGTGGGCACAGGACACACATTTACTCAGAAGTAAGTCCTGATGAGTTCAATGGAGCAACCGCCTCCTGGGGCTTCTCGAGGCTGCGTTTTTTTTTTTTTTTTAAATATTTATTAGGATTTTCAAAATATTACAAAATAGAAAAAGAAAAAAGAAAAATACAAAATAAAAGTAGTTAAAAACAATTCAGTCTTTCAATCACTTATCTTTCATTTGCTTATTTCCCGGACCTCCTCATGCCTCCCTTTTCTGTATTCCAATTCAGTTTGTTAGTTCAGCAAATACCTCCCCTCTTTGTTTATCCTAGTCTTCAATCTTAAAGTATTGTAACATTAGATTTTTGCCTATTAATAGTCCATTTTTTCATATTCCCTTATAACATTACAGCTAAAAACCACTTAGTTTCTATCCAACATCATTCTAACATTCATTAATTTTACAATATTTCTGTAAATAGTCTTTGAACTTTTTCCAATCTTCTTCCACCGACTCTTCTCCCTGGTCTCGGATTCTGCCAGTCATTTCTGCCAGTTCCATATAGTCCATCACCTTCATCTGCCATTCTTCCAAGGTGGGTAGATCTTGTGTCTTCCAATACTTTGCAGTAAGTATTCTTGCTGCTGTTGTGGCATACATAAAGAAAGTTCTATCCTTCTTTGGCACCAATTGGCCGACCTTCTCGAGGCTGCGTTTATTGAGCATTCATCCTGATTTACTGAGCACCCTGATTCGCTTGCACAAAGCAAGCTTAGGTGATTCCCAGGCTAAACAGTAGTACCTCGGGTTACATACACTTCAGGTTACATACGCTTCAGGTTACAGACTCTGCTAACCCAGAAATAGTGCTTCAGGTTAAGCACATTGCAGGATTATTGTAAGAATTACATCAATATACTGCATCTGTAGTGCATCAAACACTTAAAAGTGCTATATAAATGCTGTTAACAATTTTCCTTCCTCCCCAAAACTGAACAGTCTCAAGTTATTACAGTGGTACCTCGGGTTACAGATGCTTCAGGTTACAGTCGCTTCAGGTTACAGACTCCACTAACCCAGAAATAGTACCTCAGGGTAAGAATTTTGCTTCAGGATGAGAACAGAAATCATGCTCCAGTGGTGCAGCGGCAGCAGGAGGCCCCATTAGCTAAAGTGGTGCTTCAGGTTAAGAACAGTTTCAGGTTAAGTACGGACCTCCGGAACGAATTAAGTACTTAACCCGAGGTACCACTGTACTCAGCATTCATTCTGACTTGTCAGCAGAGAGGTGATGCGACAATGAACATTTATCCCGATTTCACCCTAGTTTGCCTTGTGCGGCGGTTACACACCCTCCTATTAACCTATTATTCTCTCTCTCCCCCCCCCCCCACTTTTTAGTGCATTTCCCCATCACTTTAGGTGCCTCCAGACTGTCACTGTTTTCTGTGAGGGTTTAAAGCACACACCATAACTTTAGGTTTGGATCTTTGTTGTTGTTTAGTCATTTAGTCGTGTCCGACTCTTCGTGACCCCATGGACCAGAGCACGCCAGGCACTTCTGTCCTCCACTGCCTCCCGCAGTTTGATCAAACTCATGCTAGTAGCTTCAAGAACACCATCCAACCATCTCATCCTCTGTCGTCCCCTTCTCCTTGTGCCCTCCATCTTTCCCAACATCAGGGTCTTTTCCAGGGAGTCTTCTCTTCTCATGAGGTGGCCAAAGTATTGGAGCCTCAGCTTCAAGATCTGTCTTTCCAGTGAGCGCTCAGGGCTGATTTCCTTAAGAATGGATCGGTTTGATCTTCTTGCAGTCCATGGGACTCTCAAGAGTCTCCTCCAGCACCATAAGTCAAAAGCATCAATTCTTCGGCAATCAGCCTTCTTTATGGTCCAGCTCTCGCTTCCATACATTACTACTGGGAAAACCATGGCTTTAACTATACGGACCTTTTTTGGCAAGGTGATGTCTCTGCTTTTTAATATGCTGTCTAGGTTTGCCATCGCCTTTCTCCCAAGGAGCAGGCATCTTTTAATTTCGTGACTGCTGTCACCATCTGCAGTGATCATGGAGCCCAAGAAAGTAAAATCTCTTACTGCCTCCATTTCTTCCCCTTCTATTTGCCAGGAGGTGATGGGACCAGTGGCCTTGATCTTCGTTTTTTTGATGTTGAGCTTCAGACCATATTTTGCGCTCTCTTCTTTCACCCTCAATAAAAGGTTCTTTAATTCCTCCTCACTTTCTGCCATCAAGGTTGTGTCATCTTCATATCTGAGGTTGTTGATATTTCTTCCGGCAATCTTAATTCCGGCTTGGGATTCATCCAGCCCAGCCTTTCGCATTATGAATTCTGCATATAAGTTAAATAAGCAGGGAGACAATATACAGCCTTGCCGTACTCCTTTCCCAATTTTGAACCAATCAGTTGTTCCATATCCAGTTCTAACTGTAGCTTCTTGTCCCACATAGAGATTTCTCAGGAGACAGATGAGGTGATCAGGCACTCCCATTTCTTTAAGAACTTGCCATAGTTTGCTGTGGTCGACACAGTCAAAGGCTTTTGCATAGTCAATGAAGCAGAAGTAGATGTCTTTCTGGAACTCTCTAGCTTTCTCCATAATCCAGCGCATGTTTGCAATTTGGTCTCTGGTTCCTCTGCCTCTTCTAAATCCAGCTTGCACTTCTGGGAGTTCTCGGTCCACATACTGCTTAACCCTGCCTTGTAGAATTTTAAGCAGAACCTTGCTAGTGTGTGAAATGAGTGCAATTGTGCGGTAGTTGGAGCATTCTTTGGCACTGCCTTTCTTTGGGATTGGGATGTAGACTGATCTTCTCCAATCCTCTGGCCACTGCTGAGTTTTCCAAACTTGCTGGCATATTGAGTGTAGCACCTTAACAGCATCATCTTTTAAAATTTTAAATAGTTCAGCTGGAATACCATCACTTCCACTGGCCTTGTTATTTGCAGTGCTTTCGAAGGCCCATTTGACTTCACTCTCCAGGATGTCGGGCTCAAGGTCAGCAGCCACACTACCTGGGGTGTACGAGACATCCATATCTTTCTGGTATAATTCCTCTGTGTATTCTTGTCACCTCTTCTTGATGTCTTCTGCTTCTGTTAGGTCCTTACCACTTTTGTCCTTTATTATGGTAATCTTTGTACGAAATGTTCCTTTCATATTTCCGATTTTCTTGAACAGATCTCTAGTTCTTCCCATTCTGTTGTTTTCCTCTATTTCTTTGCATTGCTCGTTTAAGAAGGCCTTCTTGTCTCTCCTTGCTATTCTTTGGAAATCTGCATTCAATTTCCTGTATCTTTCACTATCTCCCTCGCATTTTGCTTGCCTTCTCTCCCCCGCTATTTGTAAGGCCTCGTTGGACAGCCACTTTGCTTTCTTGCATTTCCTTTTCATTGGGATGGTTTTAGTTGCTGCCTCCTGTATAATGTTGCGAGCCTCCACCCATAGTTCTTCAGGCACTCTGTCCAGCAAATCTAAATCCTTAAACCTGTTCCTCACAGGTTTGGATCTTTAAAGTGAACTAAATAGCTTTGCTCCCTTTGTGCAGGGATTGGGGAGGGATTGGACTCCAAACTCCCATCAGCCCCAGCCAGCATGGCTGATGGGAGGGAGCTGCAGTCCAGGAACATCTGAAGGGCTGCAGATCCTAGAGCAATAAATCAACTTTAAAAAAAACAACAGTAACCAACAGCAGGCTAAACCTGGTATGTTTACAAATAAGAGCCCAAGAAGAGCCTGCTGGATCAGGCCAGTGGCCCATCTAGTCCAGCATCCTGTTCTCACCATGGCCAACTAAATGCCCATAGGAAACCAGCAAGCCTTGTAGGGTTTCCAATTTCTCACATTTACCAGTTCCTCATATTTATGTCCTAAACCACCAGCCATATTACATGCAGATTGCTGCAGAGTGATTCCATCTTTATTTCCATTCCTTGTTTCTGTCTTCCTGGTGAATGTACTTGCATGCGGAACAGATGGCAACAGACCTGTATTTGTTTTGTTATTGTTACTCTTTATTTCATCGTTTAGATACATTTTAAAAAAAATGTAATATGGAATAGGCTTTTTCTAAACGCACAAAATCCCTTTAAAAAGTGGATTTCTTGCAACAACTTTAATCTACTTTAATTGTACAAAGCTCTATTACTGGTGCCCAACTGAATCCTGCCCTGAATGCCTGGAGGTGACCTAGGATTTCCTGG